TAAATGCTGCCATGCGGAGGTGAAGTTGTAAATGAATAAATAGTATAGATCTTTACCAAGAGGCGCCAGAATTTTTTAAAGGTTGAATTTCTTCCATGTCTTAATAGGTAAAAGATTGTATAGCGAAATGTGTCGTGTTTGACTGGTAGTATCATGCGTTCTTCTTACCACCATTAACTGTTTTGCGTATGTTGACCCGGGAGTATTAATACTAACTGCCATGTTTGCGGCTAGACCAAGAGGGCCAGGGGGGCATTGGACTTGGCTTAGACCACCCCGATGTTGGGAGCTTTAGACGCTGGACGCTGCCATAGGAACGGATGTTGAATACGTCAATTGTAAATAAATATTTTAGTTTTATACTTATAAGGCTTATGTTTTAAGATTCAGCAAGTCTTAAGGTCCAATTTGTTCTAACTTTCAATATGGGTAAGGCTAATATATTTTGGCTTATGGTGGTGTATATTGGTGCTATCTTTTTAGTTATAAGTTTGTTTAACTCGACCTTATTTTACTAAATTCATGATTTTTTTTATGATAAAAGAGGACAGACATGCGTGGTGTACACTTGATGGCAGGTGAAAAATTCCAGCTATATAACATCTATACAAGATGCACTGTTTACCTATTTTAGCTTTAGATATCCGAAGTAAGGATTGGAGTTGCAAAGGGGGTTTTGGTAGTCCGGTATCAAAGTGATCAGTTACAAGCATCGGCTTTTCCATCTGTAGACGGTGGTTATCTGAAGTGAATTTCGATATTTCTACCACCTATTTGATATCCAGATTTGCAGGCGAAGTCAAACATTTTTTCATAAAAATTATAAATTGATTGAAAAATAAAATTTTAGACCCGGTGGGGATAGAACCTACGAACTGTTGATTATCAGCCATTACACCAATTACTACACCCAAAGAGTCGGTCAAGAAAGTGAAGTATTAAGGAATGCCTAACCAATTAGCTACAGCGAGTATTTAAATATAATTTGTGATAATTACGATGTTTATGAATTACGAACATTGACCTACGCACGTATATATTATTATGTCGGTAAATGTTATCTTAAAATATAGGCAAAAGATGGCGCAATATTTATAAAGTTAAATAAAGCACTTTTAACGGGTTTAAACGCGACAACAACAGACAAAACTTTTTTGTACGTTATTTTAAATATTAACATAGTCCCGTAAGATCCGGAGTTCGATTCTGATTACAACATTCTTATCGTTGTACATATTGTCTTGCGTTCAGGTAAAGGAGCATGTCATAGACAAAAAAAAAAGAAATTTTGGATATATCTGGTCTTTGTACGTAAAATGCCTAAAGTAGAATTTTTCTTATTCCACTTATGCATGCTAATCCATACTAATATTATAAATGCGAAAGTAACTCTGTCTGTCTGTCTGTCTGCCCGGCTTTAACTTCGAAACTACTGAACTGATTAAATGAAATTTGGTACACAGAAATTTTAGGGCCTGAGAAAGGACATAGGCTACTTTTTAATGTCAAATAAGGGTTGATAGGGAAAGAAAGTTTGTATGAAAATTCGTGGTTGTTGAAGATAGAACAATGAAACTTTCAAAACAGTGGGAGTGGGAATGCGAGTGGGAGTGGGAGTTAGAGTAGGAGTGATGTAAGGTGTTGCAGCAATGTAGCACTTTTGACATAGATTGGCTACCTTAAATGCGCCCTTACATTCTACGCCTAGTCACTATTCCACGCGGACGAAGTCGCGGGCACGGCTAGTGATATATATAATGATAAGTAATAATTAATATCTCGGAAATATAACAACTTTTAATGGTTTAAAACGCGAAATGTATTCGTTAATTAACGACGTTATTTTAACAACGAAATTTTGGATGCTGTGAAGCAATCGTGGTCACGGGATGGTTTTTAAACCGTTAAATGTTACATTTTGGGTGTACCTACCTACACTGGCGCAAACTAAAGACAATATTTACCTTAATCTATACTAATATTATAAAGCTGAGAAGTTTGTTTTTTGTTTTAACAATAATCTCTGGAAAGAAACGGGGAAAATTATTCGCCTTTGAGAGCTTTCGTCGCGCTGCGTAAACGGATCAAGAACTAGAAGAAGACAAAGAACAAGAAAGAATCTGCGACAGTATATATCTCTCTTTTAAGATACTCGCAATCAACGTGACGCGGCCGGTGTCGTGGGTAACAGCTATAACTTTCAAAGGTTGTTTGCAGAAGTAAAATATCGAATAGACGAAGTCGCGGGCACAGCTAGTATTTAATGCATCGTTTAGGCGCGCAAATGTTTCTTAATATCAAAACAAGTACTCATGTTTATCAGCGATGTAAAGAGCATCAAAATACCGCATTGTGTTATTTTTAAGTGACCTGGTGCTGTGCAATGATAAGATTCTTTCGTTAGTACGTGGTTAAATTACTTAACGGGCGTAAAGAATAGAAATAAGTTTATTCAGAAAACAACAGCAATTAAAAATAATAAACTAACTGAACTAAATTTTACAAAACATAATGTAAGAATTAAATATATAAATAATATTGTACGACTAAATACAGATAAAATAAAATAATACAGTTGCCTCTGAAAAGGGAGTACACTCAGCTACGTTGGGACTAATGTCCCAACAGAGGACTGTGTTCTGTGGCCCCATCAGAGGCCTATCAAACACAAGCGATAAAATTCATAACTTCTTCTATTATGTATATTTTGTCTACATCAAAGCAAACCGAGGACAGGACGTATAAAAGACACTTTGATGAATAGAACGTTTGTTTGTTCTCAAATTACGATAATAACTTAACAAGACAAACAAGAAACAAGAAAATATTGATACAGTTTGTAGTTTATGCGAGTTGTACACGTTTAAATAAAACACTTTAACGGTTTTAAAATGCGATAAATATTAGTATAACTTAACTGAGAATTCTTTTTTTATTACTTATGAAAGTATATAATAGATAAATACTTGCTTTACGAAGCATGCCAAACATTAGTAAAAAGGACAAAATAAGAAATACAAAATTAAGAGACATCACTAAGGCTATAAACGCTGGCTGGGCTGGCCATGTAGTAAGGATGTCAAGCACAAGATGGGCTTCAACGGTTACCCAGTGGAAGGGACCTCCACGTAAGAGGAGAAGTGGAAAACCCTTGGCACGCTGGAAAGATGATCTAACAAGAAGAGATAGGGTAGAAGAGAAAATGGGCATCTTTGGAGGAGGCCTATACTCAATCCAGGGTTCTTGCTGATTTATAAATTTTTAAACGTTACATATACTAAAATTACTAACATATTCTGAGCTTAGATGCTAACACAATCTGTTTAATGTTATTTAACAACAAATAATGTAAAAAGCAAGAAATAAAGGGCTTATTTTTAATATTATTATACTTGCTTTGTAGTTTATTAAATATATTAAAATTGTATGTTTAGTGATTTACAAATATACTATTAGATTAAGCTATTAATTTTATTTAACATAGAACAGATTAACCATTAAAATTGCGCATATATTTAATCGAATCTATTTTAAATACGGCCTAATATTTTGGACGCGTGATCGTGCTCACGGGGGTTGAAGATAGAGGGTCTTGTGTCAAAGTCAAATCTGCAGTAGCGCCACCTGTTTTAACGTAGGCGTATTTGGAGAAACTGACTGACCCTTAACAGAACGGACTCACGGTGTCCTCTCGTGTATATTTCTAGTTTTAAACGGTTACATGTGTATTATTAAACCCGCAAACTACAAACAATGGTATAAATATTAGTTTTGAGATTATGTTTTCTATTCCGTTCGTAGTCATATTGAAATTTTCTTTTATTATCTTTTATGAATATAGTAACTTCGTGATTTAAACGAAATATATTCAGAAGCTTAGGCAAAATAACATCTCAGTCAAAGTTGGAACGTTAAAATTGATATTGGTAAAATTGTATCATTACGTAAATGAAATATTTGGCATTCATATTATAATAATCATGACCTTACACTTGAAAGTAATCAACTGTTCAAAACGTGTTTATTATATTAAACTTCCCGGAGATAACCCAAACGATGATAAATACTTAGATACTTTTACATATTTCAGAAATTGATTCTTTGCTTGTTATATAACCATATATATTTAATAACTTAACTGGTTTAAACGTGAATTTTACTTGTTGTGTTTTATTCAGTTAACTTAATTATGGCCTGACGCTTCGGATGCTTTGCAGCAGCCGTGGTCCCCCGTGACGAAAGGATATATTTCGGATTTTGAAGCCGTTAAAAGTTTTATTTCAATGTTTACCACACGCGCAAATTACAGACAATACTTACCTATGTTTAAACTTGTAATGCTCTATTGTAAGTTTTAAATTGGTAGAGCACCAGACTGTCTAGGTTTATAAGCTGTCGTATAAAGCTTTTTAAAAGTAAACATACAAACGCTTTTCGAATATATTAAATATATTGTGACACGAAGGACAGAGAATAAAAGACTTTCTCCTATATTGATGTTATATATCACAGGTATCAATCTTTTAACGTTTTTGGATCCAGTGAAAATCGACCCACGACCCGTTGGTTATTAGCCATAAATTTCTACCATTTGACCAACAAGCCCGTCAATTATTACGTAAACGTCCGTTACTGTATATCGTACCAGCGTACAGGATTATTTTCAGCTTTCTCCCAACTGGTTGAAGATACACTTGCAACAATAGTTGAAGAATACTTCTTACATTACTCTTTAAATTCGATATTTAAAAATAATAAACCAGTCCTATACCTGCTCTAATTCCTTAGTCCCACTTAGTAACATTAATGGTTTAGTTTTGTGTCCTAATCAACGACCTTTGTCCTGCCTAAATAAATAGTTAATTTAACAACTACTTATTATGATTTACCGCTGCGTCTATAAAAGTAGTGGTGGGGGCTCCTTTTGTGCATTTGCCGTTGCGTCGCGGTCCTGGACGCACGTCTGTTGAGACTGATTTGTAGTGATATTACCCCTCAAGATGGGGACGTATAGTTTAAGCTTTTTTAGTGTTTTAATCCTAGCTGTTTTATGGAGTCCGGCCCTCAGTGGTATGTTATTCTTTTTTACTAATAGCAAAAAACATTAATTCTACCAAAATATAAAATACAATAATATTATATTTATACAGTATTAAATTTCTTTTCATGTAACATTTCACAAGTTTATTGTTTTAAGTTATACAATCGTCGTAAAAACGCATACTTTACAGCGTAACGTAATATCATAGAAATCTTTTGAAAATAAAGGTAGTCAACCACTTACAGATAAACGATACTATATTTTAATTAAATTACAGTAATATTAATGTCTTTATGATGATATATATGCATGATAAGAAATATGGTCTCTTTATTTTTCCATAATACCGACTAACTCGTATTTTTGAAATCTCATATAAAAAAAAATAGGTCCATATTATTGTCACACTGTCATTTTTCAAGCTTTTAAAATTCAATATTATTAACAATGAATAATTTCTTCTATGAAGCATGTAGTCCCTTTACTTCATACTAATTTGTAAGATATTCCTTGAATAACCTAGGCCATGAATTGAGTTGAATTGAGAACTTCATTTGAGCGATGAGAACGATTACGCAACTTCTCAAAAGGTAAGCCTTATGGACGGACACTGTTGCCAACACTGATAACATTTCGCTAAATGCGAATTGATAAAAGAAACTTTAACCTTAGATTGTGTTATCAATGTCACCGACGACGTTAGAGCAAAATTTTACCTTCTCCCGTTACGTTAAAGTTCAAAATAACATAAGCGATTATAGTCATAGGTCAAACACATCTTTGCTGATTATAATAATCAGTTGTTTGTTTTAAATTATTGTAAATAAAAGACTGAGTTTGTGTTTAATTAACTTTCTATCAGCTTATTTACGACTTAAAAGCAAACACAATTAAGTATTAAGACAGTGAAAACAAAAGAATACTTAAATATTTATGAGTCTCATTAAGACTTTCAAGATTTTAAATAATTTTGTTCGCTATAGCTTCGCTTTTAGTATAGCACCATGTTTAAATAGTGAAGTTAGAAAAAAGAATAAGTTAATTTTACGTTTTTTCATTACGATTTTATTCTGACTTATCCACTGAAGAAAAGGTTTATTATGTTTTTTTAATCTTATTCTGTGTATGTCTAAGACGATATCTTTTTTTGTTGGAAGCAATTGTATTGTTTCCTTTTCAGTGAAATTCGTAAATGAATGTAAGATTTATTAAAAATTAGAATCTTTTTTTCCCAATTTTTCTATACAATATATAATTTTTCTGAAACATGTCTATCGTTTGGAAATCTGGATATTTAATGGGTGGTAGGAATATTGTAATTCCGTCCGGGTATCACCATCCACAGAAGACAAAGACAAAGTAAAATCACGCTTCGGTTTTAGTCTGTGGATTTTATAGGCATGTGTATAGGCTGGGGTATATCTCGTACCACCCAGTGAAGCATGTGCTTGTCTGTCCTCCTCTATGATTAAAAAAAAATACCTAGCAACACCAGACAAGCGGATGCTTTTATCTAATATACCTCTTAAAGTGTTAAAATAACTACACTCAAATGATAAGATAAAAAACCTTGACAATGACCACACAACGGTTCTTAAGAGCTCGATATCTTTTGACCTTACTTATCGAAATTCGCAATTAATGTAGCGTCTGTCTTGATAACAAGTAGAAATTCGAAGAAGTGTTTTTAATTATTTAATATGGGATTAATCAAGGTTTATTAATACGAAAACATAAATATTCCTTAACAGTATTGAATTGACTATATTGTTTGTAGTTAACGTGGCCAGTACACATTTAAATAAAACACTTGAACGGTTTAAAACGCGATATGTATTAGTTAAGGTTATTTGAAAATTATTTTAACTACGGCTCGAATTTTAGCCGTGGTCACGGGGAGAGTAAAGACGGATGGCGCCATAGTTAAAATAATTTTCAAACAAGTATATCTAATATATATCGCGTTTTGAACCGTTAAAGTGCTTTATTTAAATGACGTCCATTTGTTTTTTCCAATGCGTTGCCTAGTTGAAGATACAAAACGTCGAGAGGTCTACTGTCGAAAGACTATAATATCTTTGCTATTAAGGAAATTTCTCAAATTGGGAAAAAAGGCCGGTGAGGATCGAACGATGTTGCTACCATTACACCCACGAGCCCGTGAAAAACACTTACTACTTGAGTTTTGGAAAGAGAAACTTCAAATCTTCAACGTGTAGGGCTTATTTATAGAAACTTATTACTAAACCACGTTTTAGAGTTTGGTGGATATCATAAAAATATTATAAGCAAGCTGTGTCAGCGACTTCGTCCGCGAGAATCATTATTTTGGGCATCAAAATTCGTTTTGCAAACCTTTTTTACTTGTATAAACTTAAACTGTCACCCACGACGTTGGTCGCCCCCCACGGTCCCTTTCCGTCGTGCAAGATAATCTTAAAAGATATACATATAGCGTCGCAGTCATATTTCTCGCTGTATATTCGCTCCGATTAGTCACAGGACGATGTTTTATAAACTATAGCTTTCCTCGATAAATGCCCTAACCAAACAAAAAGATTTTTTTAATTCGACCTCGTAATTCCTAAGATTAACACGTTCAAACAAACAACGCTTCAGCTTTATATATTAGTCAAGATTTAACTATATAATATTATGTATATTGCATGACACACACATTTATTTACGACACATTTTATGTACATTTTTGTTGTACTGTCTTTCGTAGTACAATTTGTATAAAATCAACAACCTTAACCAAAGTTAAATAAAATTTACTATCTAATTTTTTATTTAACTAACTTCTAAGAAGAAAAAAATAGAGAATACAAGAAAAGCATTAATTTTAGTGGACTTACCAACTAAATACAAATTAAAAGTACTAAAAACAACTGAATATAAACGAATGTGATATGACGATTATGTATTTAAATTTAGCTAGCTAAGTATGCACAGATATATAACCTACACATGTAAATAAAACATTCTTAACGGTTTAAAAACGCAATTAATTACTTAGGTTATTTACCGTTATAACTACGGCGAACAATTCAGATGCTTAATACATTTCGCGTTTGAAACTGTTAAATAGTGTTATATTTGAAGGTGACATATTCATTAGATAGAGTCTCGTCAAAAGACCAGGGTTTAATCGGCTTAGAGACAAAAAAATTGTTTTATAATTAAGGTTTTATTCTTAAAAACCCGAAAAAGGAGTATAGTATGCAAGAAAATACCATGAAAGCCTTGTAATCTTCCCCTTTTTTTTGTGTCGCGAATAATACACATTTAAATAAAACACCTTAACGGTTTAAGACTTATTTTTAACTAGGGCCCGACGTTTTGGATGCTTTGCAGCAACCGTGGTCACGGGGAGACTAAAGATGACGTAAAAGTAAAAAACTGCTACGCTAACGGCATCTGTTCCGTCGAAGTTGATATTTAGAATTGCAAGGACCGAAACGTCGGGCCGTAGTTAAAATAATTTTCAAACAAGTTTAACTAAAATATATCACGTTTTAAACCGTCAAACTGTCGTATTATCTTTGTTTCGTAGCGTACAAAATCAAAGGCCTTTTACGTACACCATTTTAGCCAATGATCAATAAAGAAGGTTCTATATATTTTCGTTAGAATTAAAAGTGCATTCCCACGTTCTTTCACGACGTCCACAATCAGCTAATTCTCCAATCAATAACCTAAACTGTCGTTTCCGTGCGGGGTCTCTCGTACTTGTATATGCATAATATTGTTTATAACTGTATTTTGATTCTCTTAAGTTGCTTTCTTAAGAAATTTACTAAAAGTATAGAATAAAGACGCTATAACACTGCAAAATCTAGTCTATTATCTTTTCAATTTGAGACCTGAAAAAGGTATTTCAGGCAGAAACCTCAGTTTTCCTCATATACATAAAAACGTATCGGTTACGTTTATTAATTACAATATATAGGGCATTGCAAGTATGAAATAAAGACGCCCCTAAGTGACTATTATATCATTTTTTATCTCTTTTCAGTGAACTGATTTTTTTTTCAGGCAGAATTTTTTAGTTTTCGTCATATACATAAAAACAATTTTATTTGCTTTCTTTATTAATTGCAATAATAAATGCTGTAGGATCAAAGACAAGTGTGTGAGAATGATTATTATAATTACAAAGCATGATTTTTTGCAAGAAACTTAAGTACTTATAATAATAAACACTATTTAGAATACTCGAGTTGAAACTCGACAACACATAAGAACAAAGATTAAACATGTCCCAGCAGTGGGAAATTCTACATCCAATAAGCCTATATATACATATACTGATAATAAAACCAGGACTAATTTATATCCAGTAGGTACGCAATACGAAGCGCAGTTTCTGCAATTACCCAATTTGTCTGATCGGACCCTATTTGGGGTCCGTATGACCCCAGGTCCTTGACATCCAGATACACTACTCTACTAAATAAGCAGTTTGTTTTTGCGTTTTATAGGCTTTTCAATAAACACTTCTTTTATTTTATACTTATAAGGGGTACTACCCTACGCGGTCCCCGCGCGACCACGGCTGCTGAAAAGCATGCGAGTCATCGGGTCGTTGTTGAAATAAATAAAAAATGGTACTTACAACATTTTGCGTTTTAAACAACTATAGTGTTTTATTTAACTGTGTACTACTCGCGCAAACTATAAACAATATTTTATGCGTTCGCAAATCTTTGCTAAGAAGAAGATGGAGAAGATTCGAAATTTCGTCCAGGTCACAAACCACCGTCTGTCTATAAATGAGGTAGGCGTTTCTAAGAGTATGAGATATACATAATATGAACATCAATTCAGTTTGAGTTAATACCTAAAGCAAGTTATAAGAAACACTATTTAAAAAAAATGATAGCTTCTTGCTTAGGTATTAATTAAAAGGAAGATCCCATTTTATGTGATCATGATTCATTTATTTATTGTCATGACCCCGGAACCCTTGACGGAACTAACATTGTTGATTGTTGACTTACTTATCAGCTTGACCTAGGCAGATAAACTTGGCAAACTTAGGGACCGGACCTTAAACTTTGCATAATATCGGGTGGAAAATTATGCTTAGGTAAATGAGAAAGAGTGTCGTTTTTAACACAATTGTTCCACTATCTTGCTTGTTGTTTAATACTTTACGCATTTCAAAGCTATTTTTTACTCTTGTTTTGATAGACGCTTCATGTATTTAAAATATAATAACGTTTCATTTAAAACATTTTTCTTTTTTTGTTACAGATAAGTGCTCCATAGCTTGTAAAGGATGTAAGTGTACCTTTAAAAATAATTTCAATATAGTCTATGAAGTTTTGTCAGCAACCAAAATTTTAAGAACCAGAAAATAATCTTAGCTATTTCCTTTTATGTCAGAGTAAAAATACTTCATAATAATATTATTTTTTAGCTGCATCAGCACCAGGTTTTCTCAATGGACACACATACACTTATGGAGTAGAAGGAACAGTATCAGTATACCTTACAGGAGTTGAGAAGCAAGAAACAAATGTCAAGATTTTCGGTCAGGTTTCCGTTACTGCATTGGGCAACTGTGCTCATGCCTTGAAGGTCAACTCTTTGGCTATTTCTGGTCCCAATGGCAAGGTACAAATGGCATCTTTAATATATACAAGAAGCAGTGGAACTTAACTAGAATCTTAGTAAACTTTAAATAAATAAAACTATATTTCAGAAATACCAAGCACCTGCAGGCATTGACAAGGCAGTTCGCTTCAGTCTGCAAGATGGTCGCGTTGGATCCGAAATTTGTGCTGAGGATGGTGATACCAGGTCGTCTCTCAACATTAAGAGGGCCATTATCTCATTACTGCAGACTGAACAGAAAACTTCAACACAGGTTGGTATCTTTGGCTTGTTTTTTTTTTTGGATTTACCTATAGGTTTTAGGTTTTATGTGTTTAGTTGAGACTTCCAAATGATCAAATATTTTATTTACTATACTCAATTCAATTCGTTCGAAAGAAAGGTTTTTTTTAATGTTTATTTTTATCCTTAGGTGGACGTTTTCGGTGTGTGCCCCACAGATGTGTCTTCATCAGAAGAAGGAAGCTCAGTACTACTCCACAGACGCCGAGATCTTTCCCGTTGTGCGCATCGGGAACAGGGCAAGAATGACTTGATCACCGCTGTCTACAACCCAACTGCTGTAAGTTGGAATACCTCGTAACGAAAAACAAAATGAAATACCTTTGTTTAAAATTGTGATTTACGTATTACTGTACATTGTTCTTTTTTAGGAAATTAAAAACACCCAAATTCTGCTATCCAGTTTAAGTGTTGAAACTAAGGTGAACAAAGGAGTACCAGAAAAGATTGCTGCCACTGAAGACTATGTATACAGACCCTTCTCATCTGGTGAAAATGGCGCTAGAGCATCCGTTCACACCAAACTTACCCTCTCTGGAACCAAGAGCGGTGGTGGAAATGGAGGTAAATTAGCTGATCTATATAAGAAGTTTTTAAGTATTCTTTCCTTTTAGATCCAAAGATGATAAAGATAATTTTCATAGGTAACTGTCCTGTGAGCCGCACAATCATTTTTGAGAACCCTCACCAAGGACATGGAGACCACAGCAATGCCCAAAATGTACTGAGTGCCATTAAGGAAGCTTGCAAGAACCTCGGAAGTGAAGCTGGCTCCAAATCAGCTGGTATCTTTGCTCAACTTGTCAGAGTAAGTAATTCAGTACTGTTTGCGCATGGTAGTATAATACAAGTTACTTAGATTAAAAATAATTGATTTTTCGAATCCCTGACGGCAGCCTTTCCGTATTATAGTAGCTTATTTAGTTTAAATATATAGTATCCATATAAGTATACCATTTCAGTCTTTATTTTAAACGTAAAGAAGTTATTCAATATAATCACACATTTGGTAATAAGACATTAATTAATTTATGGTTTGCTTACAGATTATAAGAGTCACTAACAAAGATGACCTGATGAAGGTGTATGGTCAAGTTAAAGGCAGCAATTTGGAAAAGTAAGCTGTTCTTTTTGCTAACTCATTTATATATATTTACATAAACATTTCTCATCTAATGGAACCATATATTATTTAAAGGCGCGTATTCCTGGATGGTATTCTTCGTGCTGGTACCGGCCCCAGTATCGAAGCTTCGATCCAGATCCTGAAGAATAAGCAGTTGGCTCCTCTTGAAGAGAAACTTGTCTTCCTTTCTCTTGCTAATGCAAGACATGTTGACAGCGACACTATTAAGGCAGCAACTGTAAGTCTTTTTTTTAAGTTTTATTTATAACAAATAACTAAATAAAACATTGTAGATCCTTATCTTTTCATACTCTATAACTTGAATCATTTTTATAGGGTCTTCTTGATTTGCCCGATCTACCTAAAGAACTCTATCTTGGAGTCGGTGCTCTAGCTGGTGCCTACTGCCGTGCTCACAATTGTCATTCAGCCAAGACTGAAGGAATCATCACCCTTAGCAAGAAGTTTGCAGCCAAATTACAGAACTGCAAGCCCAAGAGCAAAGTTGAGGAAGATAATGTAAGTGCCTCGCATAAAATAACATGTTTCATTTGTCATACATTTTTCCTAACAATAATTTCACTCATTTTTAAATACTTATTAGTTGTCTGTTAGACTCTGAAAGTCAGCGTTGAGTCATAAGTCACTTATGCTGATGATAGAAACTTCTTGTTTAATTTGTATTCTACTCAATTTTAATTAATATCATTATAGCGTTAATAAAACCTATCAATATTTTATTTGTAGGTGATAGCTGTGTTGAAGGGTATCCGTAATATTCGCCATCTGGAGGACAGTCTAGTCGACAAGCTAGTGCACTGTGCCAACGACAACGGTATTAAGGCTCGCGTTAAGGTTGCCGCCCTCGAAGCTTTCCAAGCGGATCCGTGTGCTGCTAAGGTACGTTCTGTAGAAATAGGTAAATCTTAAAAGGAAATTTCACAGGAATGATTTGTAAAAAAATGTTGTTAAATAATAACATTACATAACAAGCCATATAACATTTAATATTTACTTCCGCTGTACATGATTGACGTTAAAATCTACAGTATTCTCATTAAGCTGTAACAATGTACAGATCAAGAAAGTCAGCCTCGACATTATGAAGAACAGACAGCTGGACTCCGAAATCCGTATCAAAGCTTACCTCGCCGTTATTGCCTGTCCTTGTGGAAAGTCAGCCAATGAAATTAAGGCTTTATTGGACTCCGAGCCAGTTCACCAAGGTAATGAACTGATAAATAATATTAAAGATTAGACAATTTTAAGGGTCAAAAACATTTGAAAGTTAGTGAATCCCCGTCTTAGCCGTCTGTCTGCCGGGGTGACAGACTTCTGTGCTGTCCCGTATAGTTTCCCCGGAATTCTACGTCGGAAAATCTCATGCTTAATCCAAAGTCGGGTGATGTGTTTAACCATTCAGTTTAATTATACTTTTAAAAGCTCTTTATACTTTGAAAACATTAATATTTTTCACATGTTATTGCACATGAAGGCACTATATAATTTAAAAATCGAAAATAAATTGAAAAAATTTTTTTTCCTCGACTCGGGGAGGGCTTGAACCGCGCATCGTCAGCTTTCAGAGCAACAGCACGGAAAGCTGACGATGCCGGTTCAAGTCCTGCCCGAGTCGAAAATTTTTTTTTTTTATTTTCGATTTTTAAATATATAGCTCTTTATACTACAGCATTATAAGAAAGGATCGACGAGTGGGCCTAATATGATGGATGTATAATACAAACAATTATTTCCAGTTGGTCGTTTCATCACAACATCTCTGCGTCACATTCGTGCGTCGGCTAACCCCGACAAACAACTGGCTAGACAACACTATGGTCTCATCTCCACACCTAGCAAGTTCAATATTGATGACAGGTATGTTTCATTTCTACAACTAAGTTTCTTACATAGTTAACTTTAACACGAAACGTTTAATTTTATAGTGTGCAATACATTAGGACAAACACATTTGCCTGTTCATTTATGGTTCATCAGACGTTTGCCCAGCCAAAACTTTTTCGGTCGGACAGATATTTTATTCGATTATTAATTTCAGGAAATACTCCTTCTACCGCGAATTCTCCTACAACGTAGATGCTCTCGGTGCTGGTGGAAACCTGGAGCAGACTGTGATTTACTCCCAAGACTCGTTCATTCCACGATCTGCCTCTTTCAACCTTACCGCTGAAATCTTTGGACACAATGTCAACGTTTTTGAGGTACAAAACCAAGATTTACAAAACCAGTAATTTATGTTAGACTTATTCGAAGAATTTTCGTTAATAACTATTTTTTAATTACAATAACCAGCTTCAAAAACGTAGAATAAGTAGTAGTCATTTGTTTTTAATATTAAGCAATTCTTTAATATATATATCTTTTTAGATTGGCGGACGTCAAGGTAACTTAGACAGAGTGGTCGAACATTTTGTCGGTCCACGTGGTATCTTAAGGACACAGAAACCTCAAGACATTTATGATAACATAGTTAAGCGTGCTGAAGAAGCTTTCAAGAAGGTCGATGGCAACTTGAGAGGACGCCGCTCGATTAAGAGTGAAATTGACAACTTTGATAAGAACGTAAGTATTGTGTTATTAAAGGATAAAGCGAAGACGTATATTATGAAATTATGTACAATGTGTGCAATTTTAATTATATACACAGCAACATTAAAAAAGAAACATAGATAATAAGAAAAAAATCTTTGTTTGTCCTACAGTTGAAAGCTGAATCCGTCCCATACAACAATGAACTAGACTTGGATATGTACCTGAAACTCTTCGGTACTGACGCCATTTTCTTATCGCTCGGTGATGACAAGGGCTTCGATTTTAACAAGGGTCTTGATCAAGTATTAAAGATCTTCAACGATGGTGTTGAAAAGGTCAAACACTTCCAGGTAAACCTGTAATTCATATTTTTTCATCTTTCATTCATTAAAATGGATAAGTCTTAATCAAATCTTATTTATGCTTGTAGCAAGAAGTACGCGCTCATATGCTGTTCTTGGATGCTGAACTAGCATACCCCACTTCAACTGGTCTCCCCATCAAACTGGACGTAGTTGGATCAGCAACTGGACGTGTAGATGTTTCAACCAACATCGATTTGAAACAGATCATCCGTTCACCACAAAATGCGAAAGTTGACATCAAAGTCGTTCCTAGTACTGATATCGAAGTATCCATGGTGATGATGGTCGATGCAAACTTAGTTAACGCTGGTATCAAGGGAATTGTCAACTTACATTCTTCCACTGGTGGTCACTTGATTGCGAAGGTTATCGACAACGGCCAAGGGTTCGACCTTCAGTTTGGTTTACCAATTGACAAACAAGAAATTCTCACGGCTTCCAACGAGCTGGTGTTCTTTACGGCAGAGATTGGGCAGCTTGAGAAACAGACACCAATTAAGGTGGATGCCGACAAAAAAGAGTATTCAGGATGTTTCGATCAGCTATCAGGAATGTTGGGTCTGACGCTGTGTGGAGAATTCTCGGTTCCGTTCACTTTCTCAGGTAAGATTTGAAACTTATGTAAAACTTCCACTATGAATTATATTAGCAAAAAAATATGACAGGAACGACCACGTGTTATTGTAATCTACAAAATTTCTAAATTCTATGCTATATAAAACCTACTTATAAAAGATCATCCTATCTTATTTTTATAAAGCGTTAAATGCTATTTATTATATTAAATAATTTAACGCTTGTTTTTTTAAACATGGGGCCGTATTTAAAGTTTGTCGTGCATTATATATTATAAAAATATAATTATCTCTTATTTCTCAGGATCAGAAGCTCAAGCGTCTATCGCTAAGTTCCTGGCTAGATATCCGGTTGTGGGCCCATCTAAAATCCGCGTCGCTTTGGAAAAGAACGATCTCCGTGGTTACCACATCAAGGGTGCGTTCAGAAATGATGCAGACAATGGAAAGTATGGCGCTGAGCTTCTTCTTGAAGCAGAAGGTAATAAAATATACAAGTATAACGTTTTTGTAAATATTTTTTTTAATGTTTAAAAACAATTTCTAAATCAATCATACATTTTCAGGTTCCCAAAATCGTCGTACACATCTCTCTGGTGACATCATCAATAACGCCGAAGAAAAGTCTGTGAAACTGTCTCTCGAATCACCCATCAAGAATTTGTATGCTCAACTGTCCCTGTTCACAAAATCAAATGAACAAGCTATATTGGCTAAAGCTAAAATGGATGATATGCAATACTATGCTAGAGCCGGATTCACCGCTTCTGGTAATGACAGACGAAGGGTTTGGAAGCCAATTTTGGAGTATGAGCTGCCAGATAAGAACGGAAAACAGAACCTCAAGATTGACGGACAGTTGATTCAAGAAATTAACGGTCCGGCTACTCGTTACACACTGGAGGGCATTAAGGTAATTTCAACGAGTACAGGAAATATATTTTTATTAATTCTGTTTATAAACTTCGTCTAATTCATCATTTTAAAACAGGTCATTATTCCCAACTCCAACGAACCGGTTAACATGGAAGGTCACTTTAACTATGAACCTAAGCTCTTGGAACTGGACCTTAAGGCCAAAAAGGGTCAGCACAACTTGCTGCTCAGCGGTTCTCTAAAGGGCAGTGATGCCAAACTTGAGTTCCAGAACACACTTAACCCCTATGTCAACTTCAAACTTAACGGACACTTTGAGAACACTGAAAATGTAAGTAATGTTGTAATGTTGTAAAAGTGTAGTATATCTATAGTGTAAAACAAATTTCACGTTAAAACCCGAACATTCTAGGTGTTAACTAAGTTGCGACTTACTTCCAAGATCATAGCGTTGTTCAACATTATAAAAGAAATTAATATAATGGTTTTTGTTTATATATTTATACAATATAAATCAAATTTTAAATCGCCAAAGTATCATTCGTGTAAAGCACATTCTTATCATTATACTTTTTTTAAATAATAAATTACGATAAACAAGCATGGATTTACTTGATGGGGGGTCAAATACCCCAGCCACATAAATCTAAACCCAGCCAACCTATTTTGGCTTTGGACATTCGAAATGAATTTTAAACGGTGTGATTTTTCCAGCTCTACCACAACGACCTTGATCTGTACTACGGAGGTGATCTTCGCAACTCGCAAAACCGTGTCACATTCAACCAACTCCTTAAATGGGCTGATGCTACCAATGTCATCACCAAAAACAAATGTAAGTTCAATAATTCATCAAACCCACAAACATTTGTAGATTCAAATTCTTTACTTGATAAACTTTGTTTTTCAGTTGAAATCCACGCCCTCCCGATTAAAGCGCAATTCGATTTGGAATACGATCCTAAGAAATTCGATTTGGATGTAGAAGGTATCTACGTTGACCGCAAATTCGATTTTGAGATTAACGCGCGCACCGCAATCAAAAAAGTTGGCGACTACAGAGTAAAAATCCTGTTGACTCTTGACAAACAATCTGTAGAAGCATTCGTAAAGAGAGATATAGTTTCACCCGATAAATCTAACTTGGAAAATTACATCGAAGTCAAGAATATGGGCAAATATGAGCTGTCTGGAGTTGTATTGCACAAGAACAAACCTAATGATGTGAATATTGGAGCGATTGGACACTTAAAGCTTGCAGGTGGTGAATTAAAGGAAGATATCAAGTAAGTATATTACATAAATTTATTTTAACGCTAAAATATATGACAGTTAAAACGCGAAATATATTAGTTAACTTATTCTTGACTACGGCCCGTGTACAACAGTCGAGAGGGAGGAAGACGAAAAACCAAGGACGACTCAGGTCAAAGCCATATCTGTTACACTAGCGCCATGTGTTATAACGAAATATAATATTTAGAGGAATTAGCTGGCTCCTTAGAACTATCTTTACATTAGTTTTAAACCAATAAAAGTGTTTTACAAAATACTCTTTAATTCCAGCTTCGACGTGGGTGTACTCGAAAATAACAACCTTTACACAAGTCATGCTAAAATTTCTCGCGCCAAGGACGGTACGATTGTGGACTTCCTCTCTAAAGTCAACCGTGGTGACAACCCCAATGGCCAGCTGAAATTACTCCTGAAGGATACTGTCAATGCCAACGGACACTACCAAGTGACGGACAACTCAGGCAAAGGAAACGGAGTCTTCATTATTGAATTTAAACAGGTAAATAAAAATCAGTCTGAAACCCAGTGCTGCTGGGGTGACAAGCATTCAACAGCACAGCTTGATACCGATTGCCGTTTCTTATCTATAATTGATATACGCAATTTAGTAGTTGTAAGTTAATAACTAACAATACCTAATAATAGTTGTAACTAACTGTAACTTAAAAGGGCAACAAAAACTTTTGAATCTGAATTTGAAAAAGGAATTAATATTTCTCTTTTATTCGACTTCTTGTTTATTGGCAACTATTTCGTAACTAATTAAAATAATTTATTATAAGATACAGCTGACCTTCCTAATAACCTAATTTACAACAGCGACGGTAATAATGGGGGAGTGACACTAGTTAGTAGTGGTTGATTTTGTCTATCTGTGTTACACTGTCTTCATGTAGCTAATGGAATCGTGGTAGAGTAATAAGGGAATCTCTTACTGTTTGCAGGCTCAACGTAAAATCAAGGCAGATGTCAAGTTCGTGTCAAAGGAACCAGTTTACAACGCAGATGTCGAGGTATTCCTGAACTTCGAGAAGGACAACAATGACAAATTACACTTCTCCACGAACAACAAGAAAACTGAAAAAGCCATCGACTCCAAGTAAGATTCTAATCTCACATATTTGTATCATCCCTAAGGGTTCAAATCCTAGAAAAACATACCTAATATTGTTAGTTAGGTGGACATTTACAGATGTCCGATAAATTACCTGTCTGAAAATGAGTCAGTGAAGCAGAAACTAAAAATTTGTGAGTGTATATGCAAATTGTTGACTTGTCTGTAAATCGATCAGATGAGGCAGAAACTAAAAGTGTGTTAGAGTGTATGTAGATTTTTGACTTGTCTGTAAAGCAATCAGTGAAGAATAAAATGAAAATGTGTGAGTGTATGTAGATTGTTTACTTGTCTGTAAGGCGATCAGTGGAGCAACTGAAATTAATGAGGGTGTGGGAGTAGACAATGTGCACATTCCATGTGTCACATTGTCTACTTATTGTTTTTCTTACATACAAAACTCTAAGTAATTTGTTCTAATTTAAGGAACAAGCTGGAATACAACGGCAAAAAGGGAGAACTGAACATCCACAACAATGGTGAGCTCTTCGGCGTAGCTAAGGGCGTCGCTGAAGTTGAAATTGTCTTGCCCACTGAAAGATGCCTCACTTTCAAACTAGACCGCGACGTCACTAGTAAGAACAGTGTAAGTAAAAATCATCTGAAACAATTTCTTGTAGTTCGGTATTGCTAATTTACACGAGAAGTACTTATTTAAATAAAACACTTTTAACGGTTTAAAACGCGAGATACTTAAGTTAACTTGTTTAAAATTTATTTCGGATGCTTTGTGACGACTGTGGTCACGGGGGGGCTTACGATGGAGTGTTTTCCTAAAGTCAAAACTATTACGTTAGCCCCACCTGAGACTTCAAAGCTCCGAAATGTCAGGACAAGTTAACTTGATTTATTTCGCATTTTAAACGGTTAAAAGTGATTTATTTAAACATGATAACAGACTACTATTCAATGAATGCCCTAATTACTCCATGTTAGGTCCGTCAGGTAGTGGGATTCGAACCCCTGACCCGTTGATGGTGGAATTTTTTTTTTGTATATTTCATGTTTATCAAATAATTTCCTCTTTTAGGTCTACAGCGGAAACGCAGAACTTTTCCTATCCGACGCTTCCAAACGCGGTGGAGCTGCATCTACAATCCAATACAAGGGAAAACTTGTCGACACCGATTTTGAGAACTCCTTTGATTACGAAGGCTCCGTCCAGGTCCGCCTTGCAGATGGACGGGACTTTGTCAACTCTGTATTATTCAAGGATGTACCTAACGGAGACAAGAACGACGTCAAGTTTAAGGTAGAAGATCTTTAATACTTTTAAGTTCTGACCGTAGTTTACATGACTCACACGTTTAACTGTTCAAAACTTAAGTTTTAACTACAGCTGACGACGTTTGGATGCTTTAGGACGATGTAGGGTGTCACTAATGTCAGTCAATTAATTGCAAATTAAAATCGATTTTTAATCTATATAACTGTTTTTAAAGGTGGTCCGTATAGAATATATAATTTCTAATTGCGACTGGAGGTTAAGCTTATTTATTTTTTAACTCCTATATATCACCACTCTGATATAAACTGGAGCTGTAGCAATTAGGGAAAAAAGAAGAATTTATTATCTATACTATACTATAATATAAAGCTGAAGAGTTTGTTTGAACGCGCTAATCTCAGGAACTACTGGTTTGGATTTAAAAATTCCGTTTGAGTTTCCGATGGGTACGCTGCGAAAACGGTTCAGGATACTTAAACAATATTTATGAACGAATGATTCCTATTTTAATGACCTAAAAAAAATGACCACGAAAGTCTACCTATCTTCTACGATGTCTTGGGTAAGAGCTATAATTTATAACCGTGAGGATAGATGGCCAAAATAACTAGAAGTAGCTGCCACTTGTTATATATAAATACTTATTTGATTTTCCACAGGCCGATGCATCTGGAAGCCTGATGCCAAAGAAAGCCCTCATCGATGGAAGCTTATCATACTCGGGATTAAAGATGGTTGAAGCGTGCCACCTCAAAGCAAGCTATGGAGACGATCTCTCCACCGAATTGGTTGGATCTTTCGTAGCTAACTTCCCTGCCAGTGGAGAAAAGAAGTAAGTCTTCTTCTATTCTCATAGTGGCCTTCAATATGGTACTCTTGTTCTCAGTCCCCTTCAACGATTAAATACTACGTCAAGAGATATGATAGTCCTAGGTTCGTAATATATTTATAGAATGAAAGTCTTGGTTATGCAAAATCAAGATACTGTGAGAAGCTGTAATAGTCGCGCTTGGGACATGATACCCATACTTATAAATACGTATCCTGACTTGATGTTATAATGATTGCTATACAATTTCTGGTTTTAACAAAATACTTTTAACGGTTTTAAACGCGAAATGTAATTGTTAAACTTATTGACGGTTTATATTAACTACGGCCCGACATTTCGGATGATGTTGCGATTTCGAATGAATATAAATTGTCAATAAGTTAAATTTCGTGTTTCAAACCGTCAAAAAAGTTTTTTTAACGGTTTGAAACAATTTAAATGATAAAATTAATGTTTCCTTCTTAGATTCTTGAACGACTGGTCCGCTTCATTCCGTTTGCCAGTGGAAAATGCACATGACATCAAATGGGTTTCCAATTTCCTCTATTTACAACCGGAGGGTAAGGACGCTGAGGTAAGTCAATGCAACAATCAGGTATTATCATTTGAAATAAAAATAAGCTAATCTTAATTCAAGTAAGAAAAAACGAAGCCAAAACCCACTTTTGTTACTTGTCTGTAAAATAAGTCTTGAGAAGACCGGCATCCTCAGCGTGCTACCACCAATTGAGCTACCGTGCCCTACACTTCATTGTCGACCTCGCGATCAATTTAATGACAATCTAAAATCATTTTTTTTATTTAAAAAATGCCATCACGTGAAACATATTGTTTTATAGTGGTATTTAAACTTTTTGTATGTGCTATCTTACAAATTTTGATATCTAAACTTTTAGGTAACAGTCATCGAGTCAATCCAAATCAACGGTGACTTATACAAAATTGATGGAAATGGTAAATTCAATGAGAAAGATGGTAACAGCAAGCTGAAGGTTATAGTACCACACAATGACCCTGTCGTCCTTGATTTCGGTTACAAGGCCGTTCTTCAAGGTAATTTTAATATTAATAAAATTTATAAAAAAAAAAACAAAAAGTTTCCAAAAATTAATTCTGATAGAGCACATAAGTCATATAATACTGGTATTAAGAAAATGCCTTATAAAGAGAATATATAATAATAGGATTTTTAAATAAAACACTTATCGGTTTAAAACGCGATATATTAGTTAAACTTATTGGAAAATGGCTTTTAAGTCTCCCCGTTGACCACGGCTGCTGCAAAGTATCCGAAACGTCGGGCCAAAGTTAAAAATAATTTTCAAATAAGTTTAACTAATATATCGCGTTTTAAACCGTTAAAGTGTTTTATTTAAATGTGTACTACTCGCATAAACTATAGACAGTATTTAATAGAATTTTTGCAAAATATTAATGTATTAAATACTAATCTGAACTTAATTCTCGTCGAAAAATTCATAAAATCTACAAAATTAAACAATGTTATCGTACAACTGTCATGTCATCTATAAACAAGTCTTCAGTTTAAAGATTCATAACGTTAATCAATGTTTTTTTAGGTGATGAAAAAGGAGGTAGTTTTGATTTCAAAGCACAATATGGAAAGGGCAAAACTGTCAATGTCGGCGTCCAAGCAGTAGCTGCACCTAGAGACTACAAAATCGGTGTTGATATGTACGCACCGCAGAACGATAAGCTTAAAAGACTATCAGTCAACATCCAGAACAAGGTAATTCAAGATATAACTACCCTCAGTGTTGTCTTTGATAAATAAACAAAATGTTTGATTGTGTAAGAAAAAAGTGCGTTTTTAATAGTAAATTATCAGCGCATTGCTCATAAACTTGATCTGCAAAATGGACACAGTTCTGTGCCATACTCCAGACTTTTTAAAAACGAGCCAATTCAAAGGCATCCAAAATCACATTAGGTTTAATACCTCCTTATACACTTCGCACGGGTGTACATAAAATTTGCAAATTTATTATATTTATTAAATCTATAACCTAGTCCAAATATTGCTTATAGAACCCGACTCCAAACACGTACAACTCCCTGATGCTCATCAGCGTAGACGACCGCGTCTACAAATCTGAATCTATTATGGTCTTGTCAAACCGCCAACCTTCTATTGACTTCAAGTATGCTGGACCCAACTCACAAAAGCCCACCAGGTAATAATTTAAGTTGGTAATGGTAATGTTCTGGATTGTTTTACTTTTAAATAAAACACTTTAACGGTTTAAAATGTGATATATTCGAGTTAAACTTATTTGAAAATTACTTTTAACTTCGACTCGACGTTTCGGATGCAGCGGCCGTCACGGGGAGACTAAAGATGGAGGATGTCTCTGACGTAAAAGTTAAAAATTAAATTTTAAAAAGTTTAACTAATCTATCGCGTTTAACCCGTTAAAGTGTTTTATTTGAATTTTTACTACTTACAGATAGTGTTTGTTTTACTTTTCTATATTAATATAAAGATAAGTTTTTTTTTAAATAAAAATCGATTATTAACTGAAAATTTTTCAAATAATCAATTATAAAAACGATATGCCTACCTTTTATGTATCACAATATTAATGTTTAACTTTGCTATTGTTTTTTTATCTATCTATAGTATATTTGCAAACATAAAACCAATATGTTAATGGCGTGAATTGTCAAACGTTTCAATATATTTTAGACAAATTATAAACCAAACTTTGAATTTTTAGAATGGTCATGAAAGGAGACATTGAAATCAACCGTGGACAAGTCGAAGTGAAATTGGAAAACTTCCGTAACTTTGACTTGGACTCATCATTTGAGGCCGCATTCGAGAAGGACATCATGGTCAAGTTCTACGGTAACTCTGAGAAGCTCGAATTGAAGAACTACAAATTGGACATAACCACGAAGGACGCTGGTAACGGCAAGCGCTTAGAGTTCAGCGCTGTTAACGATAACAAGAACATTCTTAGTGGAAGGTAATAAACAATTAAATACTTGATCGCAATTGGAAGCCTTTAATTGAGAGGCGCTGTTGTGTTTCCACTTAGTATATTGACTCTCGAATCCTTCCGTTTCCGCCTACAAAGTTTTCGTGTTTTACCTGAATAATATTTTTCCATGCACACGCTTTTGCTCCGTTTTTATTTCCGTAGAAGGAGGTTGTTGTCAAGTAACTTTTAAATTTACTTATATTAAATAAACGCATCTAAATATCTAAGCGAGTATTACGCGTTTAAAATTTTTTTTCAAAGGTTTAATACGCTTACTATTATAGCTGAGGAATCTAAAAACGGATAAATGCTCCTATTGTCAAATCACATCCGCCACGCCCTCTGCTTTTTCGTAATTATTTATCGTTATTAGTATAACGTTTGAATTTTTTTATATTACAATCTGGAGTAGGTAATTTTTATATTGATGTCTGGTTGTCTAATAAAATTCGTGTTCAAAACGGTTTAAAAAAGTTTATGATGTTTCTGAGATTATTTACAAAAAAAATATACATTTTTTAACATATTATTAACTCTTCAGCACCTCATTTATCAAGAAAGAAGAAGGGCCCAAGACGATCATCGAAGGTTCTGGAACGCTCAAAGTTAAAGATACTCAGAAACCAGCTAACTTCAAGTTCATCCGCACTATGCTTACTGAAGGCGCCGAACAAGGAGTTGAGGTAATGATAAATACTTTACGTCTCCCAAAAACTTATTTTACATCCCATTGACAAGTAATATTAAAAGTGCCCCTTCCCCAAAAATGGTTACAGTGTATAATGACATGTTAAATTTATATAAAGGCAATCTTTCAGTTTACGCGAGTAGCATTAAAAAAAAATATAATTTATAAATTATAAAATGACCTAATCTGAATAATAGTGTCTCCTTTTTTATTTTTCATTTAAGTGCCTTTATACAATAAAAATAAAACACTTTAACGGTTTAAAACGATATATATTAGTTAGCCCTAATGGGGATACTAATCTTTGTGTCCGACTTACGGGCAAGGATTTATGTGCTCTGCCCAACCGAAACAACTTGTTTTTCTGTCACTTGACTCTCTCCTCTATTTTTTCGGTCATTGGGGCGGGGGCCCGCCCCCCCCCCCCCCCCCCGGGGGGGCGGTTTTTTTTTTTTTTGACTTTAATTCTATTTGATAGAGTCACAATAGTTAAATAAGACATACAGATTATATTCTTTATTTTTTTTAGACGTTCATAAACGTAGCGGTAGGAGAACGCAACCATGTCGCGGAATCCCGCATTACAAACCTGGAGTACAAGAGCTCGTATGTCTACTGTGAGGAGAAGAAGCAATGCGCACACGCAGAGTTGCATTCCAAGATTAACGTAAACCGTAAGTATTTTTTAATAAAGTAAATGTTATATAGCTAAAGATTTTGTTTGTTTGCACGCGTTAATCTCAGGGACTCTGCTTCTAATTAAAAAAAAAATTGTGTTGGTTAGACAATTTATCGAGTAAAGCGTTTTTTGGCTATAACATATCGCAAAGATATCGCGTAGAGTTGCAAAAATAAATTTTGATGCCTTTAAATAAAATGTGTTAAATAAAAAAATTCTACGCGGACGAAGTCGCTGACACATTTATTTAGCGTTCTTGTTTCATTTTACAGAACCCGGAGTAGTCCAGCACTTGTTCAACGTTGGTTTTGATCTGCGCAAACTTGGCTTCGCCACCGAGTTTGGTCTGGAAGTCAGTAACGAGTTCTCGGACAAGATGTTCCCTCAATACCTCCTCAATTTGCACGTCAATCGCGAGACAGACAAGATCCACGTGAACGCATACAGCAAACCCGAGTTTGGCAGTAAGTTTTGAATTTCCTATTTACCAAAGAACAACGGCCAAAACGTAGAAGACGGCGAGAAAAAAATCGTTATTTATTTAATCTAGTAATAATTACTCATAAAGCCAGGGAAAAGAGATATGGTTTTTTTTTTCGAATGTGATATTTTTTTAATCTGTTTGTTCAGAAAGTATCGTTGGAGTTCGCATATCGATATTTATTGTTAGATAACGTTATTAACTTTACTATTTTTTATTTACTATTTTTGACAATATTACATTATTTTTGCTTTATATAATATTATTTTCTTGACGCTTTTTACTGGTCACAAAAATTTTTAGTCCGGTACAGTCCCTACACAAATTTGGCCTGTGTTCTATGAATAATACAACATTTTCATGGGGTATGAGGCAAACACATTTCTGTGTCCGTTTCACTGATCGATTTACTGGCAAATAGTTGATCAGTGTTCTATGCCCTGCTCAACCGAAACCTTACATTGTTTAAGTACTGTCTATAGTTTACGCGAGTAGTACACATTTAAATAAAACAATTTGAATGTGATTGATTTTAAAATGATTTATAACTTGGGCTGAAGTTAAAAATAATTTTCAAATAAGTTTAACTAATATATCGCGTTTTAAACCGTTAAAGTGTTTTATTTAAATATATTGTTTTCCTGATTAGGATTAGGACCTCTCGTGCTTGGCAACACGGTTAACCATTTGTGGCCGATTCCAATTGTACGTTACAGCGGTTTATTATTCAATAAGATACCTACGCAATAATTGGATCAAAATTTTAAGGTATACCCAATTCTTCACAGAATTCCCAGCTGGTGTCACCATTTCCCTGCCCAAACGCGTCTTTGCAGTGGAGACCTTAGTTCAATACCCAACAGACAAGTCTCTGCCCTTCCCCGTTCGTGGTGAGCTTAGTCTCTACCCAGACAAGAACAGGCCGGAAACCAAGACTGGTGCTCGGTTCCTGGTTGACGTTCACACCAACGAGCAAGGCGGTGATGGTGTAGCTGAAATTGGATTCGTTCACCCGAAAATACGAAAGGTAAATTGTATAACGGATGAAGGGTCGTTAACCCGAACCACTTAACACATCACTAGCTTTGAGAGAGGTAGAATTTTATAACGGACTTTTGGTGCATGGGAGCAATGTACGGCCAACCAACGTGTCCTAGGTTCGATCCCACCAGGCCCCTGATTTTTTTTTTTTTTTTTTGATAACCATGGGCGGTAGGAATTCGAAATTCCGTCCGGGTCACGAACCACCATCCACAGATGAAAAAGCTATGAAGTTTAATCACGTTTCGGTGGATCACGGAACTGTGGATGCTGGCTCGAGTCCCTCTTGTCGTATTTTTTTTTTCAATCTAAAATCGATTATTGATTTATTAAAGATATATTCTATAATTATTACTGTGTATTCAGGAAGCACTTATTCGAGTACGTGGAGCCGTCCAACGTCCAGCTGAAAACGCCATCAAGATTTCCAGTTCTGGACTCGTCTCCCACCCAATCCTTGGAAACGTAAGTTAACAGATATTATTCTTTTGATTGCTTTGACTACTGTCTGCAGTTTACGAAAGTAGTACACATTTAAATAAAACATTTTTAACGGTTCAAAACGTGAAAATATACTAATTAAACTTACAGGTCCTCTGCCCGGCTGCTGTAATAATCGGGCCGTAGTAAATTATTTTAAAGTTTAATACATTTCGCGTTTTAAGCCGTTAAAAGTGTTTTATTTAAATACAGAAAAGTTTCTATTGAATATAGTTGTAATTGTGAATTTAACTTTTCAGGACCGCAAGACTGAATTCAACTTGGAAGCCAACCCAACACACGTAAAACTTTTGGTAAGCATCATTTATTTACTATTTATCTAGTCATACAATTATATCTCTTTTTTCACTAGGTTTAATCTCAATAGGTTTTAATTTTAAAATATTTTTAATATGAAATATGCACACCACATGTACGTTCTTTTTAGTATGCAAAATCCGTAAACTTATTTAACCAAGTAAGAATTTCAATCATAAATAAGCAAGTATATAACATTAGATGTTATCATAACAATCGAGATGTGTGTAATTATATTAAGAAAATTCATATTTGTTTAAAATATAAATTAAATTTGTGTTCTACTTCCTCCCCATATTTTTTAGAATTAGAAAGGAATAGATTTTTATTAGAATTAATTTACAATTGTAAATATTGTTTTGTTTCTGGTTAAGATACTTTCGGTTTACGGTTCTATGTATAGCGATTATTAATGAAATTTTAATTTTCAGTGGGACACACCTATCGTGAAAGTGATCGATCTTGAAGGTTCAGCGGTGGTCAAGGACAACTTACAACAAGCAGATGTTCGCTTCAGCCTCCTCCAATTGAAACCTGTGCAAATATACGGTGTTATCAAGGACTATCAATACTACGAGTTCACTACCGGATACAGTGGTATGTTTGTAAAGAAACTACTGGCTTCTTCAATGTCGTATTGACGGGCGTGTTTGACGGGTCGTGGGTTCGATTCCCACCATGTCCAACTTGTTTCTAATTTTCCAATTTATTATTCTTCTGAAACATGCTGGACTTCATCTGTAAATCTGGATATTAAATGTAGGTCCGGTATGAATATACAAATTCCGTCCAGGTCACGAACCACAGTCTACGGATGATAAAGCCTAAGGCGTGAAGTCTGTGGATTTCCGAATATCCAAATCCAAAAAGCGATCTTAGATGCTATAGGCGGTGTATCACCTAACATCATGTGAATCCCATGCCTGACAATAGATCACTAATGATAAACGAATTTTTTAGACGAGAAGGAACGCAAACTTTCCATCATCGCTCACGTTGAACCAGAAAAACGTGCCGATTTCTCTGTAGACATCGTTGTGCCTGGACAGAAGATGAACATCATTAACGCCGCACTCTTTATGCAAGACAACGAAGTTAAATCCAAATATGGACTCTCAAGGGACAATTACAACCACTTCTTGGTTAGTATTGCATTTCTTTAGTAGTGAAATATTATTAAGAACATTTTTTAAGCGACTAACCTGTTTGAAGACTTAATCTTTAAAATGGATATTTCTAGTACATCATCTTCATAGATCCGGTTTTTTTTATCTTTACTTTTAATAATTTTATTTACACAACTATAGTTGTATATTAAATGATTACAGACTGCATTCAGAAAGGACCTAGACACGCTCCTTGTGAAATTCAAAGAGATCAATGACAAGACTAGCGACGAAATGAAGCAGACACTGAAGCGAATCGAGCCAAAAGCCAAGGAATTGGAGCAAATGTACCGCGAAGACTTCCAGAAGCTGATGCAAGAGATCACCAATGACAAAACCATTAAGGAACTATCAGAAGCTGCGTAAGTATTTGATAAGGCTAATCAAGGTCAATTACTTGTCTAAACCAATTTCGAGTAATTGAATTTAGATTCAACATAATATACTAGATACTTACCAGCTATAAATTATCTATAAAGGAATACTTAACTAACTTTAATAAACCTATATTAACAGCTATAACGGCTTTTATGCAACGGAAACAGAGCATAGCTTACTTTACTCGCAACATATAGTAGATATAGTCAAAATAGGTCGACAGAGCAACTTGTCAAAGTGTTAAATAGCTGTGTATTTCACGTTCTATCGAGGGTTTACTATATGGAATGTGAAATGCTACCCATGCTAGCCTCATTTATCATTAAAAAATAAATCGATTACATTTTAGAAAAACACTTAGTGAAACGCTGATTTTTGCATATTTTCCAAGTGTTCGACTTTCTTTGGTTCTGCTAATGACAATATTTTGTTTTAGGCACGACTTGATCCAAATCATCGCCAAAATGATCGACGAAGTAGTAACCGTTACCAAGCCCCTCGTCGACAAATTCATTGAAGCAGTTACAGACGTCAGTAAGAAGATATGTGAAATGTATGAAAAGCAGGTTAGTTTCAAATTCTTATCTAAACAATTGCACTATATGTGCCCGCGACTTAGTCCGCGTGGAAGAGTTATCACCGTTAAAATTCTATTAGCAAACTTCCTCGGCTTTATAAATCCTAGTTGTTACCAACGACTAAACTATAGACGAACTTTGTCGGAGACTTTTCTGTAGGCTTTGTTGTGTGTTTTTTTGTATTCTTTCTAAATTATTATTGCATTCATACTTTCTGGTCTCAATGGAAACCCCAAAGATGACTACTAATTTTGCCCATTTTCTCCAATCAGCTTAATTTTTTATAGCCGAAAAATATTTTTTTTCAATTCTTACAAACTTTTCAGCTTTTGAATAATAATGCACAAGTACTCTTTAAATCAATTGTCAGTAAGCCAATTGTAGTAATAGTATTAATATTTCTTCTCCCCCAATAGATCGAGCCTCAACTTAAGGAGTTATACTCTAACATCTCTGCCGTTGTACGCGAGTACTTGGACGGCATTATTGACACCGTAGCCCATATCTCTGCGATTGTCATCGACTTCTTTGAGAAGCACAAGCCCGAAGTTGACGAACTCATCAACACCGTATCTAACATCTTCAAGGGTAATTATTATTTACTTTTACTCAGATTAACCGCCTCTGTAGCTAAATGGTTAAATATGCTGCCTAGCATAGCGTTAAACACGTTGCCTAGAACTGCATTAAAGGCGAGGTTAGAACCCCGGGATTACAATAAATTCTTTCGGTAGTGCAGGGCACAGAAATGTTTTCGCCTCTACCCGACGTACAATACGTAAAATAACCGAAAAAATATTTCACCTTTTGAAATCTTCATATATTTAATAATGAAAATGTGTTATAGTTTTAATTCATTTTAGTAACTTATTTTTTTTTCTTTTAGATATTGCGCGCATAATCTTCGCTCAAATGAAGGAATGGCGTGTACGCGCTTCTCAAATATTTGCTGATGTCTCTCAACAGATTAGCGACATTCCCATCTTTAGTATGATTAAAGAAAAGGTACTTAAACCATACAAAAAGTTTTTCACTGGGCCTCATAAAAGATCCAAATGAAATATCTCCATCTTTTATATACTATTGTTAATTACGTAATTCTCTTACTCTTTTAGTGGCAAGAGCTAGCTGTACCAGAACAAGCGATGGCCTTACTCCAGGAAGCCCAACAAACAATCCGTGCCTTCTTACCGACTGAAGAATCTAAGAAGTTCGCTGATGCTCTTTTCAATTACGTGCAGAAGGTAAAGAGTTTTCTTAAGAAAGCCAATTTCAACAATATCATTATACGAATATTAAGATAGTAGGGTAGTGGAGAAGACACTAGTAATTTCGACTTATACTGTTCCATATCTGATGTTCTTAATGCTTAAAATCATATGCTAATTCCATTAAAAAATAACACAGAAACTTCGCCAAGAGAAGATGGATGAACAAGCAGAGCTGAAGATTGTGTACGAAAAGTTTGTGGTGGCTGTTACATCTCTGGTACAATATGTCCGTACCAACCTCAACCAGATGGGAATTTCTACTGCACCCTTCATTGGACTTGTAAGTATTAACATATCAGTTCAAAATATTTCAACGTAAGAACTGTCTATATGCATTTTCAATAGTTCAAGTTCGGAATTTTAAAATGACAAATGTTTTTCAAATTTCAGCCATCATTATCTGGTGCTAACGGTGTAGCTGCACCGACCTTCGGTGGATCAGCGGCCCTTAGCTTCGTCACACAACTCATCCAAGGAGACATTCCTAATCCCTTACAACTCTTTACCACTTACCGCCCACGTAGCTTCAACCCACTGGATGAAGTTCCATCTAAGAGTACGTAATATCTTATGTCCACAAATACCATATGTCCAATTAAATTGAATTGAACTACTTTCATAAATATACTATGATCAACGCTCAATTCGGGCTTTAAGAAACATCAAAAAATAACGGAACGTGTGATTAAAACCATGGTAAACTTACTGTAACATTAGAGCAATTATAAATAAATCAAATCATAAACCATTATTCAAATCCAGTGCGTGGTGTCATCGTGAACGGCCAACACATCTTCACATTCGACGGCAGACATCTGACATTCCCTGGTAATTGCCGCTACGTTCTTGCCCACGACCACGTCGACAGGAACTTTACACTGATGATGCAATTGCAAAACGGAAACCCTAAGTCTCTTATCCTGGAAGACAAGAACGGTGCTGTTATTGAACTTAAGGAGGGTGGACAGGTAAGGCGCTTTAATGTCTAAACTATCAGAAACGAAATAATATCAATTTAATAAAATAATATACCCATATTCTTTGGAACAGCGTTGCTGCTGCTCTTTGTTCTACGCAAAGATCTAAAACTAAAATAGACCTGGGTATTTTACCTTCCATGAGGTGAACTCTATGTTTATCTGTGTTTTACTATATTTACCGAATAACATAGGTTGGAGTATCTTATTCCCTCTGCTATATTGTCATTACTAGCATTCTTCTATAAAATATCGTTAATATTTTTCAGGCAACTATCAATGGCGCGAACCATGGATATCCAATCGTCGAGAAAGACTCTTTCGCTTTCAAACAGGCTAACGGTCGCATTGGTCTCGGCTCGCTTTACGGTATCATGGCGTTCTGTACGGGAAAACTTGAAGTGTGCTACTTTGAAGTATCTGGCTTCTACCTTGGAAAATTACGAGGTCTCCTTGGAGATGGAAATAACGAACCGTTCGATGACTTTAGGCTTCCTAACGGAAAGGTATGTCTCTCTTAATAACTGCTATTCATGTACACAGCAAAACCTCTGAAAGACGGGGCTCAGTCCAATTCTGAGACCATATCTAGAATTACACTGTAAGTCAATAACTTGACTTCAATGTTCCAGATCTCAACATCAGAAAGTGAATTCGGTAACGCATACCGTACTGCTGGCAGTTGTCCCCAAGTAAAGACCCCTGAACATTCCCACCACCAGCTCCACTCATCTATGCCACCCGCTTGTGAGACTGTCTTTGGTGGATCATCACCACTCAGGCCCTTGTCTGTTGTCCTCGATATTGCACCATTCAGGTAAGTGTCAGAATGCAGTAAATAAAAATTTCGTTAAAAAAAACCAATACCATACTTATACCCTTGCTTAAAACGTTCTTTAATCCATATATCCAATCCACAATAGCTTAATTTTTATCATCTCAAATCAAAAAAATCCTAAAATCTTTGAAATTTGCCTCCCATACGAAAAAATTAAAACTTTGTTATTTTTATTAAAAACTTAAACCATGTCAAAATAGAATTAGTTTTAGATACAATATCATGTATTCCTATTTATTTTACAATTATGACCAATCTGTAAACAAAAGTGGGTACGAATTTCATTAACCATTGTAAGAAGAAAGTGAAAAAAAAAATTTACTATCATAAGCCACACAAAAACATATAAGACTTTCATTAACATTTATTACAATCCTATTTTTCCGTAGGCAAGCTTGTATCCATGCTGCATCTGGCGAAGGAGAAGCAGCCCTACACCAGGCGTGTGACTTGGCTCGCGGTTACGCCGCCCTTGCTCTCACTGGAATGCTCCCAGCTGTTCTACCCGCACGCTGTGTCCAGTGCAATGATGCTGATAAACCGAGGGAAGTTGGAGACGTCTACGAGTTCAAGGTTCCCGCTAAGCAAGCTGATATTATCGTCTCAATCGAAATTACCAAGGTACGCATTTATTTTCGTAATTAAGGGGTAATCACAAACTTTTAACTATTTAAAACACGTCTTAAACTCGTTAATTTATTTAGAGTTAATTTTATGCTGCAAAGCATCAGTGGCCAATAAACTTTAATAAAATGTTTTATTTAAATGTGCACTACTCGCGTAAACTGCAGATTCTTATAATTATTGTATTTTAGTCTTCAGTAATTATTTTGTATGTTTGACAGTTGAACGAACAGAATTACAAGGACCTGATTGTGCCTCTCGTCGCGCAAGTTATCGACGGGCTCAAGAGCAAACGCATTTCTGACATCAAAGTCTACTTAGTCGGACTCACATCTAAATACCCATACCCCATTCTGTACGATACTGACCGTAAGTATTAAGCTGTTTTACTAGTCCTTCCTCTGACTCAATGATTAGGAGAGAAGAAACAGTGGGGAATGCGTGCGCTAATAAAATAGTTCAAGAAACTAAAAACATATATGAAAGAATGCATCATATTACAAATAAGTCCAGGACTGTCCAGGAGTGTCTATTTTTTAAGATTAACTAGCAAGATCGACGAGACGCGACGTCGTTGGTAACAACTAGTATTTTTAAAGCATAGGAGGTTGTTGCAAAAGTTATTGGGCAACAAAATGTTGATGACCACTAATCCACGCGTATACATAATTGCGTTAGTAATAAATCCTCAAAAACCAATACAAAGCCCGATAATGTTAAAATGTAACAAACATTTAACGATGATAAAACTTGCAGTGAAACTGAAGAACGCAAAGGTGGTATTCGATGATGAAAGCCGCTACGAAAACTTCGAAGGAATCGCCACTGGCAACAAATATTTGGATACAGCGCAAGAAATGGTCTTTGACATCATTGAGTCGTTGCATTTGAGACTTGGTGAGTAATCAGTGACTTTAAAAATCCCATTTATATATTATTAGTTCTTCAGTAGGAACAATTAATTCATACCAATAATTGATCGGTACAACGTCTTTACTATGACTCAGCTCACAAGAGTATGCTATTCTCCAATTACAAATCTAAAAATGTATCCTAACATCATAACTAGTGCTCAGGGAATACATTCCAAACAGTGACTTTGTTCCACTTTGTGGCAAACTGTAAGCCGCCGACTGAGTTAGCGGCGCATCGGGTTAGTACGCCCTTCCATATATTTCAAATGGAGTGTTCACAGTTTTCTAGTTTTGCGCTCACTGTACGCAGTTTGCAGCGTTATGCGCGCCAACTATTTTAGTGAGTGGCCGAATCGCACCAAAACTGGTTCCAGTCAGCGGCGGTGATTGGTTGTTCGCCGGGTAGTCACTCAAAGCTATCATCGTGTTAAGAAGTCTTTTTTTTTATACATCGCACCTAACTAATCTCAACGCACACTCACATCACTGAAAATCCAAGATGTCCTTTGATACGGAAAGGTTACTGAACAACAAATTAAAGAGAAAATTCAGTCGGTCGGCTGAATAAGCGGCTAACTCTTAACAGTTTGCTTGTGGCGCACGATAATTGATTTGAGTCTGCAGCTAACTCAAAATTCTGTTTGTTGCAAATTTGCGGCTCATTCGGTCAGCCGCTAACTGTTTGCCTACTGGGGACGCAGCCTAAGGGTTGCATTGCTTTTTTTTTTTATTGGAATCAACAAACATTCTTTTGAATAAATATAGATTTAATATTTATTTTAAAGTATAGCATATATACTTTGTGAGCTTCGGTTAAGTTGCCAGTATCATATTTTTTTAATTTTTTATTTAGTAATCCCTCATATTATTATACACACAACAAAGAGCATTTTACCGCATGTTTTTCTTTGGTGTTGGCAGATGCCACGTTCCAAAGTCAAGATAGCGACAGCGCTTGTTTAAATGTTATAGCAAAGGTATTTCACGTCCACGTGCTCGCCTCTATTTATATATTTCACTTGTGGGTTCCGTAAAAAAAAAAAAGTAACTTATGGTTAACAGAAACAATTAGTTTCCTTATTACCGCCTGGGATGCCCCCTTTCCGTTGCTTGGGGGGGGGCGGGGCCCTTTTTTTTAATAATCTTACAGGAGTCACCAACATAATGACTTCATACAACTCGATAATGGAACTGCCACTTAGACCTGGCGCAGTCAAACATCTCATCAGCTCCATTGGAGGACGTTGCGTACCGCAATTGTTTATTGTAAGTATTTCTTAAAGACGTAACTGTTAGGTGCTGATAAAATAATAGCTAGAATAGTGGACAGGATTTTTTTTCTTATACCCTTAAGTCTGACCTGACTAGTTCCCGTTTGCGAATTATTAATTTTCTATGACGTATTCCTGACAGTGGAGGCCGAAAAAAAAAGGTTCAGGTTGCAAAGAGTTAATACAATTCTTATTTTAACGACTTATATGCAATAGTGAGTTATAATATGAAAAGTAAACTCAAAATTTACACATTCGTGTAGAGTAACACTTGCCGCACCTCGCCAGATCACTTGAAGTTTCGATGTTGTGAACTGATGAAATATACAATACATAATGACTAAATTCACAGGTTGAAGCTTTACGCACTGCCGCTCAAAGCATCTGGATGGAAAACAACGCGTACAGTGTATCGATCGTTACTGAAACTGCCAAATTCGCCCCTGTCGGAGGCAAGCCTGTTGTTGGTAAGGATTACGCTCTTATTTAATATTTGTAGGCTTTTATGCTTGTCTAATTTGGATAGGACCATCTAGCGAGTTAATTGTTAACATAAACTTATGCTGTTTGAATGTATAATTTAAATTGTAATACTTTCAACGAGCTCGTTGGACTTATGGTAGCAATGCAAATAATAAATGGGTTTGATCCCCATCAGACCCAACATGCCAATCAGTTTATATTTTTTTCTGAAACATGTTGGACTCCGTCTGGAAATCTGAATATTAGGAATATCAATATTCCGTCCAGGTCATGAACTACCGTCAAAAGACGATATACCTAGAAGTTCCATAGCATTTCGTTTTTAGTCAGTACATTTCCGAATATTCAAAACTTTATAATAAGTCGACAGCGAATCTTGTGAGATATGTCATGTGGCTGATGTATTTCACCTTCCTGTTCATGTTTGACTGTCCTCCTCTATTATATAAAGAATATAAAAATAAGAAATAACATGTACTTGTTGATTTGTGGCTCTGTAGACGGTTTTTAAAAGTAATGCTATCAAATATAATATTTAGGGTATTAACTGATTAAAAAACAACGAGCTAGGACTAGGACAATCATCCAGCTAGGACTACTAATTCTTCTCTTCTTTCATATTCTTTTCTACTCCAAACAGCCCTGATTAACTTATTCAACTATTACTTTACAAATACAGGTTTCTCTCAAAACGCTGTTCTTGTGCTCGGGGATAAGAAACAGAAGGACACCTCAGACTTGAGGGCTAACCTTGACATTGGAGAGGCAGATGGCTGCGTAAACTTTGCAGAAGATGTAAGATTTTCACTGTAATAGATACATAATGTTTTGTCTCTTTCTGATAAACTTTCTATGATAGAGATAGAAGAAAACTAAAGAGTACTTCAGAATATAGTAGTAGGAGCGTGTAGTAAAATAAATTGGATGTTTTCCAGACCGATGGATTCGTCTTCTCGGCAACCACCTACCGGGAGATGAACCCAGCGCAGCGTAAGCAGTTCTTGCAGACAGCAGCCGCTTCTGTCACCAACAGAATGCTTCAGTACTCCTCGGTACAGTCCTGCACTTGCACCTACGTTGACCCCTTCAGAGTTCGCTCCGTTTGCGTCTCAAAGGATCGGAAGGATGCTGTGAGTATTCCACGATGATTCCATTAATATATTTTATATAACATATTATTTAGAATATGCGACTTGTTTAAAATGATTGTAATTAATTATATTCTCTTTACAGACTCGCAGAAGAAAGTAGAACGAACTGTGATCTACCAAACGCCAAATACTCCTAGTTCTAAAAGCCCTGATGTCTCACCAAAGTAGAAACAAATAGAAAACAGGATAAAAATAGTAAAGCAAAGCGAGGTTTATACTGGCAATATCATGCTGAAATTATGTAACGTACCTCTATCAAACAAAATTGTTCTTTTTACCCCTTTCAATTCATATGTATTTTTTTTTATCCAACTACTAATATTGTATAGTCTAAACCTCGCTTTATAAAACCTGTATTCACACCTATTTATACCAAAGCGCAGTTTTCGTAAGTGTTAACAGTTAATTTGTATTAATAAAATATAATATAATATTTAATGTCTTTAATTCTTAGTCCCCTTTAAAAGTAGTTTTAAAAGTTTATAGGATTTTATTATTCTAACATCATCAAAGATGGATGGATTAGGCACAAGTAACAAGTAGTATGATTTATAATTACTGCCATCTTTATTATTAGGATACAAAGATCGAAAAAATAAAATGTACTAACACAATTGATGCTACGATAATTCGAGTTACATTTATCGAGTTTTTGGCGGGTATAGTAGCAATTAGTGATGGGCCGAGTACTCGGTTGATACTCGGTATTCCGTCGAATAACTCGGTTATTTGATAACGAGTATACGTTGTTTAAGAAAAGCTATGTAGGTAAATATAATTAAAACAATAATTTTAATCCAAAAGTATTTATTAGTAATTTGAAAATCTCAATTAATAAAATCAAAACTATGCTAACGGATGAATATGAGACAAAATTACGAGCAGATGAGAGCAAACCGACGTCATGACCGGCGCGAACCTCGTTGTACTTGTTTACGCGCTCGAAATGTAAATTTGCTTGAACCAAGTTACTCGGCCGAGTACTCAATTGACAAAAAATGGAGCCGAGTAAAACTCAGTACTCGTTACACGGCAAACGTGTAACGAGTACTGAGTAACGCTTCTCTAGTAGCAATGTATGTACGGGAAATAATCAACGGGTCATGTTTTCGATCCCCGCCGGGTCCTCGGTTTTAATAATTAATTTATAATTTTTCTGAAACATGTTGAATTTCGTCTGGAAATCTGGATATTAGATGGTTGGTAGGAATATAAATAAATATATATAATATTCATTCATCAGTACAATACACGTAATAAGGACAAAATAAGTGTACCAAACAAAAGGTTCCGTAGTTCCTTTCAAGGTAACTGCATACGATACTTTAATAAAATCCATAGCGAAGTGCAAGCACTCCCAATAAATATAAATAAATCCACGTATATGCGCATGATTCATTATGCGTCACAGAATTGTTGATCACACCTTTACAAGTTTACAATAGTTCACGTGGACTAAACGGGCACTGATAGTGCATAATGGCGACTTAATTCTGTTTGTTTAAGGTACATGTATGCGATACTCATATTTAGTAGTTAGACAAAGGCTTCTCATACTTAGTAGCTATTAGCTGAAGAGTTTACGCGAGTAGAACACATTAAAAAAAAACACTTTAACGGTTTAAAACGCGATATATTAGTTACACTTATTTGAAAATTATTTTAACTATGCCCGACGTTTAGGCTGCTGCGGAGTTTAACTAATATATATCGCATTTTAAACCGTTAGTGTTTTATTTAAAAGTGTACTACTCGCGTGAATTACAGACAGTATTAACAAGAGCCGTTTTTATAGGAATCAAATTACGCAGATCAGCTAGTTCACTATAGGTATGAATACGACCGAGTGTCAACCAAAATAACATTAGGCGCTTGTTCCGTTTGATGAAGATGTCCTACGTTTCACCTTCTTACGCAGTTTAATCGGCTTTAGTCGAAAATCGACCTCTACTCATCGACGGTCGAAATGGAAATCTGTATTAAAGTATAGCAGTGGCAAATACATAATATTTTAATTTGATAGAGAAGGACAATCAAGACAGAGAAATCCAACCTCGCTTCAATGGAAGATACCCCAACCATATAAAATCTCAACCAGTTTTCCCTCTGTGACCCTTTTTTGATTTGGAGCAAATTGAAAGCAAAACGCAATTTAATCTTGGACCTTGGATCGGATTTGTCGAGATTCTTCACTTACATTTAATATTCAAATTTCCAGATAAATATCAACGTGACATGGTCACGGGGGCACGATGAAGGGAGTCACTAATCAATCAAAGTCAAATCTGCTTCACGCTAGGGCCATTAACAGATGGCGCTACCGTGAAGCAGAGGAGTCAAATATGATTTATAAATGACGAAGCATCGTCATTTATAAATTATATTTGACTACATTGAGAACTGACTCACGGTGTCCTCTCGTACCTCGATATTCCACGGCTGCTGTAAATAATACGATACGGTCGGGCCGTAGTTAATATAAATTGTAAAACAATTCATACATTTCGCATTATAAACGGTTTAAAGTGTTTTATTAAGGTAAAGATGATTGAAAAATGTAATGTTTTTCACATGTAAGCACATGATATAATATTTTTTATGATTTAAAAAATTGATGAAAAATTTGAAAATTGTATTATACGGTCAGGATTTGAACCGGCATCTACAGCGTTCCGTGCTGCTGCTCTAACCAATTGAGCTATCCTCTCCTATACGTTAACCTCCGTGGCGTATTTTTTTTTTCAATCTAAAATTTATTCGTAACGATGATAATTGTTTGCCATATACTAAATGAGGTTAAAAGTTCAAAGAATTTTGTCTTACACAGTCTGTGTACATTCTTTCACTTCTAGGATAAACGTCTTTGTGTATACAATCTTTACCACACCTTTAAGTTAACACGTCATAATGAGATGTCTTAGTTGCATCATTCAAGCATGACGCACAATATGACACACAATTCAATTAAGAAGACTGGCCGAATTCGAGTAATCCGGTTTTTCTTAAGAGATAAACAGTTGTATCATATACTGTCTATAGTTTACGCGAGTAGTACACATTCAAATAAAACACTTTAACGGTTTAAAACGCGATCTATTAGTTGATCTTATTTAAACATCATTTTCAAATAAATGTAACTAATATAAATCGTTTTAAATCGTTAAAGTGTTTTATTTAAAAGTTGTATCATATACAACTAAATTAAAATGTCATGTAGATAAAAAAAAATATAGAATTGTACTGGGTACCATTATTCACAAAGTCAATAACACAAAATTTGATCTTAAAATACAAAAAACCATACATTGAATAAACCATATTGCATTTTAAAATAAAACACTTTAACGGTTTAAAACGCGATATGTTAGTTGAATTACGTATTTAAATAAAACAGTTTAAAACGTTATAATAAATAATGTCAACCTACTAGTGACGAAATTGTAGTTAATAATTATTTAAACAAAACACTTTCAACGGTTTAAAACTCGAAATATGTAATTTATTTTAACAACGGCTCTATGTGACCACGGCAGCTGCAAATCATACTATCAATAAAGTATTTAACAAATATATACTTCGGGTTTTATACCGTTAAAAATGTTTTATTTAAATGTGTATTACTCCCGTTAATTACAGAGAATACTAAACCATGCTTACATTATATTTCAATACATAGTAGGATAAATTTAACAATGGTACCAGTGGCGAAACTATAGGATGGCAAGTCGGCAGAATGCCACGGGCCCCAGCCCGAAGGGGCCCCCGGTCAGAGGAAATTTCAATTGTTGGTTCAGCTTCTTTATATATTAGGGAAGTGGGAGGGCCCATTCGATGAATTTGCCACGGGCCTCGAACAGTATAGTTACGCCACTGAATAGTACGAATGATGAACGCCTAGTGATCAAGTAACACACAAAAATGAAAAAAAAATTGAAATCCGAACCCCCGTCTGTCGGTCTTTTACACTCATGTTGTACTGTGTACGTTTGTCCTTCGATCGACCCCGTTTGTGTATTTAACAACACTAGCAGATGGTATTTGTTCGGAAATAAGAAATGATTCATGCAACTATCTGCCGTAAACATTCCACAAGAATTAGATTATACCAAAAATGTAAGAAGCACTTTTTTCTAAACAAACAAACAAAAAATGTTCACTTATGGGTATAAAAATGCTTGAAGGACATAGGTACGACGGATATAAATAAAACAGTTTTAACTGTTAAAAACATGAGATATTACGATTAAAATTGTTATCAACCGTTAAAAGTGTTTTATAAAGCACACACACTAAGTTACATTAAAATCGGTCGAGCTGTTTTGGATAACTGTGGTTACTAACACTGTGACACAACCATTTATATATTAGACAATATTTGAACCAGTCCATACAATAATATAACAATAATACAACTAGGTACAATAACACATCCAGCCAGGATGTATAACTGTACCGTACAGATTAAGTCGGTACGTCTTATTAATTAACCGTAAATAATAAATATGTCGATGTGCCTTATCAATCCTGCACACAGCGAGCATAAATCCAAACTAAAAATACCAGAAGCCATTCAACCACAAGGAAAACATTGCGATGATATGCTATCGTTGAGTCAGAACAGGACACACGGACAATACAAAATAATTAACAGTGTGGAGAGGACGTATAGCAGGTTAGTGGAATATTTTTATTGTTTTGTTTATCATATAAACAAATAATTGTTTTAAAAATATTTTTTTGTGTCAAACTTACCCTTAATATTTAATATGTTTAACTTGTATCTGTATTTTACGCTAGTCTGTGTGTAAGCAAATAAAAATATTTTAACGAGTTAAAACGCGGTTTTTTTTTCGTCAACAAGTAAAGACACTGCTGTTATGAATGAATGTAGTTTACGCGAGTAAAACACATTTCAATAAACACTTTTAACGGTTAAAAACACGAAATATATTAGTTAACTTACTTTTAATACTAATAATACTGCTGCAAAGCATCCGAAACGCCGGGCCGTACTTAGTTTAAGGTAACTCATGTTTTACGCGTTTTCAGTCGCTAAAACTGTTTTATATAAAAGTTGAATTGTATTTCGCGTTTTAAGCTGTTAGAGTTGTGTTATTTTTTAAGTCAATTTGTTAAGTTTTATGTCGCGATGTATTGTTATAAATCACGTTTTAACTCGTTAAAACTGTACTCACATATACCACAACCGGCCTAGCATGCGCGCTGGGGCATACTGGTTTTTCTTTCCAAATTCAAATGCAGACTAGTTTGTCAGTCGCGTCACGAGTCGGACCAAATCAGTTAAGATATATTTTGTGTTCGCAGAAAATATAATTTCTTCCAAATTACTACCATGACAGCAACGATAAAAAAGGACAGAAATTTTGTTCGTCACACTGTAAAGTAAAACAAGGAAACTTCCCAACATGGAACTGTGTTATGGATTTAACTTGATGTGTTAACATACTTAATATACTTGCGGTTACCAAAATTGTTTTTCCTTTAAGTGTGTTTAAAAATAACGGCGATGCATCTTCGTTTAATATAATATTTATCTAATTATTCAGAACTGTTACAATTACATAATTATTGTTATTTTGAATATTTTATTGTTTTTTTTTAAGAAGAAATAAAAGAAGTTTTGCTAAACTTGTAAATATTAGCACAGCAGCACGTGCGCATGCGTTGTCGTCAGGATTATGATTCACGATTGTTATAAATATAGACGACGGGATAAATATACGCTTCTTTAAAAAAGCCGCGTCGAATCCGACCCACTGGTCTCCTGGGTCGCCAACTACACCGTTCCCGTCAATACTCGCTGGAGGAGGCCTCGAAACGTCAAGGATCCCGACGACGGATTATCCAAAGCCGTCTAAAACTACACTACATACACTCGTCACGACGCGATCTGTCGGCGCCAGCGCCGATCGTACGCGAAACCGCTTTCGCCGGCGAAGGCGAGGTCCTTTGCAACACCTACCGCTCGCCCGGGTGAGCTTCCGTCCAGCTCTTTAAGTTCCCGCAAGTATTGCGGCGGTCCAAGCTGAGGTCAACGCCCTAAAGGGTTGTACCGGATGCAGACCTGCGACCCATTGATACGTTGCAACTTGCGCAAACGCAACTGCGCGAAAACACCTGTAGATTCGGCAACGCAGAAGAAGATGGAAAATCGGCACGCATTTCGTACGGTTGCGTCTCGGTGCACAGACCACCGTCTCTAGTGATCTTTCACCGCTCCCCTGCAGACAATAATTTAAGTAATTAGTTACTTTGACACATATTGTATTGTACAAATTAATAAAATTCCGACTAAATAAATTAACATTGTTAAATTGTAATTATTTAATTTCGCTTATAATCTTTTTTTGTTTCAGAATGGCGCCGATTTCGCTGAAAATAGTTCTAGAGGGCGCTGCCGTTACTAAGACACTTTTATTCGATTTGAATACAACAATATCACAAGCTCATCATATAGTTAGGGACAAAATCCATTCGCTTGATCCAGACAAAGGTAACTAATACTATCAATCAAGTTTAACATAGTCTAGATCACCTCCCTATGACAATAGTTAGAGTATGTCAATTCCTGGCTTGAAACCTCGGAAAATTACTTAAGTGTTTCAGAACCTTTAAAATATTCATTAATATTTGGACAATAATATGAACTATATAGTTATCACCCGAAAGCTTTATTTTGTACAAAACAACTCCTTTAACGTCATTAAGTTAAAGTCATGGATAATTATGGTTTAGTAGCATCATACCGAATGGACCAGCCCTTTTGGACCGGAAGGAAATCGTTAGATAGACACTAATGAGAATGACATCTACTCCCCAGAATATGGTTTCTTCCTACCATCAGCTGACAATGACTGTTCAGGGGTGTGGCTGGAAGGTTATAGGACCTTCGAGTATTACATGTTACGCGAGGGTGATAGTCTATTCTATTTGGAGAAGGTCAGAAATGTGAGACTTCGGATGTTGGATGGTAAGTAATATTACAAACATTTTTATTTATTTATTTAAAGCAGCTTAACCTATCTTTAGAGGATTATCCTTATCGATAAATAGTTAGGTTTTTGAAATGAGTAAAATACCTTATACAACTATTTGGGCATAAATACATAAAATACTAAATTTAAATTGTGTAAGGCTTTCACGGCCATCGTTCAGCATATCATTGTCTTTCGGGCTGTTCGGCCGATGTGAGCGAGAAGAGGTTCTCGACGTTTCGCCATCACGGTCGAGAACCTCTTCTCGCTCACGTCGGCCGAACAGCCCGAAAGACGATGATATACATAATATACTAGTTACATATGCCAGCTTTATACATATAAAAACTAGTTAGTTAATAAAACTATATCTAGCGAATATTTCTGTAAAAAAGTAAAGTAACTGATTTTGCAGGTTTGATAAAGTATATAAGTGAAGACAAAACAAAAAAAAACCTATTCTTAGGCCCAAGGAATGTATATACAAAATGTCATTTGAATCAGTTCCGCTGATTTTGAATTTTATTTTTTAACTCACAACGGTAGATTATTATGTCCTATTTGTTTTAAATAATTTCACAGGTTCAGTTAAAACGATTCAAGTAGACGAATCGAAATGTGTTGGCGATTTGATGGTTTCCATTTGTGAAAAGATTGGTACTACAAACTATGAAGAATATGGACTCGTGAGTACTCACATATACCCAAATATACATTAGATTTAGCGTTTAATCAGTAAGCCTTGGAAGTTATATTTACAGTACAATGTCTATTAATTTTCAAATTACATTTATACCAAACACTATAACAAGGTAAGGATCATATGAATTAATGCCCTTCCTTACAGTGCCGCGAGCATATGGAAACTGAAGAAGCAAAACCAATGACTGGTACTCTTACGTTAAGAAAGAAAACTCTGGCTAGAGAGAAGGACGCTGAATTGCAGCAACTCAGCAAAAAACTGAAAACTGACGACAATGGTAAGCTTGAACTGTAAAGAAATTAAATTCTTTCTGTAGTTTATGCGATTAGTATTAAATTTAAATAAAACACTATAACTATATAAACTCTCTGTCTATCTGTGACCCATCTAAGTTTAACGAGTAACGCTAAACCTAACAAAACCTACCTATATAAGTATGTAATCAAATGAATATCTTTAGGAATATATTATAGCGTAGTCTGAAAATATCTTTTTATTTAAATGAAACACTAACGGTTTAAAACGGGATATTTATTCGTTTAGCTTATTTGAAAATTGTGTCATCTCCCCGCCACCAAACGTCAAACGTCCCAAACGTCGGGCCGTAGTTAAAATAATTTTCAATTAAGTTTAACTTATATGTATCGCGTTTTAAACCGTTAGTATTCTATTTAAATAAAAAAAAAAAATTCAGACTATGCTATAATATTTTCCTAAAAATATTAATTAGATTACGTATTTATATGAGTAGGTTTTGTTAGATTTAGCGTTTTCAAAATTAAATAGTTAAACTTAGATCAGTCACAGATTTCACTTCCACAAAAAAAACAAAATGCTAACTATTGTAATATAGCTTAATACTATAGCACTCTACGTGAGTAGTAAACATTGAATTAAAAAGTAATGATGAAATATATTTCACAAAACGTCGGGTCGCTGTGAAGCGTTGAAGTTAGCCTATTTACTTTTTATATAGTACAAGCTACCTTTTTACAACAAAAGATCAAATCACCAAATCGTTTTTATGGTTTCCAGTGGAATGGCTTGACCAGCACAAGACTCTGAGAGAACTCCTTGTAGATCCGAAAGAGACTCTTCTGTTTAAGCGAAGGCTCTTCTACTCTGATAGAAAGGTGGACGCAAGAGATCCCGTTCAACTCAACTTACTCTATGTCCAGACAAGAGACGCTATTCTAGATGGAAGACAGATTGTCACCGAACAAAAAGGTATAATATTGAAAATTAATTTCCATTTTGTTACAGACGAACTTCTGTCTGTTTTTCTGATCTGTTTTAATTATATATCTAAGAAGTTACTACCCTAATATCATTTGACCTAAAAAAAATCCAAAAAAATTTAGGTAGGCTAGAGAACAATGATTTGTGATCATGGTTAGTTTTGGCTGGTAACTGTCTTTCCTGCTGTTATTACAATACAAGTATAGCTTTTAATTAAAAATTTAGATGAATTAAAATGTATTAATCTTTAACTTTATTTCAACTGCTTCTACTTACTGTTAATTTTTCTATGTGTTAAGATGTGAAAATATCATTTAATTGACTTCTTCTCCATTTCAGCTGTAGAGTTTGCTGGTCTGCAGTGTCAAATCCAGTATGAAGACTTTATTGAGGATAAACATAAGCCTGGGTTTATAGAAAAGTAAGTAAATCAACAGTTGAATAAGTTAAAAAGCACTCCCGCTTTTGTATTTAACCCATTATTATCGCACTATTGGGATAAGTTCTCCTCTTTTTAAAAATTTTTATGAACTTACATTCATCACGCTGTTCCAATGCAGATTGGTGGGCTTTAAAGTCTACCGCCATTACTTTAGTGATGATAACCTGCCGATCACTTAATAGTCGGCCAGTACCTAACCCGGTTGATGACACCTAAACTTCAGATTGGTACTTGAAAATTTTCAAATATAGAACTCGTCAACATCTAGATCTGTAGTCCAGTAATCTTGAAGACTAGACCCATATCTGGTTATTATTCTCTTAATCTGGTATTTTATAATAACCATTTCAGCTTGAGGGAATTTCTACCAGCGCAATACGCAACATCTTGGGGCATCGAAAAGAAAATATTCAAAGAACACAAGAAGCACCATGGACTCAGTCAATTGGAGGCTAAACAATTGTACACGAAAACTGCAAGGGAGTTGCCAACGTATGGTGTAACGTTCTTCCTTGTTAAGGTATAGGACCTCATGAATTTTTAATCACCTTGTTTCCTAGGAACGACAAATTTAGTCAAAAGAGGAATAAGTTTATCTCCTTCCTTCCACATTAGGTGATCAAGGTTACGTTTTGGGCTCCATATTCTTTTTTATATCATAGCGGAGGATTGATACTCGAGATACGCTGTTGACGTATTTTTGATTTGGCTAATCGGAAATCCACACTGAACAGCGATTAGACTTGGCGGCTTTTCCTTTTCGAGACGAATTTCTGATTGATTAGAAAAATGTTGGATGGGGATCGAACCCAAACCCCTTGGTTATTAGCCATACACTGCTGCCATGGCATCAACGAGCCCGTCAAATATAGTCTATTGACAAAAATATATTTCATTCGTATAAACAATAGACGTCACGAGCAAATTTGAGGATTTAATTTTAAAACTTAATTGATTTTCTACTATAATTTCTTGTTGCCAGGAGAAGCATAAAGGCAAGAAAAAGCTGATCCCTCGCCTGTTGGGTATAAACTCCGAGTCTGTACTGCGTTTGGATGAGGAGACGAAGGAAATTTTACAGGTCTGGCCGCTTACGCAGGTGAAGAGCTATCGGGCTGCAAGTGAATCGTTTACTTTGGACTTTGGAGATTACAGGTACCTTCAGAGGTTACAAAACGATTGGAGGGATGCTATAAAAACTAGTTTTGCCAAACAACACAACCAATGACGTCATAGGTCGTTTGCCTAGCTACAATGTTGTTTGAAGGTTTAACCGGTTCTTGGGAGGGTACTGATATGTTTATTTCCTTTTAATAATTATACCTCGGAAGTTATTAATAAATGGGACTCACACTCCCCATAAAGATTACTGTGCAGTAGCTCTATCAATTGAGCTACCTTACCTTGTCAGTGAATTTTGAAATTACATTTCTTAGTAAAAAGACTGCAAGGAGTTCCAACATATGGCGTTAGTTCTTGTTAAGGTATAAACCTCATAATTACAGTTCAATGTATAAATGCATTATAGTCAACGCAGCTTTTGGGAAAAGTAGCTCAATTAACCAACAGCAGACTGACTCTAGATCGTAGATTTGTACCAAATATGTCCTATTATTTTACAATTTTTAAATAATTCTTATATATGACCAATTAAAAATAATGATTAGCAATTTTTTTTAGAATGTTTCGAATGAGTATCATAATTCTAATATTATATTTTAGACAGGAATATTAGTAAATGCAACACAGAAATTCATTTTAAATATAATTAATTTAAACAATTCCACTATGCTCTAGTGACAAAGAGTATGCTGTCAAAACAAATGAAGCTTTCCGGATAAAGGACATCCTTCAAGGATACATCGACATCATCAGAAAGAAAACTGCTCCTCCATACAACGTCACCTACACAGAGGGAGAGGCTATGTGCGAGGATACTGTGGAAATATCCAGGTATTTTTATATATATCCCTAGATACGACTTGATTGCGATATTTCAGTTACGGGTATAGCGACGGACATACCATTGTCAGTTTCACTGATAAATTCTATTAAGTTTCAGTTCGACACCAAGACGCGTGCTTATTACTTATTAAGATTCCACAATACTTTTATTTTTAATTACAGTCAAATTATAAGTCTAGTTTAGATCGAAAAAAATCGATGACGCACGCGATCTGCTACTTACCACTTGACCTACTACTTCTTGCTTGTGCTCATCGAATTACTTCAACGCATCGATGCATCTCTCGCGCAATATGACGACAACCTTAATAATTAATAATAAACTATTATACATATAACATACGATTTTAATTCTTTTTCAGAGGGACTATTATTCAAAATATCGTTCCATCGAAAATTGTCGAGCAATCATTTGTGGGGCCGAGCCGAATTATATCAGTGGAACAGGGTAAATATGCATATTATTTACTAATGACAAAACACTTTTAACCGTTTAAAACGCAAAAAATATTCGGTACTTAATTAAAGTATTATTAGTATAACTTTAGAATAGCTCAATTCGATGTCCACCCGTATCATTGGTATGTAATAATATTTTTTTAATGTTAGAGGACAGACGTGGCAAGAGACTTGATGGTAGGTGATATACCCCAGCCTAAACCATGTAAACAAAATGCGCTGTCGACCTATCTTGGCTTTGGATATTTGTAAATCCACAGACTGACATCGCGACATGCTTAAGCGTCACGGCTTTCTCATCTGTGGACGGTTTTGTTCGTGACCGGGACGAAATTTCTATATTCCTACCAGCCATTTAATATGCAGGTTTCTAGACGAAGTCCAGCATACTTCAGAAAAAATAATAGATAAATGATGGACCTGATGGGGATCGAACCGTCGACCCGTTGATCATTAGCCATTCATCGCTACCATTAGACCACGAGCCCGTCAAATTAATAATGAAATATTTAAATAAAACAATTTTACGGTTTTTAAAGGGGAAATTTTTTTTTTTTTTTTTTTTTTTTTTTTTTTTTTTTTCCCCCCCCTTTTTTTCGCATTCTTTGCAGCAGCCGTTCCTGACCACGTCGTCGAAACGTCGGGCCGAAGAAATCATTTTTAAATAAATTTTACCAAAATTTCCCCCTTTTTTCCCCCTTAAATTTTTTTTTTTTTTTTTTTTTCCCCCCCCCCCCAAAAGACAGTATTTAATAATGAAATAGTTAATTATTACATTTTTCTGATTAGTATAAAGGATTTTAAAATATTTCAGGTCACAATACAAGCGAGGGAGTACGAATAACAACAGTACATGAAATGGTCACTGTGAATCAAGGTGATAAGAGCCAACATGGAATGGTAAGTTTATTTTAAACCCATTTCTTCTTCTTCCATTCCATTTCGCCCTCTAGAGCGAAAACGAATATTTAAAAGAGGAGGTATAATTCAGGAAATACATCAGAAAAAAATAGTCTTGCTGTTTCTAAACAGAAACGAATGAAACGGATATGAGTGTAAAGGAGTGGCGGCGAGTTTTTTGCCAATTCTTCTTGATTTGAGAACTAGTAGTATATTTAAATTTTGAGTCTTTAGTTTTTGGTTTTCACTTTATAGGTATAGAAAAGAAAGTGTCATAATCATTACTATTCGGGAAAATGTTCTTTAGTGGCCTGATATGGACATTGCCCTTAATCGATCATGTTATTGCTAAGTATGTCATAGCCCTATATATTATAGTTTTTTAATAACTTTAATTTTGTTTTAGAAAGGAGAAATACTAGGCGAAACTCCAGATATGTTTGGGAAGAGGTTGAATAGAATTAATTCACTTGCAGTGAAAGCGGTTATGCTTTCAGGTAATAATTTTGAAATATTTTTTTCCCCGTCAATGAAGAAATATTAATTACGGTTATTTACATTGCATGCATCATTGTTACGTCGACGATGACGTGTAAGACACGGTAGCTCAATTAGTTGGAGCAACAGGACCGCCGCCGGAAATTGTCTCATCATTGAAGAAATATTTATCTTATCATTGTTTTTCGGGATGTTCGGCCGACGTCAGCGAGAAAGAGGTTCTCGACGTTTCGCCGTCACGAGCGGATGGCATCATCACCATCATAAATTTTTTCGAGTAATCGAGGAACTAAAATCTCCCAAAGATGCCGTCTGCTAGTGATGGCGAAACGTCGTGGACGTCTTCTTGCTTACGTCGACCGAACAGCCCGAAAAAAAAGAATATTTGGTCCATCCCCCCCATGTCCAAGTAGCACTTTTCAATCTAAAATCGAGTTTTAATTTAATTACGTTTATTTGCTTTTTACAGACGAAAAGAATAACTTGAGTGGCTTACAGGGTATAGCATCTAATATGGAGAACGAACTACCGGCAGTGGTCAAAGGTTTGATATTTTATTACAATTATTTGCTTTAAATAATTTTTACATCTTCGTTCAAAATGTGAGTCGTCAATTTTAATATTGTATATTAAAATAACATACATATATAACTTTAAGTAATATGTAGTTTGATTTTGTGAAATATAAATTACTTTATACTTGTTTATTTTAATTTGTAATATGGTTTGAATTAATAATTTAAAGCTGATTTCTTTTCTGTATGTGGCGTGACTACCTGATTTATTGCGTCTTTTTTGCTACTTTTTCTAGTTCATTCTACATAATGTTAAAACTACCTCCTTTTATTGTGGCTACATTTGATTTTATACAGTTAATTTTAAAACTTAACGGAAAATTGTAGTCAAAGGAGCATTTAACGTCGAAAAAAGTAAAAGATTTTTTAAGATGTCGTAAATTTAAATGTCGAACATTTAAGCTGTCGTAATCGACTTCCGTTGAGCGGTTCTACATTTGTGACATTAACTTAATAATTACGTTAATTTAGACCCATTTGTTTTACTTCGTAGTTACATTCGTACGTGTACGAGTACATTGACAATTGATTTTCTTATTAAATATATTAATTTCAGGAGTTAGAGAAAGGGCTAAACAACTAGACGACGAACATTCAAAGAAATTGCTGGACGAGTTAGATGAATTATGTGATTATATTAATAATCTTTCCATCACAGTAAAAAGTTCTGATTACGTAAGTTTTCCAACTGTATATTTATTTACTTTGTTTTCTTATGCCGTCAAATAATCCATTTAATATGGTATCTATTCTTCTATTCACCATATATCATGTCTCTTACATAAAAAACCTTACAAAAACAAGTATAGAAAATGTCTATAACAAGATGACTGTAACCATGCAAATTTTATTAGATTTCTTCGATTGGCTACCCTTATATAAGCTTAATTTTAACGGCTTTTAAACGCGGAATGTATTAGTTCCTTTTTTTTTCGACGACTCGATCTTATACAGCAGCTTCTTTACAGCAACCGTGGTCTCGGAGGGACATCTTCAGTCTTAAGTATACTATAAGTTAACTAATACATACGCGTTTTAAACCGTTAAGTGTGTACTACTCGCGTAAACTAAAAAATATTTAGATCTATATCGTGTGCATACACTTTACAAAGAATATTTAATAAATAAGATTTTTAAATAGGATTCACCTGAAAAGTTGTTGCTCACAAACGAGACGGCAAAGAAATTGGCTGACATTTCCGCTTTGATGTACTTGTCTCTTGACCCGAAGACTAAAAAGCGATCTCAACTTATAAAGGTAACTTGTAACTTAAATACTTATACCAGATAACTCGCAAAAATTAAAAAAAAATAGTTTGGGAACAATTGAACATTGATATCACACTAAAGCCACGGATACACTAGGGGACAAATGGAGCAACATGTAGCGGAACATGTTCCTCAACAACTACGTGGAATGTGCCGAGATACATGTCGCGGAACATTTTGTCGACCACACTTCTCAGTATTTATAGAAATGTCGCCCGAGGAGGTTGTGGCTATTAGTGCTGCGTACATAGTAATTATATCGAGTGTGTTGAAACGTAAGAGAAAGAGAAGGTGGTGGATGCGGAATTTCTTATTACACTACTGACAAATGGCAGACTACACTCTGTGACAAATGGCGCAACACTGACGCGGGACACATGCGCTCGCTCTCGAGGCGGGAGCAAGCAACATGCCCCGCGTCACGTAAAATGTTGAGGGTCATGTTGCGAGACACTATACAACGTTGCAGCGTCACGTATATTTTGTGTTGCGCGTCATGTTGCGGGACAAAATGTTCCCTAGTGTATCCGGGGCTTGAAGAATCAAACACAACACTGCACTGTGCTCAAGCAATTGAGCTAACAGATTAGATAAATTTACCTCTAACGCATGGTAATTTTGAAACCTAACATAGAAGCTTTAGATAGTCTAAGAATTCAATCCACATTTACTTATATATTACAAGGAGTGCTACAGTCAAAAAGAAATGTAGATCCAGAACGATCGTTTTAATTTCCTCAACCAGGCAGCTTACTAGCAAACTTCTCTTTAAAATTTTAGAGTTCCCGCAACAGTTTCATAGCTGATGAGAAGACGGAAGCTCATTTACGAAGACTTTCCCTTAAGAGTTCTATCGCAGCGACGCACCAGGTTCTAGATAATGCCTACTCAGAATTAGGACAGGTAAAGATGAAAATCTGAATCGCAATTTATTAAATAATTCCATTAGGATCCTAAGTTACTTCTGACAGAGGGTCTTGAAGCAGGATCTATGTATGTTGTTGACCTGATCGATTTTATTAATATACAAGTACACATTATACAAACATCTGCGGTTGCCCAAGTAAATATATCATCGGGATTGAGAGCAATGATAGGCAAAGCGTTTTAAATTTGGACAAGTCGGTACTACCTGAATTAGTATGATGAACAATTGATAATAATGTACACTTTAAGAAGAAAGAAGAAATTAATGCTTTTACGAATAAGAGTCTATAATAATAGATAATAATAAAAACCCTACTCGTTAATCTTAACTCTAATGTTTGCCTCATTACAGAAGTAACATCTAGTATAACTTCTTAGTTTTACTGTTTAGTAGAATATATGTACCGGAAATTTTGTACTTTCCGCCATTTTATACTAGAATTTTATTAATTCTCCTTTGTTTATCGATTCTTTAGGAATACATAGGATCTGCTCCAGGACCACAAGTTATTGAAACAATTGAAAAAAGTATCAATTATAAACTTGGCAAACTGAACGCCGCTGTCGCTTTGTTATTGAATGCTCATTCAGGTAAGACTTGATTTTTTTTAAATAAACGTCTCGTCTTCTCCATAGCAAGGTTAGATCTTATTCTAAATCATCAAATGGACAAAATTAACCATCTGTTGTGGCTGTGCTTTGTGTACACCTATTCTTCTATCCTCCAATATAGGACTCTAATTTTTACTTATTATTGTAGATCCACAAGAAGTCAACTACGCAACAGCCGTGACTTGCATGAGCACTATCAAAGAGCTTATTCCGGAATTAATTCAAGGTTTGAACTAAACTTGCTAAAGAAACAAGTAGAAGTAAATATTATAAAATTAGATATTGAAATATCAGGTCGCTTCTAGTTTAACAATATATTTATTGCATAGAAACGTTATCTCAGCATTCAATGTATTGGTTTCATTATTATGTACAGTTAAACACATAACTGATGGAATTATTTTGTTTTTTGTTCGTCTAGGTGGTCGGTATAACTAATTCTTGTAATTCCCTTATTTCAGATGTGAATACGTTAAATAGTTTTACGGAAGGTGATGAAGAAAGAACAGCTCTAACGAGTCAAGTAAAATTGTTACTGGATAGACTTGCTGCGCTTTGCTGTTTGAATGGAACAGATGACCCTCAGGTATTCTTTGCAGTTCAAAAGCATTAATTTTCTACTTCAATATTTTTATACTTCTTTATTACCTCACTACTTGTTCTTGAATTAGGAGCGTATGACGATCAAGAAGAACTGGCAAAATACTCGCCGCGACTTTATTAGTTATCTGTGATCATAATTTGCAGAAGATACAAGACGCTGGAAAAGCATACGGTGACGAATCCAGGAAGCTGATCTATACGTTTAATCGAGGTGTACAGCGAGATCGTACTGTTGATAAGGAAAGCGAGGTAAACGTTGCAAGTTACTTTAAAAAAAAATTAAAAAAGGTTAAGAGACGGGTTTTTTATACACGTAAAATAACATCTAAAAAATTTTAAGTTTCTTATCATAGTTTCATTTATAAAGTAGGTGATCCTTGTAGTTTGTACCTCCTTTTTTATGTTTAACTTTTATGCATATACCTAATTTAAAGTTCATCATTACTTGTGTTATCTTCTTAGATTATGAATCTGGCTAAGAATGTCGCTGAAAGTTTATCAAACCTTCTATCAGAAATCAGCGACTTGAATTCGTTAGTGTCAGGGGTCTGGAGAACTGGACGACGCTGGCGTTAAGTGTGCTGATGCTGCAAAGGAACTATACGCGTGTGCACAGGTAAACTGGAAAATATCTTACATTATTACATTAGGCCTACTATAAATATTTATATAGCCGTTAGATTGTATAGAGAATGACGCACGAGATCCATCGTGTTGAATGTTGATGAGATGGTCATTTTTTGACGTGCTCATATTGTATTATATGAGCTCGTCAAAAATATTATGAATTAAAATTCTATATGAAATAATTAATCATGTATAACACACATGATTCAGTTGGACACATGACACATGGTTGTTCATGATTCAGATGGAATTTCGATACTCCTACGACCATTTTAATATCCAGAATGCCAGGCGATATCCAACATGTTTCAAAAAATATGAAGATTGATTTATAACACGTTGGACCCAGGTGTGAATCGAACTCACGACCAGAGCATTCATGTTTCTCCGCTAGTTGAACTACCGTGTGTTACATACAAAAGTCTTAGTATATCTTCCCTGACAGTTAACAGCGCCATCGATCAACGAGCCCCACTGTCAAAGTGCGCTAACGGAAGCCTGCGAGAACCTATCATCATCAGTAAGCCATCTGACTCACACATATAAACCAATAGTGGATGACCCTGGGAGACACTACTACGGGAAAAGGTTAAACGATAGAGTTGCAGATCTGAACAGGGAACTGCTAAGACTAAAAGATGCGTACATCAATTTAAGTGGTATGTATTAGACTGTGTGTGTCTTTGTATCGAGTTTTAATAAAGAATGCCTGTAATTTCTAAAATTTTGAACGGATACTCCACACCCGACTACCTGACTATTTAAATGAAAGACGGTCAATATGGATTTCGGCCAAGATAATAACGCAACAATTGATCTTGTAACGAAAATAAGTGAAATTCCAGTGTGGGTATGTGCAGCAAAGACCAACTTAAAACCTATAGTAACATGTCAATCAAAAATCATAAAATCTTTGTTTAATTATAAAACACTAACTTCTACTAAAAAGGTTTATGAGAACACAATTTTTTTAACATTTCTCAACTATTTATCTATCATACATGCATTTACATTCATAAAATTATCACACGTAGCACACAAAGTCAAACAACTTTTACGAAAAAAAATCACAGATACCAAACTAGAAATAAAAACGAGTTATCACTACCCCAACCCCTGAACTAATTACGGTAAAAATAGTATAAGATTTAAGGGTGCGGATCTGTACAATAAGTTACCTGAAAGTTTAAAAAACGCCCAGTCTATAAAAATCTTCAAGAAATCATTAAAGTTCCATATTTTAGAATAAGAATAAGTTAATTAGCATTTTTTATTATTTATCACTGTTTCGTTTTATTAAAGTACCGATGCGATTAATGTTTTCTCATTAAGTGAATATGTATATTCTTAGAGAAAATAAATTCTTTAAACCGAATATATGTATACCTAAAAATAGTTAAAAATCCAAGATAGACTATACTTTAAATACCTTTATAATGAGCGCCCAGGGGCGTGTAAAGTGCGTCTTAACTATTTTAAGTCGTATTCATTGTAAACTAATACTACTTAAAATAGATAAATAATTTAAAATTATGTGTACGTCTCGCTACGTAGATACATTCTACATTACTACATTTTATAAAATAAAAAAATTAAATAAGTGTATTTTTAGGGGAATATTTTTAACGAAAAACTTGTGTAAAGTTGTAAAATGTAATATAAGAGACGTACACGCATAGGCGTAAACACCAGTAAAATAAACTCGTATGATAACAAAAGCGTAGTTTGCTCGCTGCTATCGTTACCTAACCAAATGAATTTACCTTCTCATAAGAAGCTACCACTCGAGCTTTTTTGTGACGATTATGAATAATAAATATTGTAATATGAATTAAATAATTAATATTTCAGAAAATAACAATGGAAATGATGAATCATATAATCTAGACGACGGTGATATAAGTGCTCAAAGACGGCTTAAATTCAAGGCTTTAATAACGCGAGGGAAGAAGGCTTTATCAGAAGCAGAAAACCATTTAGATCCCAACTCGCAAAGTACAAGTGTAAATAACGTAAGTAATCTTTCTTTTCTATGAATTTAAATTTTCGCAGGCATTTTGTAAATCTACTTAGGTTTGTTACTTCGTAAACACGGTCCTTAAAGGTGAGAGGAGGTCCACACTTTGAAGCTTGACCATAATTATTGCATTGTTTCGAAACGAAATCGATGATCCTTATTTGTGGGAAGCTTTTTGTCGACTGTTTGTCCCGGACAACTATGACCGGGCTAGGAGACACGATTTGTTTGACGTCCCAAAAGGTCGCACCTTCGCCCGCGAGTTTTCGCCGATACCGCGAATTTTGACCTCACTCAACGCTCTCCTCAAGTAAAAACCCAAATGTGACCTCTTCGCAGATGATTGGTCATCAATACTAAAAGAATTGTCTGCCTTTGAAATTATCTCCTAATGTAATTTGTAATAACCTATTTTAAATTGTTATTGTTTAAATATGTGTGTCTCCAATTAATGTAACTGGCTATTGCCGTTTTAATTGCTGTAAATAAATAATAAACTATATGGAATGTTTTAAAACCATATCGCATTGTGTCTAATCGCATCAAAAATATTATGTATATTTAAATAAAACACTTTAACGGTTTAAAACGCGATATATTAGTTAAACTTATTTAAAAATCATTTTCAAATAAGTTTAACTAATATATCGCGTTTTAAACCGTTAAAGTGTTTTATTTAAATGTGTACTACTCGCGTAAACTATAGACAGTATTATGTATATTGTAAAGTTGACGCAAAATCGCAATGGCCGCACTTACGGACAGTAAACTCCTTGGTGTGTGTAAGCCCTTAGTTGATAATTTTATTAAAACGCACATTTTTTTGCTCTGTAACATTATATATTATATTGTTTTAGGGAGTCCAAACACAAATAGATGTTGAAAGTCTTCAGTCTTTACTGAATAGGAAAATAGGACAATTAAATAGCGCAGTTGCTAATTTAATCAAAGAATCAATTTCGGGTAACGTATTCTACTAACAATAACGAAATAACTACGTGAGACTATTACGATCTTACAGCTTGACCAGATTTTGATAAAATTTGATGTCAATGTGGAATAGTCATCTTAGAATAATAAAAACTATGCTGTTAAAACGAGCAACAACATATGCGAGAAGTGACTTATGTCCACCAAAGCATGAAATCGAAAAAAATCTATAAATATTAACATAAAAAATTAGGAATTATAATACAAGTATAATATAAAAAAAAACATATAGTTACACTTCGTTATAATTTTAATAGATGAACCAGATTATGAAGTCTACAACAGAGCGATCAGCTACATATCGAAGCTTACTCCAGAAATAATGCGAGGTAACATTTTCTTAAAAGTCACTTTTTTTTTTAATAAAAATACAGGCAAGTAGATATGATCCATTTTCAGTCACAAAGTCGACTATAGGAAGTCACAAATTGCATTTTGGTTTTTGATCTCCATTTTTTGTAGATGCCAAAATCCTCGAAGATAATGTTAAGGAGTTAAACGGTGATAACAGTACTAAACATGAGGTATTAGACAACCTACAGACTATTCTTAATACAGTAAATGATATTGCTTTTGGTGAAAAAGACGTTAATAAAACGGTACGTATAATATATATATATAACTATAAAAACATTTATTTTAAATCTACAAATCGAATACGAAGTTGATATATTATATTCTATTTTTTATACTAAAACCATAAAGGATTCTTATTTCTTTTCACTATTAATACCAGAATAGTGAAAAGAAATAAGAATCCTTTATGGTTCAACAAAACCAAGTTCGTCTTATACATATGTATACCTAAAGTACACGCATGATTAACGTTTTATATCATTTTGTTATATTATTAGGATCTTTACGACGCTGCTGACAATTTTGTAAAATCAACTCACAAACTATACTGGACTTTCAATCCTCGACATAAAACCGAAGAAGATAATATGGTAATTTAATTTATAAATGATTAATAAGGGTAACTAAACACAACTAAATCTCCTATGCTATTACAGCTAATGGATCAAGCTAAAGACGTTGGTGACAAGACATCAGCTTTATTAATAGACACAAGTGAACTGATAAGTTCCATCGGTTCTGGTCCGAGAGCTGAAGAGCTAGAAGGAGCTGGAGTCAGATGCGCTGATGCTGCTAAAGCATTTATAATTTGCGCTGAAGTAAGACATCCAAAAAGTATAACAGTATAATATCATAGTCGCATAAGTAACATCTGTCATTCTATGTATTCTTTCTTCAAGGGTTAAGTAATAGAATCGCCAAAAATAGGATCAGGTCAATATGTCAAAAGTGTTTTAACGTTTAATTCTTAATTTGTTATATCCAATGTAGACTGATTGGCCTCCTCTGTTCTTTACGAATTTTGTTTCATTTTTGTTCTAATGTTTTTTGTTTTTTACTCTAGTTGACGACGCCTACAATTAAAAATCCTTACAGTCAAGCTGTTTTAGAATCATCAGTTGATAATCTTGAATCGTCAATTGAAAACTTGACTGATACGTATACACCTATAGTAGAAGAACCGGAACGTTACTACTACGGCAAAACACTTGCGGCTAGGAACGAAGCCCTTATGAAAGCTTTAGAGAAACTGAGATGCATCTATGAAAAGGAAAAAAGTGCTGGTATGTTTTTTGCACTAAATATGTATGATGTAATACCTATGATAGAAGAAGATAAACAATCACTGGGTTTATTTCATAGAAGGTGGATGTTCCTTGTGCCATCTAATTAGGATTAGCGGTCGTCCTATTTTTGGCGTGGGAATTTAAGATATCCCCCCACTGAAACCAAAATTATTCAATAAAACACTTTAACGGTTTAAAACGCGATATATTTCAATTAATGTTGTGTGTTTTGAGACACTCGCGAAACAAAATTCGATATTCAAGTTTGTTCGAGGCAGAAAAATCTAATCCTAACTAGCTGCTTAATGTCCAGAAAGTAGAAAACTATTTAAGTTTCTTCGGTTATTTGTAACATATGGTTATTAACTTAACATGTGTTTTGTTAAGTCGTATAGCTAAATAAATCATCGCAATATTATTATATTTAAAATCTCTTTAAAATAAAAAATGTTCTAATTCTAGCTGTTCGTTTCCCAAACGAGGATGACAAAGGCATACCCGATGAAGAGAAAGCCCAAAGACTTAAATTTATTGCATCGATTTCAAGGTTAAATTTCGCTTTACAAGACGCTGAAGAGAAACTGCTAGTCGGTTCGCCAAACACCGTAAGTATTACTCTAGATTCTAGAATAAATATTTGAACTATGTTTGTAGCTAAGTACTTCGATATTTTACAGGTAATTTATAATGAAGCGGACTTGCAAGAAATTCAGACTCAATCGTCGAACAATTTGGCAAGACTAAATGCAGCTATTGCCTCTTTATTAAAATCTTTATCAGGTATTATGTTTTTTAATACTCTGTCGTCACTTTGTAACATAACTTAAAGGCATTTTGACATGGGAAGCAAAACCGCATCGTTTCTGCTGTTTCTAAAATAAATTCTCATTTGTATCAGGTATACCAGATTATGAAAAAACGAATGCTGCCATCAGTGCCATTGCTGAGCTCACGCCTGAAATTATACGTGGTATGTACAGTTTAATCATACAAATGTATTTTTATGACAGAAGATCTAACGACATATTTCGACAAACAAATCTCATTAGCTTAACATCAAGTCCTAATTCTATTGATTGTTACGTTGACGAAGACGTGATCCATGTGTTGTCGGAATGTGTTCGAAATGTGATATATAGGGAATTTGTAAGTAAATATATTTGTTTAAAGGGTGGTATAGTAGTATCTTAGCCGTTACATTTTCAGGGGAGGATAGGATGTTACTAAACGTATACTACAAGTTTATAATGTAGATCGTTTTAATCTATTCATAGTGTTCAAGTTTCCATGTTTTATAATTTGAAAATGTTAGGTCTTATTCAAACTCAAACCATTTATTTCACAAGACATAATAAATAACATAAATATAAGCTTAAATAACCACTATATAAATAAGTGAAAGAAGAAAAACAAAAAAAAAAAGAAAGGGGAAAAGCACTCGGCATGTGCTTCACCACCCCAGAGTAGAGGAGAAGCGCCGGTTTTCAGTGCCCCCCGGGGCAAGAAGGTGACAACAACTACAGCCTTTTAGTGAAACTAAAATAACTTACTACATAAATAAGAAATTATGATAAATAGTAGAATGTGTGTTGTATATTGTTGTGTATTCGGCGACATAATATAAAAAAGTGTTACGAGCACCTCTTGGAAGGTGACACACTCCAAGCTGACGAGCATGGGATTCACATGATGGTAGTTGAAATACCCTAGCTTAAAGCATCTACACAAGATTCGCTGTCGACTTAATTTGGATTCGATGGATTTTATACGTCCAAAGAAAGTATTTCACCTCTCATCAAATGAATGTAATGCTATAATATTGAATAAATAAACAAACAATAAAAGAAACTTACAAGCGATAACTGTTATTTATATCCTAGATGGTAAGATTATTGAGAATCACGTGGATGGATATGAGAAAGAAGCATTAATAGATAACTTGGAAGCAATGGTTGAAGCGGCTAAAGACATTTGCACACATTCTGCGGCGCATAATGACACCGTAAGTAGTTCGAGTTATATCTGTAGTAGAGATAGTAATACATTAAATGGAACTGATTTAAACTTTAAAAACTTTAGGTTAAAAATTATGTTAACGCGTTTTAATTAATATTATCGCTTAGGCCTTGAGCCCTATAGTTACCATTTTATACTGCTCAGTCTTTGAATTTATCCACAGATTGTAAAAAGTGGCCAGTTGTGGTAGAGTTTCTGTTATATTCTATAATTCGCCATCATTGTGATGTTAATTTTAACATCGGGCTGACGTTCCTTGAATTATTTTTATTAATTCAATTGACGTTTAGACACTTTCAGTTCAATTTAAATATATTTATAAATAGTATAAAATATTCGTTATAACCTATTAAGGTGTAGGATTGTAGGTGTGTTTGGGGTCTCCTTTTACACAGGAGAGGTCTTTAAGAGCTTCTCGTATTTACGGGCTTAAATTGCTCAATTTGTAGTGATAACCTGAAAAAATAACCCCCGTATATTTTTTTTTTTTTTTTTGCCAAAGCACGGGGGTTTTTTCTTACGAAAATTTTCAAATACCGTGATCATATCGCCCAAATATCCCCCGGGACCTCGAATCTCAGCGTGTGCCCCAACCTCTGGACCGACAAAACAGTAATAACTTGTATGATATATGCGATTTTTTTATCCCTATAGGATCTTAAGAACGCAGCTATGAAGTTTGCTAAATCTTCAGGAAAATTGACGTACATTTTCAACCCACATGCAAATCTTGAGAAAGAATCAGAGGTAAATAAAATGTTTAAGATCATCATATTCAAACAACACTGTGAAATATGTAAAAAGTCTCTAATTTAACAAAAACTCCTACTCTTTTTTTTTTCCTTCCTCGACAAAACCAGTTTCACGGCACCTGTGTGTTTGTTAGTTTTAAGACATTGATCTACGAAGCAGTCAAAATAATTGTATTCATAATAAACTAATTGAAACAATTCACTGTTAAAAAAGCTAAATTCAGTAGTTCATGTACGATCTCCTGCAGTCTGCATCCGAATCTGAAGTCGTAGTTAAAAGTTAATCAACCAATGTATTACTCGTTTTAAACCAATTAATACAATTACTACTCAATACTACATAGGCGTAGTTAAAAAGGATTTTTCTTTTTCAGATTATAGACCTAACAAACGATGTTGCACTTAAAACATCATTGCTTTTACGCAACCTTCGTGGAATCACCAGCATAAACCCGCCTCCACCAGAAGAACTAATATCAAATGTAGATCGGGCAATTCTTACCTGTAATGATGCTGTAAATGACTTGAAGAATTGTGCAAAGGTATCACATAACACGATCTATACTAAAACTAAACCTCAAAATTTTAACTAAAAATTTAAAATGGCATAAAACCAATAGCAATGAATATCTGAAGACCCTCACACTATACGATAGGTTCTGAAACAAGTTTTTGGGTACCAAAATATAACTATACTACACAAAATTGATTTAAAATAATTTAGACAAACTTATATTTACTATATGTGTTTCACTTGCAAGCTCACAGCGCCGTGTATTGAAGAGTTAAACTGCCAGTGCGCATTGTCAGCAGCTTGTGAGAATTTAGCAGCGAAATTAGAAGATTTAGTGCTTACCTTCAAGCCTATGCTGGAAGAACCGAGTCGTCAACGTAGTGCTAAAACAATAGTTCAAAATACTGTTGATGTTTCGGTGGCTCTTGCCAAGTTAAAAACAGCCTATCCATTTTCAACTCGTGAGTAAAACATGTTGTATATTATAAATATTTTCCCTTGTCTTTAAGTAAAACTTCAAATTTCAAACCAACATTGGGTATAGTAGGTTGATGTCCGAGAGAGGAGCCCGGTCACGGTCCCACATGTAGGACATGGGACCGTTCAAGATTTTTAAATATACACTTCGCTTAAATCGTATCGAGGAAGTAATTTCATTATTTTTATAGAAGAAGATTTGAGTAACAAACCTACAGAAGCTATAAAATCCGTAGCTACCTTATCACCTATGAAGAAAGCTTTATTAGATGCTGAACAGTTCTTTGATGATAAACACAACATAAATCAACATGTAAGTTGCTTAAACTTTTATATTTCACTTTTATACTATGGATAATTTCGCTTAATCGAAAAAAAACTAGAATCAAAACTTATACAATATTCTGTGTCCAGCTTGGAAGGCAATCAGGAAAACCTGATGTTAAGTTATCGTTGACAAGAAGTATAGCCGAGATGAATGCGGCAATCGCAACTATGTTACATGCTACAATAGGTATGATCTAAAGATCTATATTAAAGATTAATATGCCGGTTGCGTTAAAAGTTTATGAAAATTTACGCTTTTTCCCACAAAATTACTTAAAAGGTCATTTTCTCTGAAGGAGTTTCATAAACTACTTATTCAGTGATTAAATTCTACAAACTAATTCATATATTTACAATTTGAAATCGTGTGATGACACTATAATGATTTAAAAACAAGAAAAAAGAGAAGTAGTCCCACTGACTTACGATTGAACGGTTCGTACAGCTCCGAAAATGGGCTTTTATAATTTTAAATTTAGACTAATTTAACCTTTATTTCGTTTTCAGAGGAACCCGATTACAATTTCGTTGAAACGTCAATGGCAAAGATAGCAAATATCATTCCAAGCATAGTAGACGGTTTGTTTCTTAATATTTGAACATTAAGTTGGTATATCAAGATTAATTTTCATTATATAATCAACATCAACATTATTATTATAGATGCAGCATTCATGGCCTATCAGAATGCAGAAGACACTATTTGTCAAGATATAAAACCCATGTTTACATCTCTTATTAATATAAACAAAGATATAGAAAAAGATCAGTTGAAGGTACAAAATTTTTAAAATTTTGTTTTATTTTATTGAAATTACTTTAATTTACCATATTGAAATTAACAGGGTCTCAACAATAGTGCTATGGAATTTGCTAAAACGTCCCAAAAAATATACCACAACTACAGTCCACAAATAGATAGACGGAAAGAAGACCAGGTATATATTGATTTATATAAATTTTTATTACCACTCCACATTATAATTTAGTTACTCAACCTATACTAACAAAATCTATGCAATGTAATAAGTTTCCAAAAAAATCTTAGATATTGGACTTATCACGAGGAGCTTGCCGAGATGCTTCAAAGCTACTGACGAAAGTATATCAACTTGCAAAAGAGTTACAAGATCCAGTAGCAACTGAGCTAGACAATTGTGGAACTGGGATAGTTGATACAGCACAAGTCTTTTTAACAGCTGCGGAAGTAAATAATCACTTTTTTTATTTTGTTAATATATATATTTCTTCATCAACGTAATTATTAAACTCTTACGTACAGGTAACAGCTCCAAGTATGATGGAGCCCGAATGTCAGACAGCCATGGTTAGCCTTACGGATACCTTCTTAAGTAAAATTAAAAATTTGGAAAATCTTTGGATGCCATTAACAGGAACCTATCAAGATTTAGGTGATCAATTACATAAAGATTCTAGCATTCTAGAAACGACACTAAATAAGATGAAAGAAATTTGTGTATATAATAAAGGTACGTTAAATTCTTTTGATCTAGTCCTATTTTTTGGGAAAGAAAACTATTGTTAAGTTTTATAAAATGGTACACTTTGATCTTAGATGATGAAATCAACAAAAGAAGAGAAGAGCTAGTTAAAAAAACACTAGACGCAAAGGAAAAAATAAAAGAGGCTGAAATGCTTATGGTGGAGGACAAGTTAGCACAATTACCAGAACCACCGCTTTTAGAAGTTGTTGCCATCATGACAGAGGTTTGTAAATCAGGAAATGTTCTACAATGATTTTAATATTGGTTTCCTTTTATACATGAGTAATTTTAAAATTATCTTAATCTTTAGAAAGGATGTGTTGAAAAGAAATCTATCGAACAAACTAAAAGATTTCTTTGTGATAAATTGGCGGAACTCAATCAATACATATCCACATTGGTTCAAGCAGCTTCAGGTAAAAACGGTTACTTTGGATCACATAAGACATCTTAAACTGTTTTTTATTTTTCTTGTTCTTTTGCTTGTAGATCGCGAAGCCATCAACCATTCACAGCAAGGAGAATTAGTAGGAAAGATTTCCGAGGTTACCCCAGAGACACTAAAATGTGAGTTACATTTTTCTACTACCCTTTGTGAAGCGATTTTTAGCTTTACAAACGAACGTACGTACTTTATTTGATTCGTCATCTTATTTACAGGTATTCTTTCGACACATAAGTATTTGGATGAGGATACTTCACGAGCCATGGTTGAGGAAGCTAGAGTTGTCTGCGGAAGAACTCACGATATACTTACTAACATTGAAAATGAAAATATAGAGGTTGGATGACCAAATATAAGGAAAATGAAATTCCTAACAATCGAATATATAACAAAATGTAAACTTTCTTCTGGTATTTTTTCAGGAATTAAATGATGCTGTTTCAAAATACGCACTATCATCTGGAAAACTTTATTACATATTCAGTCCTTACAAGAAAGCGGAGAATGCTAAAGAGCGAGAGGTGAGTTCGAATGGATTTATTTAAAGACTTACAGTAACAACTAACCATCGTTAAACTCTTAATAATACCATTTAAGTAATTGCGTTTTCGACGAAGTGCTTAGATTTGTTTGAAAGCGGTTAACCGAGATTTGACTTTACGGTCAGTTTAATGGTGGACTAAGTAAAAAATAAATAGCGTCTTTAGAGTCCTTTTTCTTTTACTGTATAATAATTAAACTGAGATTATTAATAAGATAATTATGTCAGCAAAATAAGAAACACTGCTACTGATAATTCATTTATCATCAAACAGGTCCTACAGTTGGTTCGATCAGCATGTGAACGTACATCCTTAATGCTATCAAGAGTATCCAGGTTGGCTAAAATGGTGGATGCTAAAGATGCTGAACCATGTGATACTATCGGTGTGAAATTAGCCGATGCTGCGCAGGTGTTGCTATCCAGTGCTCAAGTAAGTTTTCAACTCTTCTATATTTGTTCGTGCGTAATTTGAATAACTACTTTTAATTTATTTAGTATAAAAAAACTGTTTACTTTTAAAAGTATCTATCGTTTACTGGAGAGTTTGTTGCCAGTTCTTATCATTTGTTGTATGCCCTTAATTTGAGAACTGGTAGTAGCTAAATCTTATCTACCTACAGAAATTGTTTTTTTTTTACAGAATTTATTTTTCAATGTTTTAATAACTTCTAAGTCTCCCAATATATTTTTGCAGTTATTAGCTCCAAGTATGCGTTGTGACGCTTCTCGGACAGTACTTTCCTCATCAGTAAATAATGTTTCTGATCTGGCCACGACATTGGGTAACGCCTGGTCTCTAATAATAGAACAAGATGAGCTTGGGGAACAGTTAGATAAAGATCTGGCTGATTTGCAAAGTGATCTGGACAAATTGAAAAATATTTTGAAAGGTGGGAAGACTTTTGATATCGTTGTCCTTACTCCATAAATTATTATTAAATATGTCAATCTTATTTCTGTTTTAGAAAATACACAATTCGCTGAAGAAACGGGCAACCTTCAAACTGAAAACGTTGATAATTTTGTAACGGTAAGTGACGAAATGTTGAATGACTTTGGAGAATCCAACTTTTTATAATTACTAAGCTAAAAAAATATGCGAGAGATAGTATAATTACTTATTACTTATTCGTACTGTTTTACTTAAGTAACGGCAATACTTAAAATAAATGAAGATGCGTAAAAGGAAGTAATGTTTAAAAGAAAGCAATTAAACAATTGTTAAAAAAGTAATCCATTATTATTACAGGATGACGTTGCAAAAACTTCAGATATCGATGTAAAAATAGAAGACACTCCTCTCAAAGAACTGGCAATGAAAATTCTTAAATCTGCTAAAGTAAGTAATAAATAAAATTAAATAAAATATAAAAAACGATAGTTCAGTAAGTATCACTTTAGAGAAATTATAAAAGTAATCTATAGTATAAAAGCTAATTAAGAAACATCCCTAGCTTAAGTTTAATAGCCAGACCTAGAAATATCTGAAAATATTTTTGTTAAATACATTAAGACATACTTGGACGAAGATCTTCGCTTACTCGAGGTCTGCCCACTATCTCTAGAAGATGGCATCCTCTTATTATAGCTAAATTTTAGGGACCATTTTAAACGAAGGCCTGAAATCCCAGAAAGCCCTATGTACGTCTAAGAGATACATTTTCTTATTTCAGAGTGATTTGGAGAGCAAAACTCTTTCACCCGAGGAACATACAGCCTTACAAACCTTTACAAATGAACTTACCGCAGCCATATGTGCCTTAGACTTGGCTACGGCGCGCTGCAAATCAGATCTGCTGGTAAATTTTAACCATCGTGTAATATCTACTTTAAATATAATCAATAACATTGTAAGATAGAATTTGTTTCTTATAGCTTTCTATGAACTTTCTTGCTGTTTTTTGCCTTTCTGTTATAGTAATGGATGATTAAACCGAAAAGTAATTTAAATGAAATATTTTTAATGGCTCAAAACAAAAAATATATTTAAATTATTTTTAATTTTCTAATAAGTTTTTAAATTATTTTTAACTGAATCCGACGCTTAGGATGTTTTGTAGCTTTTGTGGTAACGCAGTTAAAATATAATACTAATAACTTTTACATTTTAAACCGAAAAGTGTTTTTTCTTATGTGTACTACTTGCGTAAGTTATGAACAATACCTTACCGGATAGTCATTTTTCAAACTTCTATTGGTCTGCCCAATCTAAGCTCAGCTAATTCCCACGATTTGAACCCCGGACCAGTGAAATGTCAATGTGAAACTAACATTAGTGTATTTGTTATTTCCAGGATCCGAAAAAACGTCAGCATCTAGAGAACGTGGTACAAAACTTGCAACATATTTGTTTGGTGTCACGACAAAATGGCGACGAACAGAGCTACATTATAGATTTGATGGTACTTTCTTTTGATTAAGGCTTTTTAAATAACTATAAGAGACTTATATAGCATTGTATATTTTAGGAGTTCGTGAAACACGTGACGTCAGCTGCGGACGATCTATACCAAACGACTGCTTATGTTGAGCAGGACAGATGCAAAAAAGCTTTAACGGTGAGTAATATATATCAAATACTGTGTATAGTTTACGCGAGTAGTACACATTTAAATAAAACACTTTAACGGTTTAAAACGCGATATATTAGTTAAAAATAATTTCCTAATAAGTTTAACTAACATATCGCGTTTTAAACCGTTAAAGTGTTTTATTTAAATAAGAGTGATATATCATCACCATCATTACCAAAAATCATTTCAAAAGTAATTTGTGTATAATACACGTGAAATTTTGTGCTTTAAGCTATGCTGGCCAGCCATAAACTTTGAATTAAAACACTTTTAACTGTTTAAATCACGATACCTACATATTAGTAAACTTTTATTTTTATTTATGTCCTTAATTACAAATAAGTTAAATACTGTCTATAGTTTACGCGAGTAGTACACATTTAAATAAAACACTTTAACGGTTTAAAACGCGATGTATTAGTTAAACTTATTTGGAAATTATTTTTAACTTCGGCCCGACGTTTAAATACAAATAAGTTTTCGAATATATTTTGCGTTTTAAGTAGTTACAAGTGTTTTATTTAAATATGTATTACTTGTGTAAACTACAAACAATAGTTTAAAATATTTCTTATTATTAATACTTATCTAAACAATTATTTTATTTCAATATTTATTGTATTCCTCTTCCCCCCGGGCCGCCGTACAGTTTGGACGTCTTTTAGGCGAGTGATAAAATAAAAATTTAATTTAACTCTGTTTTTAAACAAAAAACGCAATAAATAAAACTACGGTACCAGAGCGCAACAGTGAGTAGCAGTAGACAGTGCCTCCTCCCGCCAAACGCTAGCCCCGCCCCCAGTGCGCACGCGCGCTCGTAATTGGAAGGACGCCGCCAATTGGGTCAAGGACACTGATTGCTCGAGTTAACGTATTGTGAACCTTAATCATATTAAAATATGAAGAAAACCCGTCTTCCATGCGATTGCGATGCCGGTGAAAGCTCAACGCAAGAGAGCGACAACGTTAATACGAAGTTGCGTCAAAGGAAAAAAGTGGCTCGGGACGAAAACGACGACTTTCTCGTTTTAAGAAACGAGATGAAGGAATGGCTCGCACTTTCCACACTTCCAAGCTTGACAAACCCGGGATCAACAGAATAGCCGTTTAGAGGCTGGAGGGGTATCGCTGAATTATCTTCGAAGCTCTCGACAGTCAACGAGACCAGCCATCTCGAAAATTCGATCGAATCGTCTCCACAAAAATAGAAGGTATGCAAGGAAAAATCGACAATTTCCAAAAAAATATTATAGCATTGTCGGCTCAACTTGTGGACCTCGAAGAGAAGCACGAAGCCCTGACCGAGCCCCACAAAACACTATTGAAATTAGAAACGTTCCCAAGCAAAGTCAACCTCCGTCCAAGCCGAACTCTTCGCCTATTTAACTCAGCTTGCGTCTAGTCTACAAATTGACTTTTCAACTAGTGACATTAGAGACGTGGCCCGCTTCACCAACAGAAAAGATAACTCGACTTGGAACCTCACCGTTGATCTATGTAATACCCTCACAAAAACTAACATCTTAAGCGCTGTTCGAAAGTATAACAAGGAGCACAGATCGAGTCAACTGAACTGCAGCCACATAGGAATGGTGGGACATACTCCTATATATGTCTCAGAATTTCTTACACCGAAGGCTAAGCGGCTTTTCTTTCTGGCGAGGGAGTTGGCTAAATCAGAACAATACGACTATTGCTGGTCTTCGAATGGTAACGTATATCTTAGGAAAAATAACGGATCCAAATACATCCTCATAAAGAACGAAGAGCAACTCAACTTGCTAAATAGCGCATGACTAGTCTTAATTTTACTTAACTTATTAATGTCAAAACATAAATCAAATGTAATGTTATCAATCCATTACGCCAAGTTATATAGTATTCTCAAACACCTATTAAATTGTTTAGTATCACACTTCAGTTATCAACATAGTTATTATAATTTTACTCTAGTCGGGTCGAACGTCTTGGAATTTCTAAAACAAATGTTCTATTTATTTTTATTACCAACACTCCAAGGAAACATTAATGTCATTCCTAAACACTTAGTTATCTCATGTAAAACAATTAGTTGTACTACAAGTTATACACTTTCTTCCACATTAACCAAGTATTATTATAATTTTTTAAAGGCAAAGTTTTGCGTCCTACTACACCCATCTATTTAAATTCGATAATATTAATTTAATTCGCGATATTGACAATACACATTTTATACCCAATGAATACCTTACATATCCTGAAGACTGCAAAACTTTTTTCAACTCTTCCAACTTAACAATAGTGTCCCAAAATATTCGAAGCATAAATAAAAATTTTGATAGTTTTCTAGTTTTCCTAACAAGACTTCAATTCAAGCCGGATTTAATCATTCTAACAGAGTGCTGGATTGATAAAAACTTTACAGGCTTAATTCTTGACGGATACATATGCACTTTCTCCCAAAGTTACAAAAATAAATGCGATGGAATTGTTATATTCTACAGAAACTGCATGAACCTGATTACTACTGAACCGGTTTATCCTGAAGCAAATTTTCTAGTTAGTGTGTTGAATAGTGAAACGGTAATCATATCTATATATAGATCTCCATCCACATACAACGTTGATGCCTTTCTCAACGCACTAGAAAACATAATTCTCTCCCACATCGGTCAACCTATCTACATTATTGGGGACCTTAATATAGACCTGAAGGAGCTGACTGACGATTTGAGAGCTTACAAACTGCTAGAGCTAGTGAATTACCATGGATTTATCCAAGGTCAATTCATTCCGACCCGCGGAGATAACTGCTTAGATCACGCTTTGTTTAGATCAAACCTTCCTACAAAAGTAGCCGTCTGCCCTTCCCAAGTCACTGATCATATGTCTGTCATTATCGGAATCGAGCAATCACGTCCTCACACCACCCAAAAAATTAATTCTTCTATCTCTTATCAGGTAATTGATTTTGATAAATTAAAAAATGACCTTTCTTCGGTTGACTGGAGTTTTATATGGTCCTTTACTAACATAAACGAAGCTGTCACGGCTTTAACAAACAGCTTAAATAAATCTATTAAAGCCCATACCAAAACACGATCCCAAAGAAATTCCAAAGCAATCAGAAAACAATGGATGACTCCTGGACTATTACGCTGTGTTAGAAAAAGAGACTATCTACACTCACTAACCAGAAAAAAGCCGAACAATCAAACACTCCAAAATGAATACACTCAGTATCGCAACTATTGTAACAATATCCTCCAAAACCTTAAAAATCTTCACGACAGCATGACTATACAAGAAAATAAAAACGACAACCGAAAACTCTGGAAATGTATCAAAAATATATGCAATCTTAATTCTAATAAAGAAAATTCAAGTAAATTACTAAATATCAAACCAAACCCGGAAGAATCCCTCAATACTGTAAATTCATTCTTTTCAACGATTGGCGAAAAGATTTCTACAGAAACCTTGCTCAAATTAAAGCGAACTGAAAAAGATCTAGTCCAGAATATTTCCATTCCCTCCAAACCTAACTCTTTTCTGTTTCTCCCTTGCGACGAGCGTGAAATCCTTAAGATTATTAACTCCCTTAAACCCCATGCGGCCCCAGGACATGACATCATAAGCAACCGTATAATTATTTCCCTAAAAAATATATTAGCAGCGCCTATAGCATACATTTGTAACCTCAGTATTGAACAAGGAATTTTTCCCGAATCGTGGAAACTTGCGTACATTACCCCAGTTCATAAATCCGGTTGCAAGACGCAAGTTTCGAATTACCGCCCTATCTCACTTCTCCCAAGCTTAGCTAAAATTATGGAGAAAGTCGTCAATACAAGACTACTCAATTACCTGGAAAAGGAAGACATGCTAGCTAATAACCAATTTGGTTTTAGGCATAACAAATCGACAGAAGACGCAACTACTGCTCTGGTTGAGACTGTTAGCTCAAAATTGGACGAGGGTCAAAGGTGTATTGGTGTTTTTCTCGATGTAGCGAAAGCTTTTGACACTATCTCCAGACCAATCCTGTTGGAAAAAATGGAAAGATTAGGATTCCGGGGCAACATCCTAAACTGGTTCCGATCTTACCTATCCAACAGAAAACAAATAGTCAGAATAGATAGTTTAAAAAGCCTGGAAAAAGTAGTCTCCTACGGCTTGCCACAGGGTAGTGCAATAAGCAGTTCTCTATTTCTAATCTATATTAACGACTTATGTACAATGAAGCTTTCTAATGCCAAGTTATTCTCCTTCGCTGACGACACGGCGATTATCTTTTATTCACGTTCCTGGGAACAAGCCGCCCTCGTTGCCCAAACGGGTCTCACCCGTATTTCTCAATGGCTCACCAATAATCTTCTTTCGCTTAATACAACAAAAACTAAATACATTTGTTTTAACATCTCTAAGGCAACTGCCCCAAAACCAATCCCCCCTATTAAACTCCATTCTTGTCATAACCCCTTCTCGACCTGCCAATGTCCAACCATAGAATCGACTGATTCTATTAAATACCTCGGGGTAATGGTAGACTCGAGGCTTTCTTGGGGTCCTCACATTAGTTATCTGTGCGCTCGTGTCCGAAAACTTTCAAGCGCCTTTAAACGCCTCAGTAAGGCGGCAGAGACTAATACTATTAGGACAGTCTATATAGCTTTATGCCAATCTGTGTTATCTTATTGCATTTCCACATGGGGCGGTGCGGTAACAGGTCTTATGCTCAAAATAGAACGGGCACAGCGTGCTATCCTAAAAATTTCCCTTAGAAAACCGTTTCGGCATCCAACTTCAGAATTATACAAAGAATGTAATCTCCTGACGGTCAGGCAACTGTATATTATATCAACTTGTCGTCGCCAACTCAAAACGCCATCACAATCTAAAACATCCGAACAAACATCTTTAACACAACGAAAAGTCCAATTCCGAACTCCGCTCAAACACACCTCTTTTGCCCAACGATTTTTTACTTTTAAAGGTCCCTTCCTGCTTAACTTATTCATTAATAAAAATATAATTAGCCCACTTACTTCTTATTCTTCCCAATTAAATAAAATTAAAGTGTTTCTTCTAAAATTAAATTATACTCAAACAGAAAACTGTATTAAGGTAATTGCATGACAAAATGTTATCCATATTTTTAAGTTTATTTTTTATTATTTAAATACTTAGCATATAATAACTTTATAAGTACATAGTAGATACTAAGTTTTTCATTGTTTTTCTCGAAATGCACCGGAAGAGTCTAGCCGCCCACGACACAGGGAATCCTAGTGTGGGGGCTAGCACACCCTGTAATGATATGTACACAGTTTTGGTGAATAAAGAATTTGTATTTGTATTTGTATTTGTATTTTGTTATTGATTGATAAATTCGGGGTAACTAGTCGCGTCTCAAAGACACGTCGTTACTTAAAGGTTTACGTTTACAATAATATATACACATTGTTTTTCGTAATATGTAAGCCACGGATTAAGTATTACATGAATTGATCACTAAATTATAAATTTTCAGAAAATAAGAGACGGTTGCGATGAAATAAAAACAAATGCCGACAACCTATCGAACCCCCAAGAAGCCGACGAATCAGTGATAGACGATATGTTGTTGGTTGCAAAGTTCTCTCAGGTAAATATTCTAAAACTCTTAAATCTAGTGCCTTAACTTTGTCTCAGAACAAAAAAGGAAGGCGTGTGTTCATTTTTATTCATAGTATAACATCATATAGTCAAAGTTAAGTCAAAATTCATGTGGGTACATTTACTACCAGTTCTCAAATCAAGGGCGAAGAACGAACGAGAAGAACTGGCGACAAACTCGCCGTCACAACTTTTATCGCCATAAAAAAAAAATCCTACATATTTTTCGGGTGTCATGAACTGTTTTTGCAGCGTACGCCTCTGAAACCGATAATAGTGAATAATTTTCCAATTTTTTTTTTAAATTTTTCGCTTTATCTTCCCTTGTATTCGTCACAGTGCGAATGATTTAGCCTTGCTCGATCAATTCTCTAAACAACACAAAAATATTTTTTTCAAATAAAATCGGTAGTTTCCTGTAGATTAGCGCGTTCAAACAAACATACTTTTCAGGTTTAAATATTCGTATAGACTTACTGGTATGTAGTTATTAAAAGAGTTTCTATACATAAAACGTAAGTTTTTACAATAATATTGTTATTTAAGGAATGCGATGATGGCATAAAGACAATACAATCAGCAGTCGACAGTGTTAATGATGAACATTCTAGGGAGGTTCTCATCGAAAAGCTTCGTATCTTAATGGATAAATCTGACCTTTTGAAGTAAGTATCCTCCATTTTGAAATATGAAAGATTTAAATTTTAAAATTCGAAAGATTTAGATGTATTAAAGTAGTAAGTAATTCTTGTAATGTATTGAAAGAGTGTGTCGTGTTATAAATTTTTCAATAATTTTAAAAATACTTTTTGAATAAATACTTAACTACTATCGTTTCTTGATACATAACAAGAGGGGGCAGACTAGCGTGGCGTTTACTTTAACGGTGATATGTACGGTACGGTACGGTGGTACTCTACTAAGTGCTTTTTGCTAAAGAAAAGTGTGAATCTCTTAATAAAATAGTATTAGAATTTAATTCTTCGAGCAATCGAGGAATTAACATCCTGATGATGCCGTCCGCACGTGGTGGCGAAACGTCGAGAACCTCTTCTCGCTCACGAATGCTGAACGATGGCCGTGAAAGTCTTACACAATTTAAAATAGTATTATTTAGCTTATTTTATTCCACTAGTGTAGGTACATAAGATTTTTCAAACATAATATCGTATAAGCTAGATACTACTTGCTTCAATAATTAAAACGTTCAAAACATTTAATATCCAGTCGGTATTATCTGCGTTTATTATTTATGCTATCTTTTTATATAGTATCCTATTTTTTCTTTTTAGGTTTGCCACAAAAGGCAGCGTTTCTCTAACAAATGCTGTAGCCATTGAAGAAAATTTACAAAAACTGACAGAAGCTGAAGAGAAGATTGACATGTTATTGAAATGTACTGACGATGACGATCAAAGGGAGAGAGAGGTACATAATGTTTTTTTTTTAAGATTAATATTGAGATCACTTTCAATAGTGTTTCAGACCAAAAATTAACCTAAATACTGCTTTGATATTTGTATAAGTACTTACTATGTCTAAGTTTAGTTGTAATTATGTCTACGGTATAATATTATTTAAAATTTTCTTACTGGGTGACCTGTGACCTGTGGATAACTATTGGATAAAAACAGATAACTTATGATTACACAGTAATTCCTAAATACTGTCTGTAATTTACGCCAGTAGAACATTTAAATAAAACACTTTAACGGTTTAAATCACGATATACATTAGTTCAAGTTATTTGAAAATTACTATAACTATGGCCCGACGTATCGGATACTTTGCAGCAGCCGTGGTCACTCAGAGTCGCCACGTGACCACGGCTTATTTAAAGAACACTTTTGTTTAACAGACAATTTGCGACTGAAGGTATTTTAAATATTATATAAAAGCAATAATATTTTTTTTTCAATTGTTCTAAGGGCGAGCCAGTAAACATAGAAATGATAAAAGCAGCACAATCGTCCCTCTCCAGTGCTGTTATTTCAAAACGAGATGATATTTTGTCGCAAGCACTCACCCAGTATGCAATTAAAATGCTCTCAGCCACGCCGAAAGATGCTGAGAATCAGTTGAGGTTGGTTCCTACATTTTTTTTAATTCTAGGGCTCCTATGGTCATATCTATTACTATTTTTTTTAATATGAACTAGTGTTTATCTGTCCTTCATATGTGACTTAAAATATTAATAATTCAATTAAACGCTATACGATTTTGATATACAACCGTAAAAAAATCAAATGTAAAATACTCTCTATAGTTTACGCGAGTAGTACACATTTAAATAAAACACTTTAACGGTTCAAAACGCGATATAACCCCGTGACCACGTCCGTCGAAACGTCGGGCCGAAGTTAAAAATAATTTTCAAATAAGTTTAACTAATATATCGCGTTTTAAACCGTTAAAGTATTTTATTTAAATATAATTTTATTTCAATAAATAAATAAATAGTCTAAAATTTCTATTATAAGCTTTTTTATATTTATCTAGTACTATTTCTACAGCTGTATAGAAATAGTGACATTTATCTTACCTATATTAAAATTTCAACTTGTGAATCATTGTGTATGTTATGTTACAGGCTAAAGAAACACTTAGAAAGATTATCTAGCTTACTAAAGAAACGGTACTTTGCTCGAGGAAGGCGTGTTGCCACTTGGCAAGACTCCGACGATGATGACGTCACAGACATCTCCAACAATATTCTTAAGGTACTTAATACAATAAAATTCTTTCTATAATACAATTTCTGAAGCTCTACTGATTCAGCTAGTGTGTTGTCTCTGTGTACCTTTGATTTAAATAAAACATTAACTAAAAATGATTTTTAACTTCGGCCCGACGTTTCGACGGACGTGGCAGGGAGCCATCTGCTGCAAAGCATCCGAAACGTCGGGTCGAAGTTAAAAATCATTTTCAAATAAGTTTAACTAATATATCGCGTTTTAAAGCGTTAAAGTGTTTTATTTTTAAATGTGTACTACTCGCGTAAACTATAGAGAGTATTTTACATTTAATTTTTTTTTATCCTATAAATCATCTAATACTATTTGATTTCGACCCGAATATTACACATAAGGTAAGATACATAAACAACCTTTCCCGTTTTAAAAACACCTTTAATATGTTATTTTGTTTGTTATTTCTTGTTTCGTATTTCTTAGGTGTACATGATAAAACTATGGCATAGTCTTGCCAAAAAAATAACGTAAGCAAAATATGTCAAGATACCTTCTTATACACTTTCAGGAAATCGATGAAAATATTCTTCAAGAGAGTAAAGCTCATCTTTCTTTAAATGAAAATGCTCTGAAAACTTTGATCACGCCAAGCGATTCACTGATAACTGGGGACCTTAAGTAAGTCTTATATCTAATCAAAAAATGATTTAATTTGTTTGTCTATCACGGTGCACGTGTGCAACGCATCTTGCATGGGTTGCAGAAAGTCTCCCCATTAAGGTGGACTTGTGTGTGGTTTTTTATAGTACCATCCAAAAAACGATGGATAATTGCTAAATTTATCCCCAACAACTTCCTAAAACAATCTTGTAAATATCAATGGTCTGTATAATATCAATTTTAGTAAATCGTAGTTTAAGTATCATAAGAATTTAAGTAAAACTATCTAACGGTTTAAAACGCGAAACATATGACTTAAACGTTGGATGAGAGACGGCGTTCGCCTTTTATACCGTGAAAGTAGTACATGTTTAAATAAAACATTAAACATGTACAACTCGCGTTAAGTTCAGACAGTATTTATCAAATATGTTGCTTTTACAGGGAACTACATTCTAAGCTCTATCAGCAAATACAAAAGCTAAGCTTCATGATTGGCACCGTTATGTTAAGCTGCCAGAAACAAGAGAGCTTATCAAAGAGCTTACATTCCACGGCTGAAGCTGTTGCTGAAACAGCTGGTATAGCTAAAGCTATTAAAGAAAAGGTCTGTTCAAAATACCTCAAAAAATATATTATTTTTTTATAATTATTTAATTTGTCATTTCTTCCTCCAGGATATCATACAAGGCAAGAGAATAGAAGAAGCTACTAAATACTTAACATCGACAACCTATGATCTTTTAGTAACATCAGAATCTGTTAGTCAAGTAAGTAACTTGATATATCAAATCATTTAATTTGACTTTTAAAGTAAGTCATATTGTGTACTAAAGGCGTGTAAAGAACCTTAAAAGTTGCACAAGAACACGATGAAAATAAATGTACTTTTCTTAGTGTATTCTTCTTCTAACAGGATCTTCACAAACCAGAATCCCGGCGGAAGTTACTAGATGCCTGTCGCGCTTTGACTGAAGCGCTTAATAAATTTGTGAGTACATTAAATTTTATTTTATGAATTCATCAAATTATTTATAATACCCGCTATTACCCACGACGTCGACCGCGTGCCGTCGTTCTTGCTAGTCAATATTAAAAGATGGACCTATACTGTCGCAGACTTATCTTACATAGTTTGAAGAGGAACGATGGTTCCTCTTTAAACTATGTAAGAAAATAAAGAAACCCAAAAAATATATGTAAGGTAATGTAATGTAAGTTAATAAAATCTTACGCAGACGACGTCGTGGGTCGCTCAGGCTCAACAGCTTAAAAAGCTATCTCAAGCCCAAAGAGTTGTAGAGGGGGTTTGAAATAACAAAAGTTGATATCCAAAATAATTATTCTACGCGTACAAAGTACCCGACTCAGCTAGTAGATGGGAACTAGAATGTTAACCAAAATATATAGATTACCAATTACATAGCACGATAGAATATAAGGATATTTTTATCTTACAGGCTCAAGCATCATCAAGAGCAGACAAAGCAACGCGTGATAGTGAAGAATTACAGCGTAACTTACAGTTGCATCAGATGTTGCTAACAGCAGACCAGCCCACCTGTGCTCTGGGATATGCCGACTGTTTGGATGCATTACAAACGCAAGGCGAAGTCATACGTTAGTTTTAAAGTCTACGTTCACTATCCAGTAGTTTCCACTCCTGAAACTCTGGTATCTCATGATTAGTTTGATGATGGTAGAGAGTTTCCTAGGAGGCAACTCTCTTAAAATACGTGTTATCAATACTACAACACAAATGATGTCAAAGTTTTGGTCACATGGGTCTTCCATGGTGTTGTATATTGTCACCTTTTTTAACCACTTCAAGGCACTTCAAACACTTAGTCCAGAATCGCGTTGAGCATGACAGATTCCGGACAAACCATTATTTCGGTCGGGCAGGGCACAGAAGTTTGTTAAACAGATTACGGACACGAGAATTCACTTTTCTTTTACCGCTGAACTGAACTTCAAATATATAATTATCTGTGCGTTTGCCTTTGCTTAACTTATAAGTGTGAAGCCTTTTGTCTTTAGTATAAAATGGTATAGACCAATATAAATTACTAGTAAGTTTTTTTTCTGAGTATGAAACGCGAGATTATAAGCATGTAATTATGATGTAAATACCACGGCTGCTGCAAAGCATCCGAAACGTCGGGCCGAAGTTAAAAATCATTTTCAAATAAGTTTAACTAATATATCGCGTTTTAAACCGTTAAAGTGTTTTTTTTAATGTGTACTACTCGCGTAAACTATACACAGTATTTAGAAGTAAAACTTATAATCTAAACCTAGGTAATTGATATTAATATTTTTATTGTTAATATTTCTTGTAATATTCAGATAAGCTAAATAGTGATGAGCCGATGACGCGAGCAGAGTGCAGCACAACACTACGCTACGTTACTTCCGCCGTCTGCGCAAGCGCCGAATATGCTGCACACTCCGCATATTTGGTATATAAACACGTGAATTTGTTGAATTGTATATTTTATTTTGCCTCAGATTACTAATATTCGTTTCTTTTAGCTATCGCTGTCAGAAGAAGATGAACACGCAGCCAAAATTGGCTTTGTTGATAAACCTCGATTGTGCAATGTTATTGATAATATAGACAAAGTTTGCACGAAAATTACCTCATCAAGACATTTAGATGAAGTAAGGAAATCGCTTAAAAATTACTATGCCCGAACCTTCAAGAAAATTTTGCAAAAGTATCTTAAGTTATCAATAATCACGACAAAATTTACAGGTTAAAGCCATGGAACCGATTCTTAATCAACAATTGCAAATACTATCTGAAGTTGTTGAAGACTGTGCGAATAAAATTCCAGAAGAAGACAGTAATCGAATTAGGGAAAATTATAAAGACGTTAAAACTGCAGCGGAAGATCTAAAGCAGGAAATGAACGCACACGCAACGTACAAGGTATATACATAATCACTATAATGTCTATTTATGAGAAATTGTATAAATCAAAGTTCTATTTGTAGGAAGAAGCAATACTGCCGCGAAGTACGAAATTGTTAAATGCGCTACAAACACTGAAGTCGTCCATAAATCGTCTTCCATCACCTAAAATTGGTAAATCTCAGGAAATGCAACAACAAGCTACGGAGATTATGGATAATGCCAAGTAATTGTCTCCACTATCAGAAGCATGACATAACAAAATTCCAATAGATAACATAATTATATTGAGTGTTATCCATTATTATACTTAATCTTTGACCTGGAATAAAAATCATGAAACACACTAAAAATAGATTAACTGACAATTTTTATGATAACCTAGGTCCCTCTTACAAGACACGTCTCGTCTTGTGAACAAATTGACGTCATCTGAAGACGAAGTGTTAACGTGGGTCATGTACGGAACAGAAAGCAAGCGAGTTATTAAGGCGTACGAAGAACTCCTTAATATTATAAAGTAAATATACATTTATATGTATAAATTACATTCGAAAACATTAATATTTTTCACATGTTATTGCACATGAAGGCACTATATAATTTAAAAATCGAAAATAAATTGAAAATATTTTCGACTCGGTCAGGACCTTAATACGAAAGTGTTAAGGTTGAAATTACATTGCGCGAGAGGTGCATGTATCGATAAGTTGAAAAAATTCGACGATGAGGTGTAGGACTCTGTAGCTCAATTGGTAGAGCAACAGCACGGAAAGCTGACGATGCCGGTTCATGTTCTGCCCGAGTTGAAAATTTTTTTCAATTTATTTTCGATTTTTAAATTAAATTACATTTTACTTATTTAACAATAACAAATGAAATCCCGGTTTCTGTCGTAAGGCATGCGACTGACATATTTGTGTCCATTTCACTGATCGGTTTTGTTTGCAGACAAGTAGATGATCAGATTATCGTGCCCTACGCGACCGAAACAACCATTGTTTCCCAGAGATTCAAATCAAGGACCTTCACCTCTTAAAGCAACCATATAGCTATAGAATACAAGCGGCCAAGTTAACAATACTAATAAACAGTATTTTGTGTCCGGGCTTTAACGGGCGGGTAAAATAACAAGAAACTATAACACAAAACTAATAATTAATTAAAATATTATGGATACTTTGTTACAGAAATAAAGGCAAAGATCGTCAATTATTACAAGCATCAGGTTCTACAATGGAAGACCAACCACCGAAAAGCCATCTAGAGACGCAGTAAGTTTTCTTTAAACCTTCCATAAAATTGTTTGTTAAAATATATGGAGTATTATTTAAACGCTTTCTGGTTAAGGATTGACCTGATAAACAAGTGGCTGCGGAACCCTGCTTGCAAGAACGATGTCAAAACTAATGCAGTACAAGCAGCAGAGAACATAATTGATATGGGAGAAAAGGTTAACAATATTGTACTGTTATAACAAAAAAGTAAAATTTAATAATTGTATTAGTGAGATTTTTATACATAGTGAGATTTCTCCTTAGATGTGTGAAGACCTTAAAGATGTTGAAAAGGAAGAAATGCAAACTGTTGTTGTAGAAACAAAAGAGCTGCTGAACGAATGCTCTGTTAAATATCAAAGCGCAAAAGCCAGGTATTTTTAGAAGTCTATCGATCATAAATTTTTAGAATACTTTGAAAAGAATAATGAAACTAATAAATAAATTTTAGTCTGTTATTGGAGAGGATAAGAGAGCTGAAAGCAATGATAGAAAGAGGAGTGGTCACTCGTGTTGTGGAGGAATTCTTGGAAGAACAGCCACTAGAAGACTTTGAAAATATTCATAAAGAAACAGGTAGAACAAATATCAGTTTTCCAAAAACTCCTCATAAATTCTTCTAATGATTACTCGGTTATAGTTAATATAAATAATATGAGAAATTTATTTGTTAGCAAACACTTTCTTATTGCTATTTATCTGGCAGATGCAAAAAAACGAGAATTCCTATTGGACAAGAAGATAGCAGAACTTCTAGCGCAATTGGCTCGCGTTTCCAGAACTGCACAATTTGTGTCTGACACAAGCACTACACCCATCCGACAGGAACTGCTGAAGACTAGCAACCAGGTGTGACAATTTAACCTTTTACGTTAGATTTACTTATTTTACACTATAATAAACGTTTTATGTTTACAAGTAATCTGATTAGTTTGATATTTGCATAATCTATATATGTTTAACAGGTGGAATTGCTTGCCCCATCTTTAGTGAAAGCTGCTCAAGACTCCGTCCGTACTCAAGATGACGTAAGTAGTTTCCAAAAAAATTTATACATTTTAAGGCGGTATAAAATCAATCACATTATAATTTCTAGCAAGCAATAGAAAACTACAGAAAGTTAGTGATGGAATACGCAGAATCATTGGCACGAGTTCGAGAACTTTGTGACAGAGCTGTTGATCCAATAGACTTTGCACAAGCTGCTGGTAAGAATAGTTCTAATATTATTTATGACAGAGCGTAGAACTTCTAAGCACAATATATAAAATTTATTTTAGGTGAAACAATGGCTCGTATTAAGGAAGATTGCAAAAATGACCCGAAAAAATCTGCCTACACATCGCGTGTAATAATCAGGTATACCTTAGGGTAGCAGTTTGACATCTTGTGTATATAAATTATTTACTCAAAATAACCTTAAATAAAACATGTTTCCATTAATTATAGATTAGGAAACCGCGTTGTAGAAGCCAGCTTGTCTAATGCGAACGTACAGAAGGACCCTGAGCTCCAACAAACGTTAGCAGAAATCAAAAAGAGCATAACAGCTGCTTCCAATACAAGAACTGATTTGGCTAACGAAGTGAGTGAAAAAGTATTAAATGTTACTTCTATCCAAAAATCCCTCTATCCATTTACTTCTAACTTAAAAGATATGTTTTAAGTTTAGATAATATTTTAGTAATATAACGATTATGAATGTGTCTACTTTTTATTTTGTAGATAATCCGTAAGACAGAAGAGGTCGAATCGGCGCTTGGTGGAGAAACTATTTTCCAAAAGGAACCAGAGACAGATCAGCCTATATTAGTAAGTTATAAATACTGATATCTTTGTATTTTCTTGGTGTTGTGGTTCTTATTTGGTCACTTGAATTAGGCGGCTGCTCATGAGCTTCACGCTGCAGTACGTGACTGGTCAGCTCGAGATAATGAGGTTGTGGCTGCTGCAAAACGTGTTGCTGTATTGATGGCGCAGCTATCACACCACATGTACAATGGTGAGTTTCAAAGACATTATAGCTAATAAAATATAAAGAAAAGGAATTGAACTTTAACCCATATGCATTGAAGTTTAAGTTGCTGCAAAGCATCCGTAATGTCGGGCCGTAGTTATAAATCATTGTCAAACTTAACTAAAATATATCACGTTTTAAAGCTTAAAGTTAAAGTATTTTATTTAAATGGTGTACAACTTCATGTATTTTATTTAATGTTTCATCTGTTTAGTATTTGTAAAACCTTTTTATTAGGTTTTCTTGGTGTATCTTTCACTGTTTCCTTTTTAGACCGCAAGAACGAATTAATTGCGACAGCTAAAGCGATTGTCGCCAAATCACACGAAGTAGCGGATCTTGCTAGGAAATTAGCAATGGAATGCTCAGATTTAAGAATAAGAAATGTAAGTATTTCTTTAGTAACTTTTTTTCAGGTTCAATGGTAAAAGGGCTAGGCAATCTAGCCAGGATCAATTTTATTAGGCGTTTGTACCTATATTGTCAATTTTTGGGATACAGGTTTTTTGAGAATACTTCTTGTATGTATTTCTTTCTTTAAATTAACTATTTTATTAATAATATATATATAAATATGTTAACTATCTAAGAGTGGTTTTAAATTCTAGAACTTGCTGCAAGTATGCCAAAGAATTCCATTGATTAGCGGCCAATTGAAAATGCTAACAACCGTCAAAGGTTCAACTCTTGGAAAGCAGGGTATGTTGTTCATTGGAATCATCCTTAAAAATTTAATCGATATTTATTATAAGAGTTATTATTTTGATATTTAAATGACCGTCATGATGTGGTGATGATGCGATCTACTCTATGTACATCGTTTTTATTTAAATTTCTTCGAAGCTTCCATTGAACTCTATGTAAATATATAAATTGTTTAAATTAGGAACTGAAGAGGACCAGGAAGCTATGAATATGCTGGTGGGAAATGCACAGAATCTCATGAAAAGTGTAAGTGAATGTGATGAAAACTTTACGTTTTCGATGTATACATTTTATGCATTAATTATATAGCTCTAATGTTCCTAAATTATGTGTTGATATTTTATTGTTTGGAAGTTACCCAAACGCTTAATAACGTAAATTTAATTTTAGTTAAAGCAAAACGTCGTAAAATAAATAAAAAGAACTGGCAAAAAACTCGCCGCCACTTATTTCTCCTGCTTTATAATTTATATCAGCGAGTTCTATTTACAAATTTTCAAGTATAGTTAGAGCTTTAGCGACGTAGCAAGGTTTTCTTAATGCAAACCAACGCATTAAAACCGTTACTTTGCGTTATCTATTAATATCGTTAATAGATAACGCAAAGTATTCGTTATCGTTAACTATACAATTTTACGTTTTTCTTTTTTAGATACAAGAGGTTGTGAACGAGGCCGAGAGTGCTTCGGTAAAGATAATGTCTCAACGAGGACGACGATTAAGGTGGAAAAGAAGAAATTATTATTAATATTAAATAATTAAGACATTTTTGTTTACGCGAGTAGTACACATTTAAATAAAACACTTTAACGGTTTAAACTAATATATCACATTTTAAACCGTTAAAGTGTTTTATTTAAACATTTTTGTCTCGTTTAGAACGAGACATTACACTAGATTATTTATTATTTTACTAGGTGAAGTTTTTTATTAATTTCATTAAGTTCCTTTTATCTATAGTAAGATTTTTCCCAAAATATATTTGTATACTTTATGGATTTTTGTTTAAGTAATGTTTTTAAGCCATTCGAAAAATACGGGACGACTAAGCTTTGATGATTATTGATGGGAACCAACAAGTGCAAGTCCCATAAATTTATGGAGTAAAATTATACGGAGCTTCAGCAAATACGTTTTAAAAAGTTTTAGAGGATGAAAAGTTAATAAAACAGTTATTGATATAAAAGAATATAATAGGAAAACACATTAGATTAGAATATGCACTTCGTAGGCAGGAATTTCCACATGACAAACTAATTGTTTTACGCCTGTGACATCACCCCTCAACTTATTATAAAGTATAATATATGAAATATATCTGCGTGGATTCAGGATTCTACTCTCACAGATTCAAACAGTGATCTAATGTCGGAAAATCGAGATTTCTTTCGGGTCACAAACCACCGTCCACACATGAAAAAGCCGGCGATATTAATCGCGTTTTGGTTACAGTCTAGGATTTACGAATACTTAAAGTCAAAATAGGTCGACGGCGCATTAATTTTGATGTTATATGGCTGGGAAATTTCATCTACCCTCAAATGAACTATGCGTCTGTCTTCCTTTATCTTAAAAAAAAACACGCCATTGGCTGTAGTTTGCGTGTAGTACACAATTTAATTTATTAGTCACAAACGTGAGCTCTATTAGTTAATGCGTTGTTAAGTATTTTAAAGATTCTGGGACATTAGGAACGCCATCTTTAATTTTCCCCTGACTACAGCTGTAGGGAAGCAACCGAAACATCGGTCGTAATGATAAGCAAGTTAAGAAATATTGCACGTTTTAAACCGTTAGTGTTTTATTATGATAACCTATTCTAACCGGATATATGAGACTTTATCAGTATGGTTCCGCGACATTCCCGACAAGGCTTAACATAACTACACGTTCTTACGAAAAATTATCATACGATAATTGTTTACCGTCCAACCGTGGATAGGATGTTTAATATTCTGAAGATAAGCTTACAGATAGAACTGATTGGAACAGAGCACCTCGGTATATCTGTATGTTATTATAGCCGATCTACAAACAAAATTATCTCGTTAGCTGACCGAATTTAAACTTTGCCCAGGAATACAGATCGATAAGGGAAGATTCACGATGTAGTGTAGTGATTTTAGATCCGCTTTAGTAAAAGTACGTCAGAAAAAATCGATAATGCTAAGCGATAAAGGGTTTAACTGGCTTGGATAAACAACGCGTTTATTTTTGCATTTGTAGTGCGTAAGTATGAGAGTTCGGATTCGGATTCGGAAACATTAAATTTCTTCTGTAGAGCAAGGCACAGTCTGCTGATAAATCGATAAGTAAAACGCACGCGGAAAGTTGTTCGTTCTATGCCGCAGACGGGGTTTTACAGTATTTTAATTACTAATACATATACTGTTTTAATTGTTTTTACAAAATTTCACAAACAACTTCAGATAAAACCTGGATATAAAGAAATGTAATACATAAAAACAATAACACATTTTTAAAATCTTTATTAATTTCACTGTTTTTTTTTTATTTTTACATTTAAAAGGTTTGATTTGTATATGACTAAAATTATTATTATTATTAATTGAATTAAAAAAAAACCTTCGGCAGGGGTAAACCCATTTTGGTCACCGAAGATGATGGTCAACCGTACATTGACATAAGACATGACTTACGGACAGCTATATATCTTTAATTTAATTTTCTATAAAAGCCGTAATGTAAATCCGAATTTTGGTTACAGTCTGTGGATTTTCGAATATATAGCCAAATTAAGTCAACAGCATTAAAGTCGGGCGTTTTAACTTTCGTCACGTGTCGTCTGTTATAAAAAGGTATTCCATATTTTTGGTAATTTAAATATCTAAAGCCAAAATAGGTCGACAGCGTTTAGAAGTTATATAGCTGCTGTATATCACCTACTGTTAAGTGAATCCTGCTTGTCTATCCTATCTATCGTCTATCATAAATATAATTTAATTAATAATAATGAATAGTAATGATAGATGAATTGTGACCTCGCCACGTGTTAAATCTTAGATTTTATTATTAAACCCTTAACCTTTCGAAGCAAAACATTGCACGCGAGTCGCTATAGACTAAATAGCATGACGTACCTAATATCAAATTGGATGTCTAGATTGTTTGGACACGTGGCGAAATAAATAATACTGATAGGCGAAATCGATGGTCGGGAAATCGAGAGAGGCAGACAAAACAAACGATGGGAAGATGACATACGGAAAATAGCTGGTCCAGTATGGAACCGATTAGCGAGAGACAGGAATAGCAACGCTTTAGAGGAGGCCTTTGTCGACAGACAAGCTCTTCAACAAAAACAACCAGTTGCCGATTTTTTTTAAATACAAATTAGAATTTAAATTAAGTTTTTAGCACGTAGGCATATTAAATACTGTCTATACGTAGGCAAATGTTACGTTTTTGTAAAAAAAAGAAACAGCAATAAAGGCTTTATTATTAATAATAGGCGAAATTGTTAATAAAAAACAGAATTTTACCTTTAAGATAAATCCCGAAAAATATATATTTTTTAAATTTAAGTAACTAATTCTTGTGGAAAATTTTATAATAGAGATGTTAACTGTAATCAAAAATAAATATAATTTGAATGCGATGAGTTAGTTTCTGCTAAGTATAGAAATAATCTAATATAATAATTTTCCTTCATTTTATTGATATTTTAAAAAATCCGAAAAGGAAAATTAATAAATAACCTTTCATGTGTTTTCTTTGTATTGCTTACACATAACTTAGATTCCATCTTATTTTTTTGACTCCACTAATAGTTTACTCGATCTCAAGAAGCTGTGACGTCATTAAGTCACGTTAATACTATGGTCCCGGGCACATTAAAAACATTGGCTAAGGCTTTTAAAAAATATATATTGTTTGTATATTAAGAGTTAAAATAGGTACCTATCTATAATTTAAAATGTCGTAATTATTTTAGGTGGTCTGTGGTGTGATTATCTTAAGTAAAAAAGACTAGACTTACACTTGCACAATTATAATTGTTTTACAAATCAGATATTAGCATTTTAAAAGTTTGCAAAAAAGGCAAAATAGGTCTCAACCAGTAATAATATATTATAATAAAACATTATTTTTATTCTCCTGTTTGAATGAATATAGCAAAATCGACATTCTGATTTTAAGGGGTAAGATTTTAAAAGAAAGACGTATAGGCCATAGATATTTTTTAAACAGTGTTTATTATATAGTAACAACAATAACGACTTAGAAATAATTATTCCTAAAAAAATCTTGTAAACTCGGTCGTATAGAGAAACATAACTTTTCCATATATATAAACAAATTAGTAAAGTACATCTATTAAGAGGAAGTATATCTACCTACTTACTGTAAGTTCAACAAAATGCTTTTACAAATTCCTTTTTATAACTGTAACATTTGCACATGATGGCATCATATAAATTAGTTATCAATATTGACAGTGTAAGAAAACCTCATAGATACCTAACATTTACCTGCCGCTCAACCTTTCCGATTCTCAGTGTTTGCCGTTTTGTTTCTGGCTGCTATAAATCTTCATGGTGAATGGCTCTTCTACCTTTATCGCAATCTCGTAGACCATGTGGACGCAGTACGCCGTCAAGATACCAGCTGGCTTCGCATGCAATAATGCGTATCCCAAGAAGGACATAGTCGAACCTCTGTACATTGGATTATTACAAATGTTGAAGGGGAATTCAGTCACCCTCTTCTTCATCAGAATTCCGAAATAGTCCCCGCAATACGTCCCTATTATTCCCAACTGATATGTCGACATCACGACCAGAATTTGTCCCAGTATCATCAGTATTATCCCGAATAATTTAACAAAATCGTTGTTCAGTATTTCCGAAGACGACTGCTTGGCCATGGCTTCGACGAAATAATGGCTTCGGATCAGACAAAGGCTGAATATCGTAACGGCTAAAACGTAGCATCCAACTTTGGGATTATTAGTTATTTTCGTCAACAAATGCGTGTAGTACTCCAGGCGGGAGACGATGTTCCAGAAGACTGGGTTGAGGAGAACAAAGAAAAGGGAAACCTTATAGGTTGCCTCGCAGAAGTCTATCGTGGAAATCATATCCATTGCTGACCTGTGTATTTTTGAACACGTTTCGCAGTTAAAGAAAACCAAGCCCATGAAACATGATAGGTAGATGTACTTATTCAAAACTTGCAACATTTTTTCTTATGTTATAAATATCTTCGTGTGGCTTTTAAAACCAGATTCGATATTGAGATTCCTTATTAAAATATAATACGTTGAACGCGTTTATGACTGAGGAGGAACTAAAACTTGACGTTCTCAAGCTCTTTATATATATGTAATAATTTAACAAAACAAAAACATGGTGATACATTTACGTCATGTTTGCGAATGTGCATTAGATAAAGAGAATGAAGATTATTTTACCTATTATATACCTAGCTGTGCCCGCGACTTCAGCCGCGTGAAATAGTTGTTTTGTCAAACTTCGTCATCCGCGTCTCGTCGTTCTTGCGTGTTAATCCTTTTGTGTCATTTAAAGATGTCGTTCTTGCGTGTTGGCATTTAGATCATTTAAAGAGGAATCACTCTATCAAACGTATGTTTTTCTTTCTTGAATCGTTCTTACATTGCACGGAAAAAAACCTTCAAAGATGGATAATAAGACGAAAGTTTTTTTCCAAAATTTCTATTTCTTCGTTCCTATTGGACGCAGCTTGATGTTATACTCTAGCCTATGTCGATAAATGGCCTATCCAACACAAAAAAAAATATTTTGAACCAGTTCCTTCAGAGGTTAACGTCTTAAAACGATCTAAAACAAATTCTTCAGCTTTATATAATAGTATAGATATAGATATTCATAATTTTCAGTCGCAGTTATATTCGTTTAGACCACAGAAGCCGACATTTCTTGCCTGCCTTCTATGCAGGGCCGTGCATCAAAACTGTGTAATTAAAGTGCTGAGCAAGGAAGGTGAAATCTCGTTTTCCCCAATGTGGAATGAAATTGACACATTTCTGTGTCCATTTCAATGATCTCAGATTTAGGGAAGTAGTTATCGAAATGATATCAAATGATCGCACTTTTAATAGATCAGAGTTTCAGGGGTCGTGGGGTAAATCAATACAATAAAATACCAACGCTACCAGACATTAGTCAAATAGAACCACTAAGACCGATAAAGATAAATAACGGTTTAATATTCCGAATTAAAATAAAATAATTCGTAGGTACGACCCGATCTTTTGAATGCTTTAGCATTAGACGCAGCTGTGGTCACGGTTGGTCCGGCGAAACTACGAATACGAATACTTATGTAAAAATAAATATATACTCCCGATTTAAGTAATTTTGTATAACATGTCCTATTTATATAAAATACAGACGATGATGAGTTTTAATTAGTTTAAGACACAGTAAGTACATCAAATTTAACAATAAGTCACTAAAAATAATGAAATCGCACCAATCGCCTGGTTCCACTAGCTGTGCCCGCGACTTCGCTCGCGTAGATTAGTGACTTGGGGTAGAATTTTTAATTATTTAGGCTGCTTATTAATTCATGTAAGGACGCATTTATTGCAGCCAATCTATGTTGTAAGTGCTACTTTGCCGCAACACTCTCACCTCACATCACCTCTAATCCTACTCCCACTCCTATTCCCAAATAGCCAAAGAAGAAAGTTTCAATGCTCTATCTTCAAAAACCACGAATTTCTATACAAACTTTCACCCCTTAAAACCCGTTTTTCGCAATAAAAAGCCTATGTTCCTTCTCAGGGTCTAGACCATATGTGTACCAAATTTCATTTAAATCCGTTCAGTAGTTTTGGCGTGATAGAGTAACAGACAGACAGACAGACAGAGTTACTTTCGCATTTATAATATCAGTAAGGATTATACGTTGCCAGCTAGGCTTAAAGCGCGGAGGTCTGACAGAAGAGACATGTTTATTTGATGGAAGTTGAAATAATCCAGCTTATAACGTCTCTGTAGGCTCCTGAATATCTTATATTAGGCTGTACTAATACCAAAACGCGATGAAACTTCACGACTTTTTCGTCTGCGGCCGGTTAGTGATCCGAACGGCATTTCAACTTTCCTATCATGCATTTAATATCCAGATTTCCAAAGTCCTAGCATGTTTCAGAATAATTGATTAACATGTTGGAGCCGGTGGGGATCGAAACCATTTCCCGTTGATCATACGCCCTACATTGCTACCTTTAAACCAACGGGCCCGTCAAAACAAACTATATGTAATATTGTCGCTGTATATAAGAAGTTTTTTTTTTAAATAAAGAGCACGTTTCTATTTTATCGAGGTGTTGCTATGCCAAATTGATTGTTTATCACATCGTATGTTTTTCACGCGACACAAGAACATTAATTAATGTAAAATCGGAATTAAACGGTTGATAAGTGTACGATAAAACAGCCGAGGCACTTATTCGAAGAAGCTACGATAACTTTAATATTTTTTTCTATGTTGTGAAATCTGCCAATTAGAAAAATATAACATTATCCCCCTAAAAAATTAAATAAACACATCAAGCATAAACGAAACAAGAACTTGTTAGAAGATTTACTTCCTAATATACCATCATTTTGCCATGAAAATGTATGTATATATTTTTGCAAATAAATTTGTTAAAAATAAGGTATTTGTCGTCTGCCGTATTTGAGGGATTAGCTTGTTTTCACTATGTACCTACTTCTAGAAGAATTATATAAATAAAACACTTTAACGGTTTATAACGCGATATATTTTTGTTAAACTTGTTTGGGAATTGTTTTTAACTACGGCCCGACGTTTCGGATGCTTTGCAGCAGCCGTGGTCACGGAGTTAAAACCGTTAAAGTGTTTTATTTAAATGTGTACTACTCGCCTAAACTACAGACAGTATATAACTAATTATCTTTATAATAAAAATTAAATATTAATTTCTTATCTTTAATAATATATACATATAATTATTTCTTTAATAAAATTTTGTATAAAGGTCATCCACCCCAACATTTTTTTTTTAATTTTTATGTAGCATTAAAATTACAATTCTAAATTTTCACTCTTCTGTAAGGTAAGGTTTCCGGCAGGAGGACCAGTGTTAATAAATTACGATAAATTTTTTTTTTGGTTCACAGCCGTCCATGATTTTTTCTTTAGAAGTTCTCTAGAAATACTCTTTATGGAAAAATAACAAATATAAATCCATATTATGCGGAATTGATACTAAAGGTTAAATTACTGGCTTTACAGCCAGCAAGCCACGCTTTGGTCTGATCGTCAGAATGCTAATCGATCCGATAAGACAAATACCCCTAATATGGATACTCGAACATACGTGGGTTAAGATGAGATTCTTGAGATATAATTAAAAAAAAACATATAGAGAAAATATAAACAATTTTAACATAATTTATTTCAAACTATTTAAACGTTAAGATTAACAAATAACACACTTTCTTCCCAAAAAATCTTAATTCTAAGTAATCGCAAACTCACGAGTTTAAGGTACTAATGGCGTGGATAATTCTAAATTAATCTTTTACATAATACGACTTATTTAGAACTATAAAAAAACATCAAAGTATTGTTGAAATAATAAGGAATCTCGAAGACTCTTAACAAAGACTTTTAAAGTTTTAGAAAAAGAATAAAAATAGCATGGGTAATGACATTATTGCATAAAAATATCATTATCCGAAGACGATATCTTGATATCATGAGAAGTGTTACTCCGCTGTTCTTTTTGGACGATTTGCTGCAGGTCATGTTCTTGGACAATTGAAAATATTTTACTTTTAGCAATATTAAGATGATATGGCGAAAATGTTTTCAGTGTTGTACCAATGCTCAAGAGGAACGCGTCAACTGGATCCGAGGAGTCGAATTCAACAGGTAAAGATGTTTCAGTTACCACAGTTGGCGTTTCTTCCTCTTGATCTTCGACATTTAGCTCCCTCTTCCATTTTTTCCTTGGCTTTTTAACAGCTTTCGACTCGCGCGGTTCGTCGCAGTCACTTTCAGGGTCATCACAAGCGTAGTCAAGAGGGTCGTTTCCTTGGTCTGAATCATCTTCGTAAAATCGCGTAATGTCTTTAAAGTATGGCTTCAAGAATGATATTTCACTTTCATATTTGTATTGTTTCTTGCGAGATCCTTTTGAACTCGCCAACTGACGTAAAATTCGACGGTATACGTCTCTTATATTAATCCAACGAATTTTACAGTCACCAGCTGCAAAAAAAATAGAACTAGGTTCGTAAGCAAATACAAATTATTTATTTTCCAAAAAAATATTTTTTTTACTTTCTGTCTTAGGTTGTAACTACACTACCCACACTAGGATTCCCTGTCGTGAGCGGTAAGTCTCTTCCGGTGCATTAAAAATTTATAACGAAGTAACTATATACTAAGTTCTTAGATGATAAGTGATATGTAAAAAGGATTATATACGATAATATAGTACAGAAAAATTAAATTTAAGAATATAGGACACAGCGCCAAGAAGGTCTTCTGATTATAAATAATTTAGCTTAATTAACTTCATAAAAACAAATATAAATAACGCATCACCATTGTCGAATTAACATTCGTTTTACATTCGACTTCGACAAATGAAATTGTAAACGACTATATTCCCGTAGTAGGGGTATTTAAATAAAAATCGTCAAATATAAAAAGCACTTACCTGGCCTCTTCAGTTCGTCTCCGATTTTTTGCCATGCAACCTCCCTTGAATTAAAATCCATGTATTTTGCATGATTTGTGTCATATAATACTGGGTTTTCCTTTACAAGCCTTATCAATTTCTTGTCAAATTTCTCTGTTGTTATAGGTAACATGGCGGCGCGCAATCGTTCGCGTCGGACTCGGTTTCTTTGTGTCGTAGTCGTATAAGTATCGGAATCGTCATTTAGAAGATAGGTTCAGGGTTGCCCTTTTAATATTCTGATTTGCACAATAGAAAATTCAAGACACCATAAATTTGTCCTTTAGAAGAGATTAGAGCTATTGAATTAATTAGTAATTTAAAGTATTTATTACGTGTCATTTATTAACTACTAAAATCTTCATTTTGATATATGTAATTGAAGTAGGAGTCAGAATATTTTATAATAACATCAGACATCTTAATGAACTAACAGACGCTAAATATAAATAACTTAGTTTCAACTACAATCCCAAAACGAGTTCTAAAATTCGATGCTTTATTGGCAAATAATTAAAAGCGTGTAGCTGGCAAGATTTATAAAAAAATATTTTGTTGTCTTTCTACAGATGGCGTTGACATAAATTATTGTACAATTACCTTATTGTGCCTAACAATCCATTTTATGTGCAAACATTGCCATTAAAAAAATAGGAAATTAAAAGCTGAATAGAAAGCAGCAATGTTTTCTGTTACATAAATACAATTAATTACATACACTGCTGTCTAAAATACATGTATTAGTCAGAGATGTGAAATAATCAACGAACATTAATGTTGTTTTTTCTAATTAGATTCAATTGTTTTCATTGCTGCAGCTACTTGGCCAGTACCTATCTACTTGTATTAAACTCACAAAAGCAATCATTTTTAAGTGAAGGAAGGAATTTGTTTGGTTGCAAGATCACTTAGTAATAATTAGTAAAAAATTATTATAGAAAAGCCACCTTATTCAGAAGGGTTGGCTATTTGTTCATAGTAAAATAGCTCGGATGAATTTACAATTCACTGCTAATAGATCACAATTTAGTTTTCCACATTTTAGAACTAAATTTTATCTATCATTGCTTGTATTAGGCTGTTCCTCCTTATCCATAATCTGTTGTAATTCATAGTCCTGTACAATTTGAAATATTTTACTTTTGGCCTGGTTCAGGTAATATGGAGAGAACTTCCGTAATGTATTTCCAACCGTGATCAAGAAGACATCTAAAGCATCAGTTGACTTTAGATCTTGACGGTCAAACTGCTCTGTAGAAATATTTCCATCAAAAACATCTGCACCAAATACATCCGCTGATATTTCGATCTCACTCGCTTCTTCCAAGTAGTCCTCGTATTCATTGCTCATTTCTTTAAAGTACGGTAGAAGGAAGGACATTTCTTCTTCATATTTATAATGGTAACTTTTAGCCTGTGGATTCCGAAAACGGTTTCGAAGCCTTCGCCGCATCATGTCCCGTATATTGACCCAGCGAGATTTACAAACTCCAGCTGTAGTTTAAAACTTATAGTAAGTAAGTTTCTTTATTTAGTATGGCAGCAAATGATACTTACGTACCTGGCTTATTTAAAGTATCACCTATTTTCTGCCAGATAACTTCTCTAGCATCGAAATCGACAAATTTTGGATGTTTTGTATTGTAAATCATAGGGTTTTGTTTTACTAATTCTAACAATTTCAGATCCAACTTTTTATTAAACGGCAATGGCATTTTATGATTATATGCGACTTTTTAATAATTTAATTAACTCAAGTTATTATGACTAAGATATATAAAGTAACTAAGATATAGATTATAATAATAAGCAATTCATAAACACTTAATTGAGGCTTTAGTAGGAGAAAAAAACAAAGCCCTCCTTCAAAGTTAAAAGCACTAAAATTGTTGCTCCCGGGTATCAATATGAGTTTAGTGATGTCTACTTAAAAAGAGCGACTATATATAATCTGTGGCGTATTAAAAATACATTACAATATATCTGAAGGTATGTTTATAAATTATTATTCATAAAAACAACGTTGGGGATTTTTTCACATTTCTTGACTAAGCGATTAACAAACTACTCGCATTATGTAACGTTTGTAATTATTTAGTAGCAGTAAAGTTTATTATTCGTTTAATAAACATTTTGACTTACCTATGATTACACTACAGCGTAAGAGATTATTATAGTCTGTAGCATTTTTATTGACATAAGATTTGACAGTAAGTTTCTGATACTATCAGACTGACGTCAATCGACAAATTTTCAACTCAATTGTACTGCAAGTGGCAAGCGCCACAGTTTTTACTCGTAAGCTGCTATCGGATGTTAACATTTATGTTTATTTTGTTCATAGCTAACGGGTTTTTGTGATTTTCTACATCTGTTTTATATTCAGCTTTTATTTTGTGTTGTGTTCTAATGTTTTGAGTGTCCAAGATGCCTGTGTTTCACACGAAGATAATCGAAAGTATTTTAGAGCCGGTTGCTCAACAGGTGAGTCAGAGAATATTATTAATAGACATCCTTCAAACATTATTATTTTATTAATTATCAACAAACGGCCTAAATTATTTTATAATACAACTAAATCTATATAATTTATATGCAAATTAATTTCTTTCAATATATATTTCTGAAGATATATCAACATAATACACATAAACAATAAGCAAAGTAATTGTCATCTTGGGGTGTTAAACACACTGGAAGGGATATTTATACATATGTAATTTTAATAATTTGCTATAGAATCTATCTATAGTATACAGAAGTATTATAATTTTAAGGATTTCACCAAATGTTAGGTCATTTACTGTATTATGTCATCAATGTAAACAAGAATATTCAGTAATTACTATATTTGGTGTGAAAAGTCTTTTGTGGGTGGTGGGTCACAATTTAAAACATGTATGAGTTTATTATTATGTTCTTATTGCAGTTATAAATATTATTAAGTAAATTACTATTAAGTAGTATTATTTAATTAATTTAAAGAAAACTTTCTAATAAGAATGTAGCCAGAGTCATATATTTTTATGTCTGTACAGTCTATAGTTTATGCGAGTAGTAAACATTTAACTAATATATCGCGTTTTAAAGCGTTTAAGTGTTTTATTTAGATGTCTGTACAATCAAACTTAATTAAATCATAGACAGGAAACAGATATGGCTCAGCTGTTCTCAATGGAGTCATCTTTAGATGAACTTAATGAAGCATGGTACAATTCTATTTGTCATTCAACTGTTCAATTGTCATTAGAAATTTATCAGAGTCAAGTTGAATTGATGAAAAAGATTATAGGGTTTATTTAATTATATATATTTTATATCGTAACTAGCTCCAAAATAGATAACAAAAATGAGTTATATATCCCATAATGGACAATTAACAATACACATATATTCTGAATGCAAAAGATGCGTGTAGTTCTATGGTTAAACATGCTTTCTGATTTTGCAAAGGATCAAAAAAATTGATCCTGTTTAAATAAGTTTACATCCTGGGGAAATTATAAATTGTAACCGGAAAGGGCCTCAGAAATAAAATTAAAATCTCGGATTAAAATCAATCATGGAAATGGATTCGGAAATGTGTCTCATGCTGTATGGAGGTGTAACGCAAATATTTTCGCGAATCACGAGTATATATTCAAAATTTTAAAAATGTATTGAGTATATCTCAAAAACTAAGAATTTCCTTGTGATTAAATTTTAGGATTATTATTATATTTCCACCATCTATCAACCACGAAATTTTTAGCATTCAAATCAAAATGTAAAACTGAGCCCATTCATTATAATACCAGTATAAAGTTATTAGGAAACTAAAATACAGTTTAGCCCCTCGATACACACCACTTTACCTACTTACGATGAGCTACAATAGGCCTTCACATTATTTCGAGTGGTTGCTCATGAAGCCAACAGCGAAGAGCTTTTGAACTAAAAAAACAAAACATTGGGAACATAAGGAATGATTATGCAGCGACAGAATTTAGGTCATACTGCACTACGCCAAACGGCGCACCGCATCTAATGATGTCTTAATTTATTTTTAATTCGCTTTTATTAGGCCTTGTTAATCTAAGGAGTTTTCATATGAATACACCTGATTTAAGAGTATGGTAAGTGTAGAAAATAGTTCGTTATATTATTTGTTATAAATAATCAATTTTTTGCGGTCATAGCTATCGTTAAGCGTGATGCCTAGCATTACGTTAAGCGACCGGTAACGGGTTTGAATCTACGGAAAACAATGCATTGTTTTTCTCGAACAGGGCGCAGAGAGTACTTGCTTGTCTGTAAAAGAAATCGATGAAACAGACACGCTTCTTTTTTACCCAGTGCTGCAGTAGGGAAGACGGGATTATTACGTTTTTTAACTTCCTCTAATGCAGTGTTACTCTATTTTAATAAAACTAAACGTCGCCTAACTTACATTTGATAGGTTTCCTTAAAAATAAACGTTTGCAAACCTCTAGTCTACAGATCAACAACAGTCTTAAGTGCGAAACTCGAAAAACTATTTCAATTATTTTCATTGATCAAAGCTTAAATTTATCACTTCCTCGAATTACAGACTAAAAAGGGTCGTTTTAGTTCAATTTTGGAATCTTACTAGAATACAGATAAAAATGTTAAAGAATAAAAAGAAAGAACTTAAAAAAAAATACAGAAATCTAATAAATACGCAACCTCTACATTGGTATAGCGTACTAATCTTATTAGTACCTAACCTAAATAGCACCCCGATGAGAATTCTGATAAAACCCTAAGGGAATTACTATTCCAATAAATTAGAAGGAATACGTGCTTGCGGAACTCGATTAGAGGAAATAAATATTGCCAAAGATGTGGGCCGCCCATGTATTTAAGGCGTTCATATTATATTACTAGCTGTCAGCGACATCAAAATTTGTTGTCGTAGACCTCCTCCTCATCTTTATAAATTTAAGTTGTTGCCTACGATGTCGGTCATTTTTTTAGATCATTCAAAGATAAATCTTCCTTTCATACATATATTTTGGGTATGTACAAAGTTTGTAGCAGTAGTGGCGACGGGGGACGCGTCGGGTCGTAGATAAAAGAAATCTATCTATACTAATATATAACGCGCTAATCTCAGGAGCTGGTTCGAATTAAACAATTCTTTTTGTGTTGATTAGAACATTTATCGAGGAAGGTTTAAGGCCATATAACATCGCCCTGTGTATACAAGCGAAGATACAGCGAGAAGTTAATTTAAAAGATGCAAAGAATTCAAAAAAATATGTATCAAAGAATGATTCCTCTTTAAATGATCTAAAAAAAGGTTAACGTCGCTATATGTCTATGTTTTAAGATTAACTTGCACGAACGACGGGAAGGGACGCGGCCGACGTCGTGGCTAACAGCTTACGTTTATAATGATGAATAGGTTTGCAAAGAATTTGGATGCCCAAAATAACGATTCTCGCGGACGAAGTCGCTGACACAGTTAGTTGTAAAAAAAGTTAATATTTTGCGTTTTTTTTAATTATTTAAATGTGTACTAATTACGTATACTATAAACCAGTACCTAAGTTATGATTGGTTTATCAATTCGTTTATTTATTAACACTTCTTTAATAATTTCATATATTTTTATATGTAGTATGGATAATTTAGCGAAAAAAATTTTATAAATAATTCTCGTTAATGTTTACGTCTTAACAATTACGTGACATCCGGTAAAGCGTACGATGGTGTAATAAAAACTATTTTCGTCCAACCTTCTGGGTTTCAAAGTATGATTAGGATCAAAACAACCCGTCTACTAATAATAAATCTCGATAGAAATTCCTCATTTACGATCTGTCGATAGACTCAGTGTCCATAAACAAGTTAAATCTAATCTTAATAACGTCATATTCAATTTGAGTTTCCCCTTCACATATGATTTAATATATATATATATATATATATGTGGCTGTGTGTAATAGATTTTAGGATTCCCTACCCAAGGCTAGTGGAGTTTTTTATTAGTGAAAAAGTGTTTTAATAGGTAAAGTAATTTTTTAGTTTATCCATTACAAACCTACGTATAAAATACAAATCTAGCTAATCATAATTCAAATATAACACTTTTAACGGTTTAAAACACGAATTATACAAGGTACAGTCCCCCGTAACCCGTGAAAAGAATCCGAAACGTTGCGCTGTAGTTAAAAATAAATCGCAAATAACCTTTATATTTTTGCGTTTTAAACCGTTATGTGTTTTATTTAAATGTGTGCTACTCGCGTAAACTACAGGCAGATTGATATCAAAGTCAAAAAAAAATATTCACGTAGAAATTATAGTATTCCGTCTAAAATTAACGCGTGATTCAGTCGTGTAGCGGCGTGCGTGGGACTATTATTGGATTATGGCAGATTTTCGACAGTATTAGGATAGTGTATGGTTTTTGACTAATGTGTTCGATTTGCACCGGGTCCAATATAAAATTTAATTCCCCGTTTCCCCATGGGGCATGGCCAACACATTACTACGTCGTTTCAATAGCTTTTCCTACAATGAAGCGTTGATCAGACTACTATGGCCCTGCTTAATTGTAACAATTATCTTTGCAATACTAGGCAACATTTAGCCCTAGAGTTACGAAGACGGTCGCTGACAGTAGAGTTTTAGCAATTTATCTTGTGTTGATTGTTGTATTTTATTTGGTTGTAAACAAACTGATATAAGAAGTCTATTTTTTGTTGTTTTTTTATAGAGGGTAGATTTATTGATGGAAGGTAAAATACCTATATAGGGTTGGCTCTAGATGTTATATCTAAACAAGTTGCGCTCAACAATGTCAACCTAATTCGGCTTTCATAATTCGGAAATCAATAGATTTGAACCCCGTGGCGTTTTTTAGCCTAAATTTCGATATTCCTATAGTAGGAATATCTTTAAATATTCCGTTGTTCAGACGAAGTCCAACGTGTCTCAGAAAAAATCTAATTCGTTTAGAAACATGTTAGCTTCCGGTAGAGATCGAACCCGCGATAAGCCGACCCCAGTCATATCTAAGCAAGATGTGCTGTCGGCCAATTTCGGTTCTGGATATTCGGTGTCCTAAGCTCTGTTGAAAATTTCATGCTTTATAGCAGAGAGCTGTCGTAATTTATAAAAACAGCGCCAAACCAAAGCTTTCGAGAGAGGTGTGCTTCAGATAAAGGCACAAGTTATAACGTCGATATTCTAGGCCAAGGGCACACGCTGCGACGGAGTAAGGTTGAATACCTGTAGTACTTTATTGGGAACGTAGGTGGGTACAATGTACCCAATAAGTTTAATCAGTAACTAATTGTGAAATCTGGGTACATTTCTTATTCTTCTATTAGGTATTTTTGACGGACTTCCAACGTGTTTCCAATCTATTTATAACTTTTCTGATGCATTTTGGACTTCGTCTAGAATTCTGGATATTGAGTATTCTATGTATGTTGGTAAGAATATCGAAATTCCAACCGTTTCAAGAACCACTG